AAGCGAACGTTCTGCGTGCCTCGGTGAGGCTTTGTTGGCGAAGCTCCTCGGCTTCGCGGCGCGCCAGTTCTTCCTCCTGTTCCACGGTGAGTGGCGCCGTGAGATCGCGCCAGTGGGGGTAAATCTTCAGAAACTCCTCGCGGGTGTAAGGCCGCGCCATTCCGCGTGTGTCGAAGGTTCCGCAGCGTTGTCCACGTAGAATGCCTTCAAGGCGCTGAGAGGGTGGTCCAGCGTGGGGGCTTTGGTCGGTGCCGAACACACGCTGAGTGGTGACTTGCAGTTCGAGTTGCAACATCCCTTCTTCTGGCGGCACGTGGCGTTCTGCTTCCGCGATGGCGGCGAGTCCGCGGCCTGCAATCGCGCTCGTCGAGGTCGTCGGCGTGTGACAATCCCTGCAGATTCCATCTGGATCGGGGTTGTGAAGTGCCGTTTCGTGTGGGTGGGGATGATGCGGCACCCACGGCCTGCCGTCAGGGTGCTTCCAGTCCCTGCGGTGGATGTGTTCGAATCGTAGTGGCACGAGGTCAATCAGCTCGTGCGAGTCACCGCTGCAGTCGGGAATATCGAAATCCAGGATGTACACTCCATTTTCGGAGTGTGCTCGTCCGATCTGCCTGCGGGAAAAGGTGCGCGATTCGTAGTGCAGCAGAATGTCGCGCGTCGCGCGATCTGTGCTGAGTTCTACGCCGCAATCCATGAGCTGTGCGGCGGACAGGAGGTTAAACAGGTTCTGGACGATCAGCACATCGTTGAGCGTGATGTGCGTGCTGCTTCCGCGTACCTTGAGCACGACGATGCCTTGCGCGTTTGCGCGCAGGCGCGTGTTGTTCGCCACAGTGACGTGAGTGACGGTAGGGGTGGGGTCGGCGTTGGATATGTAACGCTCGGAGCCCACCATGTGCTGGCCGCAGCAGCTGTCCAGGTACCAGGTGTTGTTGCGCTTGTTGTTGTCACGTGCGAGCAGCGCCAGTCGCGGCGTGACGATGTGCGGGGTATCGAACTTCAGGAATTGCTCGCGCGAGAGCCAATCAAGTGGCGCCACCCGCATGTCGGGTACGTGCGGGGGACTCTCAAGCAGCGGGACTGGGAGATTCGAGTCCTGGTCGTCGTCGTCGGTGAAGTCGTGGCGCGGACTGAATGGGTTGTTGTTAGAGAACGCGCCGATGGGATGCGGTGCTGGCTCAGGTGATGGTGAGCGCGCGCCACGACGTCGTGATTCGCCTGTCATGGCCATGTTGCTCATGACATTGCGTACTGTGGCAGTCGGTGGCGGCTGCTGCTGCTGATGCTGAACCGCGGGGTTCAGGTTGCGCGAGGGAGGGGGCTGATAGCCCTGGGCTGGACGCACGTCGCCTCGTACGTCTTGTCGGCCGGACCAGTTGCTCGGATTGGTCTGGCGAGGGCGAGATCGGGCTTTGCATCGATCTGCCAGATGCCCGAAGTTCCTGCAGATTTTGCAGTAAAGGCGCCTCGGCCGTCGCTCTTCGTTGTTGTCGGCGTAGAAGGCGAGCCGTTCTCTTTCTCGTCGTGGCGCTGGTCGCTGCTGGTCCATATCCCGTTGTTCGACGAGAAGGGCGGCGCAAAGGGCGGCCTCCGAGATGACCCCCTGCTGTCGGAGAAGCGCCTTGCAGGGCCGCCACTCTGGGCCGAGCCCTTGAAGTACGATGTTAACGAAGATTTCTTCAGATATCGTGCTTCCCAACTTCACGATTTGATCGCGAAGGCTCCGACAGCGGTTAGGGTAAGTGTTGACCTTCTCCCCTGAGGTCATCTTGGTTTCCAGGAGTTCCTGGAGCAGTCGGCTCGACGAGACAGAGTCCTTGGGCTGATACACTCCTGTCAGGTGTCGCCAGGCGTTGAGGGCTGGGGCAGCTGTCGTTTTGTACGACCGAATGTTCAGCTGCTCCGCCGGGGACATATTCCGCAGGAGCACCCCGTACGCCATCAGTGATTCGTTGTAATACCTCGCCTTGGCGTCGTCGGTGTCCTCGGCAGGCTCGGCGTAGCTCCCGTCGAAGTAATGGAAGATTTGGGCGTTCTGCAGCAGGAGCTCCAATTCGAAGCTCCAGGTATAGAAGTCTTTGCCGTCAAAGCTGGAACTTGTCTTTATTTTTGATATGCTCAGGAACTTTGATTGAGCGGAGAGAATTGCTTCTTCACTGGGACGGGGAGTCTTGGGAGTTGAGCCATTTGTGTCGAGGGAGAAGGTTTGCGGGACGGTGTTCTGCCCAGTTGGGCCCGGTTGGGATGGTTGCGAGGATGTTCCCGCATCGCCGTTCCGCAATGTTTGGAGCCCTTGCTCCAGACTGGTGAGTCGCTGAAGAAGTTGTGCGAGGACTTCGGTGCCGATCGTAGTCGTTTCCTCGCTAGTCGCAGCCGGATTGGTGCGCGCTTCGGCCGTCAGATTAGTCTGACCACCAGATCCTCCGGCCATTCTCACACGCGAGTGTGTGCCGGTCGCCACTTTCCGATTGTCGCAATTTTCGGGAGTGGTGTTGCGAAGGATTCCTGAGCCGCTCTCATACCATGCTACGATCAGAGAATGATCGCTGCCAGGATCTACTCAGGAAGGTTCGCTCACAGAGAAATGTAGTTGGTGGGTCCGTGACCTCAATAGCAGAGTGAATGTAAAATGCTTGAGATGATTAAAACATGCAAATACAGCAAGTATAAATATGAGTACAGGGAAGACGAAACGACCTAGCTAGTCATGTACTCTAAGGGGTACATTCCCTTATTCAAACGCATTCCCAACCGTGCGGCGCGTACAGTTTCGTAACTGTTCCCGCCAAAAACATCCTGCCTGCAGCTGTTCGATGCCGTCTGCTTCCGACGGTCCAGATGCGCCCCAACTCTCTGACACTTGAGTCAAACTCCAACCGTCTGACGGTTCGCTTTTCTTGCTTCGATACTGCGTGCTTCTCTTTGCTGCGGTGAGGAGTGCTCAGTAACTATTAAATGTTACTATTCGTAACAAAAAAATCCCCGTGTAATCAAACCACTTACCAATAAAATGGGTTTAATTGTTACAATGCATTGCATTCTTTTCATAAACATTCAAATCATTTCTATCTGAAAACATTTTGAAAAATATATTTTATTTGTCATTACTACCACTAGATGCAGGAAATGCACAACAGATGATGGCTGAACCAATTGACATGTTTATTAATCTGACTTATGAAGTCATTCCATTCCGTGGTGGTAACATTTCGTTCACGTTCGCTTTTCGTCGTCAGCCCTGGGCAAGCAGAAGTGTCTCGCGAAATTCCCTACCTTCAGCAGAGCACCCTCCCCCTCCCAGCCAGCGTCATCGCATCGCACCGACCAACACTGTTGTTGAGCTGCTTCGCCCTGCACTGCTGGTTGGCAGCAGTTCTGTTTTGATCGCCGCAGCGCAGTGCTGCACGGCACCAAATCGGGTTTTGAGTTGAGAGCGCATTGTTACTGTAACTTTTCGATCGGAACGCAGATCTATCGCCTCTGGCGCAGTGTTTGCTATGGAGAAGTCTGCTGTGCTTGCCTCGTGAATGGTGAAAGAAATGTGACAGACAGGCACTACAGGCTTCTATCACAAGCTCACTTCTCCTATCTCGTCTCGTCGCCTTTGATGCTCCTGACGCAAGACAGCCACCTCGTTGCCTTGCCTACCTCCTCAATCCAGTCATGTATCGCGTCGCGACACGCAAAGACGAAACAGAACGCGCAACTGCGTGTCCTGCGGCTTCTTTCCTGCTCCCTCTTCCCACCTTCCCACCTTTCTCCGCCGCTTGCTTCGGCTGCGCCCTCGCTAAAACCCTAGCAGGTGTAACACCCTCTGAAACATTATGCGCTCCCTCAGGATAAGAGGACCCTTTCCGCTCCACCACCTCCTCCTTTCTCCGCCTCTTGAGTGGGTGGACAAAATTGCGGCTAGCGTTGCGAGCAACCGCGCAGCGCTTTAAATGCCTTCCCGCAGTGCCGCAACTGGCGTCAGTCATTCCTCAGGCAGGCGACGCTGGGGAGGTTTATTCTGGAAGGCGCATCCGTCGGGTCACGCTCACTCGCGTATGCACTGCTGTATTTCCGTAAACGGGTGTACCTAAGTGAACCAGGATGTACCGTGCTGTACCTGTGTCTATTCTTCCAGTCTTTGCTGCCGTGCCGACGCGGCGGAGTGGCCCCCACCCACACAGGACGGGCCGCTCGAGTCGAGTCAGCCGGAATACCTGGTGATCCACGTGACCGATGATGTCACCCGACATATCACCGAGTGACTGGAAGACCTGGTGATCCACGTAAGGAGCAGATTCGCATCGCATTCCCTCCGCCTCAATTTCCTTCTCCACTGGAAAATGGCGTCTCTCTTTCTCTCTCCGGGCTCGCTTTCAAGATGCGACCATTTCGTCACCCTTTTCATTTCTGAACGGATTTATCGTCAGCTGGTCCCGTTTGAGGTATTATATGGTAGCTCAAGAAAACATTCATTTCGTATCGCCTAGCCCGATGTGGGTTTTCTTGCCGGATAGCATGGCAGCAAGCTCCTTAAAGATGAAATCAAGGCCCTGACTCCCCGCGAGCCGCTGCGTAGGATATTCTCTTTTTTCCTACAGGCCGTTTTTTAAGGAGTATTTTTTTTTTCCCCACATTACTGCCAGTCCTTCCAGTCACCGCTCCGTGTTTTACGCTTTCTCGGCATCCTTCGTTCCTAAAGGAGCGCCTGCTACGGTTGGCGTTCCGGCATTAGATCCGGACGATGGATTGCTTTGTCGTTGACCGCTTCGACATAATCACACCGTCGCTGGTCGGCGATTGGCTCCTGACTAAGAATCCGGCTCGTTGCGCGAAGTCCGCAACCGGACGTGTCGCCGCCGTTTCTGCCGCCAACTTATCTCCTTCAATTCAGAGACTTTAGTTTCGGTCCGTCTGTCCTTCCAAACGGAAACAGTTACTCAAAGCTGATTGGTCAACATTCGGAAGTCGGATTGCGTATCAGCCAGAACTGAGAGTCAATTGCTGACATGGCGGCAGCGAGTTCGTCTCCGGATTCGCCTCATTCGTCAGGTGTCTCACCTCGCGGGAAGAGCAGTCCGCGGCAGCTGCAGCGGCTTTCAGTCACACCGGCTCATTTCAGTCCGGAGGCGCGGGTTCAAATCTCGTCGCGGCTTAAAAAACTTGCTGAAGATGTGGATGTGACGGTGGGCTCTGTGGGTGGATCAATCAGCAAACGCTATAGCTCAGGCTGCAGTGGCGGAAAACCTTTTTCAAGAGGCGGTGTGATTCTAGTGAAGGGGACGTCACAAGAGGAGCAGGGCAGTGACACGGAAGCAGGGAATGAATACAGCAGTCATCATGTCCTTGCAATCAATGCACCTTCCGTGGGATCGACAGGTCATTGCAAAACCAGGACACGTTGTGACTGTATCGAGAGGAAAAACTCGGGGGGTCTCAGCCTGAGCAACATGGCTTTGCTGAGGTTCACCCTCGCCCCTTCCACTGCCGCCAGCCCCTGTACTGTCACTCCTGCCAGCGTCACAGCAGTCACTCTCACTCCTGCTGTTACCCCTGATGCTTCACCCTTTGGTGCCACTATCCCTGGAGCCGCTGCCCTCTGCCAGGCCTCCCTTGCTGCTCCCTCTGCACATGTAACTGCCCGTGCCTTCATGCAAGTGGACTCAGACTCAGACTCTATTGGTGGCTTCATCCCCACGCCTGCCGGGACTCCCTGCAGAGCAGCAGAGGGCGCTGGGAGCAAGGACGTCGCCGGTCTTCCTCCTTCTCCTGCTTCCCCTACTCATTCTCCTGCCACTCCCTCGTCTCTGCCATCGCCTGCGTCCCCCTCCTCCCGTTCCTCTCTCCACCGAGCACCACTCCTAAGGATACCCGCCTTCAGCCTTCTCACCGCACTTGCGTCTGTCAAATCCACTCCTGCTGTTGCTTCTTCAGCTGGTGCTTCTGCTGCTTGTGCTGCTGCTGCTGCTGCTGCTCCCGTTCCGGCTGCCGGCTGTAACCCTGTCTTCGCCTCTGCCCCTGTGTGTGATGCTAGCACCCGAGTGCTAATGGTCCCTGAAGACGACGGCTTCGTCTGGCGGAAGTACGGACAGAAGCTCATCCGAGCCTGCTCACGGCCCAGGCTGTACTTTCGCTGCGGGCAGCCCGGCTGCCCGGCAAGGAAAACCGAGGATCGGGCAGCAGATGGGAAGGTTCTGGGAAGGACGTATCTTGGTTTGCACAATCACGATTCCCCTGCTGCTGCTGCTCCTGCTGCTGCCGCTGCTGCCCAGGAGGAGCTCACGCAGGTGGAAGAGAAGCAGAAGCAGCAGCAGTGGGATCCGGAGACTTGGCGGGAGCAGCAGATGGAGCAGGAGCACGATGCGTGGCAGGGGCAGGAGCAGACGCAGGGACAGGAGCAGGAGCAGGGGCAAGAGCAACAGGCTTTGGGAATGTATGGACTGAGCAGCGAGGTTGAGGGACTCTTTGATCTCTCCCTCTCTGATGCCTTCCTTGGTGACGCTCCCACCGACTTCCATTGCAGCAACCACACCAGCAGCAGCAACAAAATCTGGCTCCCGGCCGAGCAATCCAGGGGAGGTGTATCTGAGGGAAGTTTGTCCGAGGGAGGGCTCTCCATGACGGTTTCTGATGAAGCGAGTGAATGGGTATCTACTGGTGACTATAACGAAGGGCTCTTGAGCAGCCACAGCTGCTCGCTTGCTATGATTGAGTCGCTGCTGATGAGCGATGTTGAGGTTAGCAATAGCGAGTACGAGTGGAATGGGGAGTGCCAGGAAATTAGTCAGGGTGCTGAGAAGGTGGTAATAGGTGAGAACATGTGTGGCTTTATTGGAGGAGTGGCTGCAAGCAGTGTGACAGTAACGAATGGGGCATTGGCTGTGGGCATGGATGCGCTTTTTGATTCACCGCAACCACGCCCACACCCAACGCACTGTTCACAACTGCACTGTTCATCGCCGGTCTGCCGCCCAGCAAGTCCAGATGGCAACAGTGGGTTGGTCGTTGGCAAGTCAGAGCACAAGAGGAAGGGGTCTCCGTGTGGAGGAGGAGCAAGCGGAGGAGAGGAGGGGGCGTTGGATGCATGGGCATGCTGCAAGCATGAGGCGCCAACATCAATCAAGCAGCAGTACGTGATCCTCTTGTTTCTACCAGTTCTAATGCATTACTCTGTGCTCCTGCTTTCTCACTCCAATGCTCCAGTTCATGTACGGACGTTCATGGACGGACTCGACCCCTACATGGATGGAACATCTGTGCTTGCTTGCTTGCTTCGGCTATGCCGTACTTTCTAGCTTTCTCAGCTGTTACACTTTTCATCTACCCTCCTGTCTTCTCCTCCGTAATCCTTCCTTTTTCTTCCTACCAGCCGCACCACTTCCGGGCCAACCAGCCCTACCCAACGGACTGCTAAGAACTCAGGCAGAGCAGCAGCCTTCTCTCCTCATGTCACTCCAGGCGGCTCACCAGGCGTTTCTTCAGGTGTTTCTTCAGGTGCTGCACCAGGCAGTGCGACAGGTGTGCGCATGGTTTGCGCACAACAGGTGGTGGAGGAGCCGAGGGTGGTGGTGGCGGTGCGCAGCGATGCTGATGTGGTGGATGATGGTTACCACTGGCGCAAATACGGGCACAAGCTTGTCGGCGGTAACACCTTCCCCAGGTAGAGCCTTCCCTCCTCTCTCCTTTCCAGATTCCCCCCCTGCCCTCTCCTCCCCCTCGTAACTTTGTCTGTCTGCGTGTCCTTGCTTTCTCGCTGAGTGTAATCTCGCCAACCCATCGCTGCTTGTTCACTGTTGTTGTTCTGCTATGTGCTTGTATCGCAGGAGCTACTATCGGTGCACGAGTGGTAACTGCCGCGTGCGCAAGCAGGTGGAGCGCTCCAAGCAGGACCCATCCATGGTGGTGACCACCTATGAAGGGCGGCACAACCATTCTGCACCTGGACCCATCCTGTGCCTTCCCCAGTCACTGTAGCTGGTGCTACACTGTCTTTTCAACCATCTGTCCCAACCTTATGCTTCTCGTTTGGGGAAGTGGGGGGTTGTCACCTTTTTTTCTGTTCTTGCTTGAGTTAGGTTGTTCCAAGTGCCAATGCAAGCCTTGCATAACCTTAGGTTGTGGTGATCTGGGCTTGCCGTGGCAGTTGGAACAACAGTGGTTTAGCATGGGGAGTTGGTTAGAGGACCCTTGTTATGGTATCAGCCAAGAACCGAGCCCAGAACATGGACTGAAATTAAGAGTGCCGAGGTTGGATGTTCTGGTTTCGCTTTTTGGTTTTCATTAATTATATGGCTTTTAAACTGCCTTGCCTACAGCATCATGGTACTTAATAAGATTTCTGAACGAAATGAAGTAGATACGGATTTTGCATCACATTGTCACCCAGCAGTTTTTTTGTCGTCAAGATCACTAAAGTTGTGCCGTATTCAGGATGTTCAGAGCGTAAGAATTGTGCGGATTGGACCTGAAACGAGGTCAAACAGTTCACCAGCAGATGATGCAGCAGATGCTCATGGTGAAACTGTCTGCTGGAGGAAGTTGGTTTTATGGGGCGCGGTCAGAAGCTTCAGTTCTTGGGTTTTCTCATCTAGCTGGAATTCCTCTCCACGACAATTTTAGGACTAGGCAGAGCTCGTATCGCTCGACCTAGTCAGCTCATTTGCAACGAGGAGTACATACTTTTGTCTCATAGCTTTCTTGAACTCGTTTAGGCCAAGATGTTGGATCGAACCAGGGTCCAACGAGAGCTCATCGAAATCAGAAGAGACCCTGAGTCGGGGGTGACTGTTGATGTTCCAGGAGATGATCTTGCTCGAATGAGCGGGACTATAACGGGGCCTGTCGGAACGCCTTATGAAGGAGGAACGTTTCTGGTTGATATAGTATTAACAGGTACGGTGTACTTCGCTCGTGCAACGATTTGTGATACCTATTTCGTCCCACTCAAAGACTCGAAATTCCTAATCAACCATTTGCCTCTATCCAGATTCGTACCCGTTCAAGCCTCCAAAGATGACCTTCATTACCAAGGTCTGGTGCGTACCAAACTCAAAGGTTGCCATCACAATCTCTTCGTGCAGCAGTGGAAGCTGACAGCATGACAGATGTGTCGTCTCGCAGGCACCCTAATGTCAGCAGCCAAAACGGTGCGATCTGTTTGGATATCTTGAAAGACCAGTGGACTCCTGCTTTGACGCTGAAAACCGCTCTGTTGTCACTCCAAGCTCTGCTATCATCACCTGAACCTGACGACCCGCAAGACGCAATCGTCGCTCAACAGGTACGGTAGTTGTGTTTTCCTGTCAAAGAGAGAGAAAGGTTGGGGCGGGTAAGTGGGGGAATGGTGTCTAAAGCGGTTTTGATTGGATGCTATCTGACAGAAACTCCCTCTCTCTCTCTCCCTCTCTCTCTCTCTCTCTCTCTCTCTCTCTCTCTCTCTCTCTCCCTCTCCCTCTCCCTCTCCCTCTCCCTCTCTCTCTCCCTGCAGTATTTGAAGGATTACCAGACGTTTGTCAACACTGCACGGTACTGGACTGAGGCGTTTGCAAAAAGACCATCCTTGGCACTTGATGACAAGGTCAGTTGCTTTCTGCATTGAATTATGCCGGAGTTATCTTCTGCATTATGGTATTAGAGTAAGGAAGATGAATTGGAGCTGAACGGGTCCTGTAATGTTTTCTGCAATGTTTTTTCTCGCAGGTGAAGAAGCTGGTTGAGATGGGCTTTCCAGAGACGGCTGCTAGGTCAGCTTTGGAGAAATGCGGAGGAGATGAGAATGCAGCTTTGGAGAAGTTATGCAGCTGAACATAAGAAAATGAGCTTTAGGTCCAAACCCAGATTCACTATAGGAATGTATTGTGCATTGGAAAATAGTACTGGAGTCAAGCAATTTTAGGCTAAAGTGCTCCTTTCTGATCGCAGTGCACCGCATCCATAACTTTCCAACCGAAGGTTTCTCACAAGTTATCGTGTTCTTCACGCATCCCACGACATCCACTCACCAGTATTACAAATTCCTTGCTCAAGCACAATTGCAACGCACCAGTCTCGGGTTTCACGTACCACTACTTCGTCCCCGCACTGGCGAACCTCCGCTCATGTACGTTCACGGCCTGTCGCGAACCGCCTTTATCAGGCACGTGCGGCGAGCTCTGCGCGCCGATTGCTGCTTGCAGCGAGGCGTCGATACTTCTGCATCAGCTGCTCTTGTCTCACTGACACCGACTAGGCGTGCCTATTCAGATCGTGCCTATTCAACCACTGCTCCCGTTAGCGCTGGTGACGTTGCTTCCGGAAACAGCTACCAAGAATCAGAGCGGGTCAGAGGTCATTCCATTGACGGACATGGCAGTCTTCGAGACAGAAATGCCACGCGGCCGTTGTCAAGCCCACGCGACCATAAATCGACATCATCGTCGGTGGCGTCTCACATAGATCCATCCTCGTTTGAAGTGGACTGGAGCGCGATCTCGCTAAGAGGCCTGCGCCACACATTCGTTGATCTTCTGGCCGATTTCATCCTGCCGGAACCAATCCCAAATTCATCAGATGTTAGTCTTCGTGATGGAAAACGAGGTCCAAGAAGCTCGTCCCGTCGCCGACGCCACGTCCCCAGTCTGTTTGAGGAGATCAGGAACCAATGGCGGCGCGCCAGCTGGCATGTGGACGAGCTGTACGGGCAGAGGCCAACAGATGCCGGTTCTGTTGGTGCCAGTCGAGGGTCTGCTGATCTTCAAGGCAGGTGGGACGGGAGGGGTGCAGGCATGAACCGGTTCCTGATTCGCGGGATCATCTATGACATGTCCGCTTTGATGGTGTTCGATGAAGACTTGGGGAGGGGAAAAAAGAGAGACGCTGCAGCAGGTTTGGTAAGGAGCACGGGAAGCACCGCGGTTAAGGGTGGAAATGTTGCTTCAGGCGAAAATGCGAGCCAAGGGTTGTCTGCTTTTGATCAAGAGAAGCTTGAACGAGCTGAGTTGGCAGCACGCGATTGGGAGAAATTTCTCCTGAGCAGCCCCAGGAGACGACGGCACATTCCTGGAGTGAATGACGACAATGCCACTGCCACTAGCGCTGGTGCTCATGCTGCTTCTAGTGCTGTTGCTGGTCGGTCAGCTGCGGCAGGCATGGCATGTTCGTCAGCTGTCACTCAGGGAATCTCATTGGACGAGATGGCAGAGAGCATGGGGCTCCCCACATCAGCTCGAACCAACTTAAAGCACAGCACCAATGGCAGCACCAGCACCAGTACAGGCATCAGCATCAGCAGCATCAGCGCCAGCATCAGCGGCAGCAGCAGCAACAACAGTAGCAGCTCAAGCAGCCTCCAGCCAGCAACTCCCGCTCCTCTGGGCGGCGTTCCACTGCAGTTCAGAGGAGGCACGAACCCCAGAAGCAGCGGCACGGGAAGCAGCGCAGACCATCGGCTGGAGGAGCTGTTGGCAGGGGGAACAGGTGGGGGTGTGCGCGCCAAGTATGCTGCTCGGCTGCAGGAAAAGAAAATGCTGGCTGAGGCACGCAGGGAGCAGCAGGGCGGTGGGTTTGGTCGGGCGGCTGCTGCTGTCGCCTCTGCTGCTGCTGCTGCCAGCACTGCTGCTGCTGCTGCTCGTGCTGCAAGGTTGAGAGCGGTGAAGGGAGGTGGAGATGGAGGGTTTGTGGGAGGGATGGGAGAAGGGGCGTTGCCTGGGATTGGTGGGGTTGTGGGGGGGAGAGGATGGGTGGTGGCTCCTGGGTCTGCAAGACTGCTCCGGCATTTCCAGGTGAGGTTTCAGGGTTTTATTGTTCAGTGGTGTCGCGTTCGGTTAGGTAGATGCTGCAGGAGGAGCGCTGAGATGATACATGAGAAGAAAAGGTTTCACATTGGTGCTGACAGCTGCTGTATCCCTGAATGTGCTCCCTATTTCGTGAGACCCTCAGAGTAATAACAATGTGCATGTGTGTGTGTATGTGCGCTCATGTGTGTGTGCGTGTGTTGGGGGGGAAGAGGGGGGTGTGTGCGTGTGTTGCGCCTCTGCCGCTGTGTCCCCCGATCGCTGCAGTCCCGCACATTGAAGCAAGCGCTGGTAACCACCCACCCACGCCTGGACGTGCTGCTTCTCAACGACCAGCTTGGCAACTTCACCTTTGACTCTCAACTCAACTTCACTGCCGCCGCCGCTGCTGTTTCTTCTGCCTCCGCTTCTCCACCTCACTCGACTCCTACCTCATCAACCCCTTCATCTCACTCTCCTCCACCCGATGCATCAGCGTTAGCCCCGTCAGTAGCAGCGCCTTCAGTAACAGCTGCGTCATCATCTGGAGAGACGACAAAATCAGGAGGCGCATTATTAAACGAGGCACATACGTCACCCCCAGCAGCAGTGTCAGGCATCGACTCATTGGAATCTGCCAGAAGGAGGTATCGTCGTGATGCTGTAAACCTTGAAATGCTCGTTTTCTCTTCTTCTTATGTTGCTGATGTGGGCAACGTCTCACAAGCGTTGCGGTTGAAATCTAATTATGAGTGCAGGGTGAATGACTTCGTTGAGACCTGCAAGAAGTGGAATTTGAAGCCGTCACAAGTCCTTGTGGTGTGTGTTTTCTGTCTGAGCACATTATTTTCTCCTTATTGCAGCCACTACCCTCACCACCTCCATGCCAACGTTTCTCCAAGCCGTCACTAGCCTTAATCTCATTTTCTGACATTTTGCCGCCACATTTGCCCCCAGGTGCTTGGTTCTGGACCCACCTCCTCGTTCCTCGCGCAAGCCCTGCAAGACAGCCCTTTCTTCATATGTCAGATGACCACAAATTCCTTCACTGCAGATGCCGTACCTCCACCTCCGGCCCAGGCACATTCCAGTCTTGAATCTCCCTCGCAAGGAGACAGTGTTGACGCCAGGATTGCTGAAAGTCAACGTAAGGCCGCCATGGTTGGAAATAGCGCTGGCAATGTCTCCATGGAGTCCCCAAGTGTATCAGCTCAGGGGACCGCTGGATGGACTGCATGGTGGAAGCAGCTGTCGGAGGGGACATTGCACAAGGATGGAATGCGAGACGGTGATGTGCGAGTGGCTGGGGAGCGGAAACAGGTTGCTGACTGGCTGCAGGCTAGTGCTAGATTTAAGGCAGCAGATATGGTGGAGTTGAAGGGAGTGGTGGAGGAGCTGAATGGAGTGTCGTTTAGAAGCAGCACGTTCATGCATGCGCAAGGGAGAATCTAGAACCTGGTTCGTCCAAGTGTGTGCTTGCATTGTGCATGTCTGTTCCCTAAACCCTGGCAAGTTAGCAGCCTATCATGTATTATATCTTGTTTTATTCTATTATATCTTTGAAGGACAAGTCACTTATCAACAAGAGAAAATATGCAGTTATGTGGCGTTTTTATACAATTTCACATTTTGCTTTATTTGCTAACTCTGAATGTACACTTATAGGGTATACACATTCTCGATATTCGCTGTTAGTGTCCAGATGCTGAGCATGTTGACCCATCTCCAGATGCAATGAATCGAGTCACGGTACTTCGGCCTAACCGAATTCACCCAATCAAACCTCCAAGCCCAGGCACTGACAGGGAACGTGCAAGACAAGACGAAGCTTTGCTCGTTCTGATTGGACGCGAAAATATCTTACGGCTTCAGTTTCGTTACAGTGCAAAAGCGTCGGAGGTGGCACCAACCAACCAAGTCGCCGTCGTCGCATGTACAGCGCTTCTGGTAACCCACCAATCAGAGCGCACCAATTCTGTTAAAAGAACTTCGCCATTTCACCACACGAGCAGCGCACTTTCACAACCGTATGTTTCCAGCAACTCACAGCCAGATGAATCGCATCCATTCCCGTGACCAGTTCTCCCGAACCTACCCCGCCGGACCAATCCCTATAAAGGGCAAACCCTGCGGATAACCGCATTCATCCAATCGAAACCATTCTCAAGGGTGCCTCGTCAACCTCTCAGCTGCCCAATAGCTCTTGTTCTTGACGCCCAACCTTTCACCGCACTGCACTTCACGGCTGCCCTCGCTCTCCTCGCGTAAAACCCTGACCTGGAAAGCTTATTTTTCATTTTCGATTCTCGAGTTGAGCTCATTCTTCATTGGGAGTTGCCGCTTCTGCTAGATAGACAGGTCATCCTTATCCCTAGGCTGCGGTTGTTCTCCTTGCTGTGCTGGCCGAACGTCGTTCCGAATTGACAGATTCGAACTGAGCCACTGATTTTCGCCCTCTCACGCTGCTCGAGTTCCATCCTCAACATCGTTCTCTCGGTATATCATCTTCGCAGATTTGTGCGACTGCTTCACCAGAACTGACCATTCTTTGCTTCCAGCTTGCCAGTAGAGGATTTACTAGCGGTTTCACGGGCTCGGTACGTCTCCTCGTGGGCCAGATTCTTCGGCTTCTAAGTCTTAGACTGTGACTCGTTTAATTTTCTGTTGGAAGGATGGCCGCTCTCGCGCGTCAGGTCGACGTCGCCTCCACCTCTCGTCTCGATTCCGAATCCGACGTTCCAGTGTTCTTGGCGACGCGCAAATCGCTCTTTCCCAGGCCTCCTTCTCCCACACGAGTCCTCTCTAACCCCGACCTCGCCGACAGGATCTCCCGGGTCCCGTCCGCACGAATCCTTACCGCCGCGTGGAGATCCCAGATGGTCGATTCGATCGCCACGTGGCAGTCCTGGGAGCTGCCAGTTCCTTCCGAACACAGCTTCTGGTCTCACGGCGCAGCAGCTGCAGCTGATTCTGCTGACGTGGCAAAGCTGCGGACTCTCCGCTGCGCAGACGCAGGTTGGGCTCCGTCGCTCCTCGCCATGCTCGCTGTACAGCCGCCGTCCGGCGCGGTGTGCAATTTAATCTCCCGCCAGTTGCACCCGCTGCTGCTCTGGGACGACTGGATGAAGCGACACGGCTCCTCAGATGAGTTTACCGCCTTAGCGTCCGTGTTTCGCGCTCAGGAGAGGCTGGTTGCGGCGACATTGCCAGCCTCTGGCGACGAGCAGCAAGCGACGGTGAGCGACGACTCGTTGGCGTTCCCGAAGCGGCTCGACGCGAAGTTTCCTCTAAAGAAAAAGGCGTTCTGCGACTCGTTATCCGCGCTACGGAATGAAGCCGCGGGTTCCAGCAAGTTCTGGCTGGCGCGGTATCTACGCAGTCTGCAGCAGTACGCTCTTGTCGGCTTGCCGCTTCACCAGACGGTTAAGCGGCAGGCAGCAGCCGGCGACAGCCCCTCCCTTGATGATTATCTCCTGTACCGCGCTGCCACCTCCCCCGCAATTCCCGCCGCCTTTCTCGCCGCCGCGTCGCGCAACCTCCCTCCCGTGTCTGACAGCACGCTCGAGTCGCTCGTCCTCCCTCTCCTCTTCGTCGGCTCCGCGTTTTCCGCTCTGAAAGGCGACTCGCTGCTGGAGCGGCGGCGCCGCCTGCACGAATCCGCGTCGCTACTAGCATCGCTCCTATTCGACGCCGAAACCGGTTCATTGCTTCTGGACACCATCGAAGCTGCTTTTGTCCAGATGGCGGCGAAGGTTGAGAAGGAGGCGAAGCGGTTGCAGCTGGCGTCGGAACGTGTCGCGGTTTCTTCGTTCGTGCAGCTTCTCAGAAGCGTCGTCCACGGCGTGAGCCTATGGCAGGGCGCCGCGTGGCGGTTCCGGGACCTCACGGCTGCTCCTGCAGGCGCTTCGGTTGAGAGCTACTCCGAGGGCGTCGTATATGCTAGCGAGTCGGACTCTGATAGCGAGGATGAGTGGGGTAGCAGCGGTAGCCGGCGCAGCAGCCACAGCAGCCTGAGCAGCATGAGCAGCAGTGGCAGCTTGAGTGGTGCAGAGGTGCCTCAGTGGATTCTGGAGCAGATCGAATCAGCCTCTGCACGCTTCGCTGCCCAATGAGCCAAGAAAAGGGGTTAACTCGGGTAACTCCTCCAAGGGTTGTTCTTTCTGGCAGCTGGTTAGCTCAAGCTGCGAAGCTGCCACCTCTCGTTGGTGTCACTGCCTAGTTCTCTACCCGTGAAACTTCAATGTAGGCATCATTAGAGGATCATTTGTGAGGCTGGGTGCATGCCTGCATGCATGTCACTGACTAGCCTTCAGTTTTGATGTCACTTATCTAGCTCTGTTGTACATATTAAAATTTTGAAGGACATATGGTTTCCATATCTAGCTGGATGTACGAACGTGAACTGAGGAAGAACCATCCAAGTACATATGGGTCATCTTAGGATTCAGCTATGTTTTCTGCCCCCACTGCCAGCTGCCTTGCGCTCTCAGTCCCAGCTGCCCTTGTTGCGCCTGTCTGACTTCTTACTGGACTTGAGCTTCTTGTCCTGCAACCGCCTCTCATTCTCTGCCTTGGCTCTGCATGCGCCCAGCCGGAATGAGAGTGATGGAGACAGGCACACAGGAGGCAAAAGCCTAGGTCAACAGAGTATGTGAATCAGCGAAATTATAAACCATTCTGCTTTAGCACAAAAAGGCTTAAAAGCACGTGCCACATGGGACACTCACAGCTTCTTGATGCGAGCCTTTTTCTCCTCTGATGGGGGTGGCGGGACGTAGGCCGCTGCATCTATGATTTTCTGCAACACATGGGCAGAGCGACCAAGCATGGCAATGGCAGTGGCAATGGCAATGGAAGCAGCATAAATGGTGCGTGTGGGAGTGATTGTGATGGTGATGGTGATGGTGATGGTGATGGTGATTGTTGCGAGGGTGATGATAATGATGGTGGTGATGGTGATTGTACTGACGTGCAATGCAGCTCTCTCGAGTCTTGAAAGGCTGAGCTCGATCGAATGATAGACTGCCTGACAGACTGCTGCATGTCTATGGAAGGCTCCTGTAAATTCACATCATACCGTACCTGAAGCTTCGCAAGCGCATCTTCAATGTTGCCCCTGGCAGGAAGGAGTGAGAAGAGTGGGATGGGGAGAGAGAGGAAAACGGAGTGAGCCACAGTGGGCAGCAGAAGAAGTTGGCTTTTGATGAAAGTGGTTGGCAGTAGAGCAGCAGGTTAAATGACAGCGAGGCACGGATGAAGAGACCACCTGGGCAGTGCAGCTATGGACAGTGCGCCATTCGGTATTTGAATGCACACATCTGATTGCACACACGGTTATGGCAGGCGACATACTTCTGTGTTCGTGTGCGTGTGGACGATACCACAATCTCCCCATCACTGTTCACCCGATTCTTCTCCTGCCAATGAGACAGCGAATAATGGAGGAGAGGATAAAACTTAAGGATAGAACTTAAGGGGATGGTGATGGGCTCGATGGGATGATGGTGCATGGCATGTGATGTCAGTGCGTGCATGTCATCGTGAGCTTCATCCACAATGGAAAGCCATATGGAATGGCATTGGATTTGGAGTGCCACAGGAAGGAACCAATCACGAGCAGTACTCGCCTGCTCCAGAATCTTCCACCTTATCCGTTCTGGCAGCCAATCAGCATCGAGCACATTGAATCGCATGTCAACCTTTGTGTTCACTGGCGCGAGAGTGGGGTGAGAGGGGTGAGAGGGAGGAGGGAGGGAGGAGGGAGTGAGAAGAGAGCGAGGAGGGCGTGAGGAGTGAGTGAGGAGAGAGAGTGAGGCAAGGGATAAGGGAGAGTGAGGATAGAGAAAGGAGGGTCAGCGACGAAGCATGTGATAAAGAACAGGAGGGCGAGAGAGAGCGAGAGAGGGCGTATGGTGCTGATGGCGATGGGAAGTAGAGAAAGCGTGGTGTGGCCAGGTATGTTCAGACAAGGTATGCGGCTTTAGGGCGAAGCATGGCTTGCGTCCAATCGAGCCCCACTTGGAGGCCATGGTTCAATACGTGGCAGCAATTCCTTTGTTTGAGACAAGGTATGCGGCCTTAGGGCGAAGCATGGCCTGCAATGGGGGGCCGTAAAGGGGAAGATTTGCTGTGTATGAGGGGGGTCAGAGGGGGGAGAACAGCTTTGCATGAGGGGGCGTAAGTGTGGGAGGGCGCCCGGAGCATGGGTCAGGAAGGAAGACCGCGCTTGGCGTACTGGATACAAGACTAAGACTCACGTTTATTGACGTTCTGCCCTCCGGGCCCTCCGCTGCGTGCGAAGCTGAGCGTCACCTTGTCTGGTGGGGAGGGTGGGAGGGCGGGGGAAGTGGTGAGCATGGGTGGGAGGTGGTTGGGTGGGTGGGGGAGAAGAATGGGTGGCTTCTGAAGGCTGGGATGGGTGGAAGGTGGTGGGGTGCGGTGGTGTGGTTAGGCGTGGGAGGGGTGGGGTGCAGGACCATAGCCCATGACCAATGGCTCATGATTCATGATTCATGGCCCACTCACTGAACCCACTCACTGACCCCACTCAGTGGCCACACGAACCCATCCCCACTCCACAGACCACACCACACACTCACCCTCAGTGATGCACGGAAAGGCTCCCTCCTTCTCCACAGCCGCGTGCGCCTCCCTCGCTGGCAGAAACTCCGCCTTCAACCCACTCAGTGACCTCCCACCCAGTGACCTCCCACCCAGTGACCTCCCACCCAGTGAACTCAGTAAGTGAACCCCCCTGTGACACCACTCACTGCCCTCACTGCCCTCACTGCCCTCACTGACTGACCTCACTAAGACCACAACCCCACCTTCAGTGATGCGAGGGATGGGCCCGTCGTCCTCCACGGCCGCCTCTGCCTCCCTCGCCGGCAGAAACTCCGCCTTCACTCGCTTTCTCGCCTCAGGACCGGACCCGCCAAGTCACCTCACACCCTCTGACCACACTCACGAGCCTCGCCCCACCTGACCACACCGCACCACACCGCACACACAAGCTCACCTTCAGTGATGCGAGGAATAAGCCCCTCGTCCTCCACAGCCGCCTCCGCCTCCCTCGCCTGCAGAAACTCCGCCTTCACCGCCATCCGCGCTGGCAGCCGCGCCTTGCCGCCCCTGCTGACGTCATCCTCCGTGTCCGAGCCGCTGCTGGTGGAATACTCGCTGCTGGGGAACGCGTTACAGGCAACCAGACACTGGCTGTGACTGGAAGGAAAGAGGGGGGCGGTGTTGATTGGGACGGGGGGGGAGGTGTGGTGGGTGGGTCATGGAAAGGAAGGATGTGTCATGTGTCACGTGTCATGTGTCATGTGTCATGTGTCACGTGTTTACCACGTGGTCTTACGATGGCACGTACACCACGGGGAAGTCGCGGGAACCAGAAAAATGGACGCTGGGAAGGGTGGGGAGGAGTGGGGAGCGGTGGGGAGGGCAGGGGAGATCAGAAAAGGCGAGGACAAGGTGCTGCCACAAGAGAGACCAGTTTGAGCTGAACTCGCACCCGACGTGGTCCGTCAATCGCGCGACGCTGGTCCCCCACGCAATGCCACGCGGTTGGAACGACAGCTGCTGCTGCTGCTGCTGCTGCAGCGAGGGATCGTAGGAAGACGAGTCAAACGCGTGCACGGAACAGGAAGCGGCGCGAGCCTGAACTTCGGACCGCTGCGCGTGACATTGCGACCAAGCGGCGGGAAATTCATCCGTTGACGCGATGGCGGTCCGCTGCGATAGGAGCAGCTGCCATTGCTCACGGCGGTAGCAGGATTTATGGGTGATGGTACGCGGGAACGCCTTGGGCAGGCTAATGACGACGCGCCACGTGGACGAAGTCGCCATTATGGATTGGGAAACAGAGTATGCGGTCCGAATTCTAGTACCGGGAAAGTCTGCTCGAAAAAAACTGTAAGTGGATGACACACAGACGCCCGAAGAAGTAACACGAGGAAAATGCGGTGAGGAGTGTGCGTTCCTGACAAGATCTAGGCAAGACAGGACTACCAAACAGCAGCGAGAGCCACATGATTGTAGCTTCTAGACGCGATCAGCCTGGGATTCGAACGCCATGGCTGGTTCTGTGGCAGAATGGAAGATACGCGATTTGGGAACTCGATACTAGTTGCTGCAGAGGTGTACCGCGCCCACAACCGTGAGACTTCCATACATCCATGTTTTCGTATTGCTATTTCTGTATATTATATTAGCTGTTGTTATCGAATCAACTTCAAATGTGTGAGTGAAGTGGCTGGTATGGGGTACAGCCGTTTTTGACTTCAGGAGTGCCAGCTGTGCCCTACTTCTCACGTGGATCTCTCACACGGGAGATTTAACCAATCAAAACATGAAGCTCGTGTGCGAACGCTTGTGGTTGGTTCAAGTAACTTGTTTGTGGAGGGGTATTCACTTATTGGTTGTTTTTTCATTCCAAGAATCGTTGCCACGCGGCATGTCGAAGTCTTAGCAGGGCAGAAAGAATTTTAAGCTCGGTAAATATAGTTCGAGAGGTCCAGGAAGAGTCAGAACAAAGGTCTTCGCCACATTATATGGATCGCTAACAATATGACCACGGCAAGAAATCTTTCACTGCTGCCACTTCACGGTCTGGTGTCTAAAAGAAGGTCTAGCTGTTTGGCTGGAATATTGGTGCAGCGTCTGAACCAAAGTATACGTGTTTCCGCGTCATTCCACCAAGTTTCCAGCCAATCAGAATATCGTACACGTCGAACCGCTTCTACTCCTGCCAGTGATACCTATTCCCGCCGAAGCGTTTCCCCAACCTTCCACCAGGAAGTCAGGCCTGTGTGTTTCCGCTGCAAGTTCTGGCCCTCAACCTCAACCGTTCTGTGCAGTTCGCCGTGCAACGAATGGCGTCTCCCACTCCCATATTCCCCGCCAAAAAGAGTAGAGACCTCTCTGCATCCCTTTCCAGACCATTCAAACCCGCTTCTCCTCCGCTCGGATTTTGAGTTACATCCATTCCCCACTTCCCCCCGTTCTCCGTACCTAGCCCAGCCTGTCGGTTCGCTTGCCTTCCCCCTCACGCAAAACGCCCAGCCCAGCCCAAGTCTCCCCCAAATTCCACCACTTCAACATGCTCCCCGCGTTCCCCTCCCCCCATCTCCCCCATCCCCTCTTTTTTCCCACGGCCCCCGCCTGGCCTAGCCTTGTTTCTTCCCCGTCCTTCCACCGTTACCCACCAACCACCTTCAGCAGAGCACCATGGATACAAATTCCACTGAATGCGGTCATTCCCACATAGAATTTCCGTTTCTCTGAATCCATTTCGGCGTTTGGTGTCCAGTTCTTTACACGCCTGACAGGGCTTCCTGTCCGGCCGGCTCACACGCGTGTATTTTGTATATAGTCGTACATACTTCGCCATTCCCACGTGTAGATACTCCCGCTTTCATTGTTTCTCATTACCTTTTGTGAATATTCATTAGGCATGGCGGCCTTCGCACTGTCCGTTGCGAGCAGCACCGCACCACCATGCCGCCTGGAGCTTTCCTCCCGAACCACCCACCAAGTTTCTGGCCAAACTCGCTCCACGGCCACTCGTGCCACCCACTCCCTGGCTGCTGACTACGACGGATTCCGCCAGACGTCAACTTTCCCGTCAGCCTCCACTGCATCTCACGCCGACGCGTTCACCGCCAACGTCACCCGTCAGCTCGCTCCCGCCTCGTCATCCTCCGCGCATCGCGCCACGGTATCCGCCGTCTTCGACCGGTTCACGGAGCGCGCGATTAAATCCGTGATGCTGGGTCAGCGCGAGGCGAAGGCGCTGGGGCGGAAGGAGGTGGCGACAGAGCATCTCCTCCTCGGTCTGATCATGGAAGACCGCGCCAGCAGCGGCACCGCCAGCGCGAAGGGTTACCTCAACACCGGTGTAACCATCGACGGCGCTCGCGAAGCCATTCGCGAAATGATTCGCGATGGCACGCTTTCGCCGTCCGAGGGGTCGGATAAGCCCGCATCGGAGGTGCCGTTCTCGGCGGGGAGCAAGCGGGTGTTCGAGGCGGCTTTGGAAGAGTCGCGGAAGCTTCGGCACAATTTCATTGCGCCGGAGCATCTGGTGATGGCGGTGCTGAGCGTCGAGTTCGACGCCGCCGGGAAGCTCCTTGAGAGGTACGCTTGTAACGGGGATGGGAGATGTGAGTCTGGGATTGTGTCAGACGCTCAGCCGTGTGAGCCAAATGGCGATTTGAGTATCGCGAACGACGAATTTCAACCAATCAGTGTTACGACTTCACGCTTTGCGCTTTGGAGCTTATTCCTTTATGAAGTAAGTAACTTTCTGTCGGTTTGACGGTGCGGCCTGGACGTGCGCAATCAGCTCATCTCCGCTTCCCCCCTGCCCGGTTCCGCGCAGGATGGGCGTACCCAAGGAGCGAGTGCGCGCGGAGGCGGTGGCGCGGCTGAAGGGCGAGCTGGCGACGGAGGGGCGCTCCACCGACTCCATCTCGCTCTCCGCCAAGCCCTCCGCCGCCTCCGCCAAGTCCTCCCCTGACCCCGCCCGGGCCGCCGCGCTCTCATCGTCCTCCAGCTACAGCAAGAAGGGCTCCAAGAAGGGTAAGCGAGGAAGCTAAAAGAGGGGATGCTCTAAGCGGGAAGATGCGGGCGTGTGTTACCCTACCGTTCTCAAATTTCTCCATAGTCATTGAGGCCGAGTGGATGGAGGTTCAGAGGTAGGATGCCGAATCTGGTGTGTAGTTTTGCTGTGACTCGAAGCGCACCAGTTTGACCCGGCGGGAACCAGAAAAGAGCGCCCTTTAGTTTCTGCGTGGATGTTGGCGGTCATGGCCGCGACGGGTGTTGACGCCCGTTCTCCACCCTATGCTCGCTCCTTGGTTCCCTAGCAGAGAAGAGCGCGCTCGAGGATTTCTGCACGGATCTGACGGTGATGGCGATGACGGGCGACATCGACCCGGTGATTGGTCGCGACCACGAGGTGGCGCGCGTCGTGCAGATCCTCGCGCGCCGCACCAAGAACAACCCGCTGCTGCTCGGCGAGCCGGGCGTCGGCAAGACCGCCATCGCCGAGGGGCTCGCGCTGCGCATCGCCGAGAACGACGTGCCGGTCTTCCTGCAGGTTGGCGTGGTTCGGATTGCAGGTACGGGGGGGCACTGGTTGGCGTGGTTCGGATTGCAGGTACGGGGGGGCACTGGTTGGCGTGGTTCGGATTGCAGGTACGGGGGGGCACTGGTTGGCGTGGTTCGGATTACAGGTACGGGTCTTCCTGCAGTTACGGTGCTCTTCGCGGGTAACGCTCTCGCTGCAGGTAATGGCTTTGCTGCAGGTACGGACTGTTTCGATTTTTCTTGTGTCCATTCCGCTTGTGTCTATCTCAATGGGATTTAACTTCTCTTTCAGTTTCTTTATATGTTCTCTAACATATTGTACTGTATATTTCACCTGTCCGCGTTACAGGGCAAGCGCGTGATGGCGCTGGACATGGGGCGCCTCATCGCGGGCGCCAAGGAGCGCGGCGAGCTCGAGTCGCGCGTCACGGGGCTCGTCTCGGAGGCCGTCAGCGCGGGCGACGTCATCCTCTTTATAGACGAGCTCCATACCGTTGTGGGGTCCGGCGCCGTGTCGCGCGGCCGCGGCGCGGGGGGAGGCGGAGGCGGCGGGCTGGACATTGCGAACCTGCTCAAGCCGGCTCTTGCGCGGGGGCAGTTGCAGGTGGGTGTGATTGCATGAAGGTGTGATTATAGGCGGACCATTCTGGATGACTGTTTGGTGGTCCTGTGCCCCCTCCCCTCCCATCCGCGCCCCCTCCCCTCCCATCCGCGCCCCTCTCCGCATTCCTTGCCCGCCCACCCTCCCTTTTCCACCACTACTCCCTTCTGTTCTCCCGCCCTCGCTCCTTGCCCATCAGTGCATGGGTGCGACGACCATCGGCGAATTTCGCAAGCACGTGGAGAAGGACAAGGCACTGGCTCGCCGCTTTCAACCCGTGGACGTCGCAGAGCCGTCGCAGGACGACGCGCTGCTCATCCTGCACGGCCTGCGCCGCCTCTACGAGCGCCACCACAAGTGCCACGTCAGTGACGACGCGCTCGTCGCGGCCGTCCAGCTTTCGGCGCGCTACATCCCGGATCGCTTCCTCCCGGACAAGGCGATCGATCTGGTCGACGAGGCCGCGAGCCGCGCCGTGATTGACGGGTTTAGGCGGAACCGGCAGCGCGAGACGAGCGTTCTGCACCGCGGGCCGGAGGAGTACTGGCGGGCTATCAGGGCCGCTCACGCGGCAATCAATGCGGTAAGACGATATACTAGTGAGTGGCATGGAGGGGGCGGGAGAGGGAGACGAGCGTGTTGCACCGGGGCCCGGAGGAGTACTGGCGGGCGTGAGCCTGGTGAGGGGTAGCGACGAAGGGGTAGCGACGAAGGGTTAGCGGTTAGCACACGTACAGTCTGGTTCAGGAACTGTATAGGAGGTGTGGCTTCCCATGGGGGCAACAAGTGGTTCAGAGTGCGACGACTTTTGAGTTGACTCAGAAGCTCAGGCACTCTCTGGCCCAGTAACTGTGGAGGAGGTGCAGTGCAGTTTCCCATGGGAGCAAGCAACGAGGGGGTTGGGTTGCGACGCGCAGAACGGATGTAATACACACAGCATCTTCATGCGTCGAATTCTGGGCTTTAAACTCGTCTATCTTGTCCATCACTCTCTCATGGTGGACTTGTGTGCAGGTGGAGGAGGTGCAGTCGCCCCTGGGGTCAGCAGGCGGCCCATCGGCATTCCTATCAGAGGACCCCAAGCCCGCTGCGCCTGCTGCCACCCCTTCCTGGTCTCCTGCTGGCGATGGCGATAGGTACGGCAATAGGTTCGGTGGCAGGTATGGGGATGATTACGTGCTCGAGTGTGGCCGACCGGTCTCATGGTCATCCGAAGCCAAGATAGCCCAGGTGCACAGGCACTACGAGTCATGCACAGCACACCCCAGCCATGTGCATGAACGACAGATCCAATCCCCTCATTTCTCCTCTAGACTTGTGGTTTTTGAGAGTTCTCAAAAACCAGCCATGTGTGAACGACAGATCCAATCCCCTCATTTCTCCTCTAGACTTGTGGTTTTTGAGAGTTCTCAAAACCAGCCATGTGTGAACGACAGATCCAATCCCCTCATTTCTCCTCTAGACTTGTGGTTTCCACGTGTAATGAGGTTGTTTTTGAGACGTCTCAAAAACAGATCCAATCCCCTCATTTCTCCTCTAGACTTTTGAAAATTCTCCAAAGTGACGCTTGTGGGCCAAAGGTGGTGGTTCGCTGAGATTCACGGGCCACGCCTACCAAAGAGCACCTGCCTAAATTTGCACACCGTACCATCAAGTGTGCTCGACTCAGGATTGTTCGTCAATCTTGCCCCCACTTCACCCCCTCTCGCTCTCCGTCCCCCACTCCTTCTCCCCCTCGCTCTCCCTTTTCCCCCTCTCCCGTTCTCCCCCACCCCAGTCTGTCTATCGGACCAGAGGACATAGCGGCGGTAGCATCTCAATGGACGGGCATCCCCCTGCAGCAGCTCACAGCAGACGAGCAGCGCCACCTCTCCAGCCTCGAGCCAGCGCTGCACTCGCGAGTGGTGGGGCAGCATGAGGCCGTCAGTGCCATCGCCCGGGCTGTCAGGAGGGCAAGAGTGGGGCTCAAGGACCCCAAGCGGCCCACAGCCGCCATGCTGTTCTGCGGACCGACGGGTGTTGGCAAGACTGAGCTCAGCAAGGCGCTGGCGCAGCATTACTTTGGCTCGGTGAGTCAATGACTTGAGGCTGTTAGGATGTTGGGTGTGGGGAAGATTTGGGGTGGCACTGCGCTCGCGGGTCGTTGGGCAGCACGAGGCTGTCAGCGCCATTGCCTGGGCTGTGCAGCGAGCAAGAGGGGGGCTCAAGGACCCTAAGAGGCCCACAGCCGCCATGCTGTTCTGCGGTCCTACGGGGGTGGGAAGACTGAGCTCAGCAAGGCGCTGGCGCAACACTATTTCGGATCGGTGCGTATGTTGGTGGGAGGGGGGAGGGCGGCTGGAGAGTTCAGGGATTGGGAAGATGTGGGCCGGTTGATGGGTGGGGCGAGACTGGGCTGTTAGCGCCATCTCCCTCCCCCGCCCACCACGATATCCAGGGGGGCGAGATCTGGACATGAGTGAGCACATGAGCGCCACACCAAGCCCCCCACCCTTCCCCCCACGTCCTCCCACCTTTCTCCACGCGCTTTGCCACCCTCCACCACCCGCCACCACCCCTGTCCAGGCGGACGCAATGATTTGGCTAGACATGAGCCAGTACATACATGGAGCACCATGCTGTCACGCACGCTGGGTGGACTCATGCTGCGAGTTCGCTGAGAGGATTAGCTCACAGAGAACTCACCCATCACCCATCCCCATCCTCTCCCATCCCCCCTCCATTGCCACTAGGAGGACGCAATGATTCGCCTGGACATGAGCGAGTACATGGAGCGCCATGCTGTCAGCAAGCTCATTGGCGCGCCTCCAGGATATGTCGGCTTCGGGGAGGGCGGCAAGCTCACTGAGGCCGTGCGACGCCGCCCGTTCTCACTGCTGCTGCTGGATGAGATTGAGAAGGCGCACCCCGACGTCTTCAATCTGCTTCTGCAGGTGCGTATAGTATGTGAGATAGGGTTTAGGGTGTGTAGATGCAGCTGCTCTTGCTGCTGCTGCTGCTGGACGAGACTGAGAAGGCGCACCCCAACATCTTCTATCTGCTGCTGCAGGTTAGTCTCGTTGTGCTTTGCTCAGCTTTGAGTGGACCTCACCCTGGCGTCTTCAAACTCCTGCTTCAGGCCTGATGTACCGAGCACTGGCTCTCTTGCTTAGACATATCTTAAAAGTCGCCTGCTATTGAACTTCCTCATCCTGTCCTGTTCCTCTGATGCGCCTGGGTCTTGAACACCCTACCCACAAATCTTTGAGGACGGCAGGTTGACAGACTCCCAAGGCCGCCACGTGTCGCTCAAGAACACGGTCATCATCATGACCAGCAACGGCCCCCTCATGCGTAACACTCTCGATTCCTGCCACACCCCCGAAGTCTCATCTTGAATCTCCTCTATGCAGATCTTCGAGGATGGACGGCTCACAGACTCTCAGGGCCGGCACATGTCGTTCAAGAACACGCTCATCATCATGACCAGCAACGGCCCCCTCATGTCTATTCCTGTCACACCCCCGGCATCTCGTCTTCATCTTGAATCTCCTCTATGCAGATCTTTGAGGACGGCCGCCTGACGGACTCCCAAGGTCGCCACGTGTCGTTCAAGAACACGCTCATCATTATGACCAGCAACGTCGGCTCGCAGGCCATCGCACGCGGTGGCGGCAATAGGGTGGGCTTCCTGCTGCCGGGAGCGGACGAGGTAGACGGGGGGCGGTACGCGGGGCTCAAGTCTTTGGTGATGGACGAATTGAAATCGCACTTCCGCCCTGAGCTGCTGAATCGCATTGATGAAGTGGTGGTGTTCCGATCGCTGGAGAAGGACAAGGTGAGGGTGGTTGTGGGAAGGGAGGGGAGGGAAGGGAGGGTAGAGGGAGGGGTGGTACGCGGGGCTCAAGTCTTTGGTGATGGACGAGTTTAAGAGCCACTTCCGCCCCGAGCTGCTTAACCGCCTTGACCAAGTCGTTTCCATCCCTGGAGAAGGACCAGATGCATGCGGTTCAAGTGATTGCTGGTAAGGGGTTGCTGCAGGGAAGGGGGAGGATGGGAGGGGTGGTGGAATGAAGGGCATGGAGTGATACGCAGGGCTCAAGGCATTGGTGATGAATGAGGGGGGTGATGGATGGGGGGGGTGATGGAATGGAGGGCAAGGAGTGATACACAGGTGATGGATGAGCTCAAGACACACTTCCGCCCTGTACCACTCCTATCAAGGAGTCAGCTGTCCGCCTCTCGGAGCACAATATTTTTACTCTCAAGTCTCCGAAGCACTCATCCAGCGCATCTGCGATGCGGGCTACAACCGCTCCTACGCGGCGTGGCCACTGCGCTCCCTGGATGATCTACACGCCCCCCATGTCTCCCCGCTGGGTGATGCAAGTACAGCTTCACGCTCCTCTCTCACCTCTCCTCTCTTCCGCTGCTCCCCCTCTTCCCTCCCACGCCCAGGTGCGAGCCATAGTGGACATGATGATAAAGGAGACGTCCATCCGTCTATCAGAGCGCAACATCCGCCTGGAGGTCTCCGAAGCCCTCATTCAGCGCATCTGCGACGAGGGCTACGACCGCTCGTACGGAGCGCGCCCGCTGCGCCGCGCCGTCACGCGATTGGTGGAGGACCCGATTAGTGAGGCGGTGCTGTCGGCCAATAGCGGCGGAGGGCTGGTGGCCGGTGGGAGCGTGTCGGTGGTGGGGGGAGCGTTTGAGGATGGGGATACGGCGCTGGCTGATATCGGCCCGGATGGAGGGCCGTTTGTGATGCGCATCGCCAAGAATGAGTTGCTGAGAGTCTAGAGATAGGGAAGATTATGTATTCTGTCGATGTGGAGTGAAGGTGGACTGAGTTGGTGTTTTATGATGTATTGGATAGAGTCTCAATGGTTGCTTCAAACATAAGCAGATTTGTAGTCTCTGTATGATGTGTAGATAACTTATCATACTTACCATTTTGTGTAAACCACCTTGAACAAACTGCTACTGGTTGTCATGTCAAGGTGGAAAATATATGGTGTTAACAATCCAGTAGCTCTCACGGCACCCATTCCTCCTACAAGTACGGAGGAGTCACACCCACTGAAGCACACCACTGCTGACCCCTCTCTACCCGCATCTGTGCTGCTACACTCACTGCTTTATAGCGTGGGGAAGAACTGAAACGGCAGATTTACAATACATTGTGTATGATAAAGAGCCTTTTGCTAGATCTGTCTGTACTGGAAAAAAACCAAGAACTTCTCGTAAACCTGCACTGTAGAGGGAAGTGTCCTAGTAGATCTGCACAGTGCTGCGGTGCTTCCAGAACACGGGGGCCACTTCGGGGTGAACGATGCGCTTGACACGGCAGCTGCTCTTCTGAAACGTGGTCTGCATGGTACTGGTTGCTATATTTGCAGTGGAATGATAAAGAGTTGCCTAGTAGATCTGCACGGTGCTGCGGTGCTTCCAGAACACGCGGGCCACCTCGGGGTGAACAATGCGCTTGACATGGCAGCTGCTCTTCTGAAACGTGGCCGTGCCGCGAATGGCGTCCGCCACGTGTGATGGATCATACCCCAAGTCGTGTGCCGCCTCCGCCTGTGCCCCATAGACCAGCCGCTGTTAAGGCAAGGGGATGGGGGCAGTGAGGAAAGGAGACGGAGGGGAGGAGGGCGAAGGGAAGCAGGGTGGAGTGACAAGAGAGCGGTTGAGAGGCAAATGCTCCGCCTGCGCCTCGTACACCAGGCAGTGGTAGGGGAGGGGGAGGGGAGAAGGGACAGGGGGGAGAGGGAACGTGGGGTGGACTGCCACACGTACACCGTGCCCTAGAGCCAAGGGAGAGAGGTATATGTGAGACAAGGGGCTGGGGCATTGGGGGCATGGGGGTGGCATGGGGGCATGGGGGTGGCATTGGGGGCATGGGGGTGGCATGGGGGCATGGGGGTGGCATGTGGGCATGGGGGTGGCATGTGGGCATGGGGGTGGCATGGGGGCATGGGGGTGGCATGGGGGCATGGGGGTGGCATGGGGGCATGGGGGTGGCATGGGGGCATGGGGGTGGCACTGGGGGCATGGCAAAGAAGGACATGGGACATGGATGACATGGTGGTCATGGGGGCATGGGGGGCCAGGAGGCATGGGGCCGGCCGATGGGTCACTGACAGGGAGGCACACGAGGTACATGATCGCAAAGGTTATAGGGCAGGGAGGGTATGGCATGGGGAGCAGGAAGCGTGGGGGCATGAGGGCACAGGGGGCTGGGGGCATGGGAGGGTGACAGTGACCCATGGCAGGACAAGGCAGGACGGGCATGGCATGGGGAGCAGGAGGGATGGAGCATATGGGGGAAGAGGGCAGCACAAGGCACAACCAGAGGGTGACTGACCGGGAGGCGGGCGAGGTACATGGCGGCAAAGGACATGGGACAGGGCTCGCAGGAGGAGTAGATGACGCAGTCCGATAGCTCTATCTTCCCCAGCGCCTTGCACGCCTGCACGTGATTGGTCGAGCGGTATGGGTGGACAGGAGGGCGTTTGGATCGGTGGAGGGCGGTTGTAAGGAGGGAGGCAGAATGCGAGGGAGAGCGTAATGCAAGATAGATGGACGGTAGGGATTGTTTGACAGGCTCTTCAGAACTGCTACCTCACCTTTTGGATGGCGATGATTTCTGCGTGGCACGTGGGGTCCTTGTGTTTGACAAGTAGACTCAACAGTCACCTGGTCGGCAAAAGTGCTCAGCCCGTCGCTCACCTTCTGAATGGCGATGATCTCGGCGTGGCACGTGGGGTCCTTGTGCTTCAGCACCTCGTTGTGCGCGCGCGCCACGATCTCCCCGTTCCGTACAATCACCGCGCCAAACGGTCCGCCGTCCTTCTCCAGCGCGCCCGCCTCCGCTTCCTCCGCCGCGACTGTGAGGAACTGATAGTCCTGCTCGTCCTCCACCTCCATCTCCGACCGTACACGTGGCAGAGATTTCACATCGACGGTATCGGGGGACGAGAAGGAGGCGATGGGCTGAGGTGGCGACTTTCTGTCAATTCCGTCATCGTCGACGGAGGCGTTCACGTCTTTTGACGATTTGGAGTCAGGTTTGGACGGAGCGAGGCGACGGGAGAGGAAGAAGGTGAGAGCGGCTGAAAGAGAAGCGGCGACGATGACGTCGACCCGCATCGCGGAAGTCTCGAAAAATGTTCGTATCTGAGATCAACTACTTATTTTTTTACTACGCCGAAAATACGCGAAGTGCAAATCAGTCTCGGATTCTGACCAGCCGCGACTCAGGAGGAACAGCGACGCAGAGGGAGTTTTGAGACCGGCGGGATGATACGGACATGGAAAACCGTTATAGGTGAGTTTTATTTAACGACTTTAAATTATCACTGTATTGTAAGACCAGTTGCGAAGGCATGTGGCGTGAGAGGGAGATAGCGGCAGTCATAGAACTTGACCAGCGCAGTCATAGGTATGGATTGAAGCAGACCGAGGCGAAGTGCGAGCAGGGCTGTCGCTTGGTCAGAAGCCAACCCCGAGGCTGTGCTGGTCAGACACGAGCCCTGGAATCTCGGGAAAGCACCCCAGACCAGCCCTCATAATTCAGGCCATTTTGATTCCTGCTTTGAGCCACATGGGTCGGAAACCTAAGTAATTCTAGTGGCCTACTTTACCGAGCAAAGCACGCTGGGGTACGTGGGTGCGGTGGGGGGTCGTTGTTGGGAGGGAGGGGGAGGGGCACATCCACGGTCTGTGGTCGGAAGAAGGGGGTGCTGTGGTCGGAAGAAGGGGTTGCTAGAAAGGGGGGGTTGGGGAGTAGGCTCCAAACCTTTTCTTCCACACCCTTCAAATTGTTTCTGTTACACATGAAGTTTTTCCTCTCCCAGGGATTGCCCACACTTCAGTTACGGGTTTGTGGAGGAGCACTTAACAAACGAATTTCTCAGGTTTGTGGATCAGGTACGGCGGTGCTTGCTTCGGAATCATAGCCGGGCCTTGATGGTGGGCTATGCTTTCAAAGGAGGTGTAATTTAACGGGTACAAGTACGTGACGTATAATATTTTAAATGACTCTGTTATACGAAGGTTCTACTGACGAAATATGAGCTATAACGAGGTATTTTTACTGACGGTGTTTGTCGAACGCCTGATCTTCCACACCCTTCAAATTGTCTCTACTGTTAAATTTACCTCTAGTAGGGAGCGCCCGCACTTAAGTGACGGATCTGTGGAAGAGGAGCACTTAACAAACCAATTGCCCAGGTTCATGGACCAGGCGGCACGGAATCATAGCTAAGAACCCGACATGACGGTGGACTATGCTTAAAATTGAGATGTAATTAAAAGAGTAAGTAGGTCATGGGTAAACTTCTAAACGACTCTATAACAGAAGGTTTTACTGTCGAGAACGAAGCTTTAACGAGGTATTTCAATGACGGTATTTGTCGAACATCCAAAAATATTCCACACCCTTCAAATTGTTTCTACCGTAAAATAATACCTCTCCTAGGGAGTGACGTACTGGCATTCGTGGAGGAGCACTTCACGATGAATTTCACAGGTTCAAGGATCAAGCACGGAATCATAGCGAAGAACCCCATAATTACGGTAGGCTACGCTAAAGAATGAGATGTAGTTAAAGGGTCCAGTACATGACGGATATCTCCTAAACGTCTCCGTTGTACTTCTGCAAACAAAACGTTAATGAGATATTTCGGTCGAATATCCTAAGGCCTTCCACACCCTTAAATTGTTTGTAGTGAAAAACTACCTATCCTAGGGTTTGGGGAGGACTACTTTACAAACGAATTTCACGGTGGTGCTTGCGGCGGAATCCAGCCATGCCCCATAAGACGGTGGGCTATGATTGAAAAAGAAGGTGTCACTTAGCGGGTACAATTACGCGAGGGGTAATCTTCGAAATGTCTCCGTTAGACGAAGGCTCTACTGTAAAAAAATGAGCTATAACTAGGTATTTTAGCGACGGTGTTGTCGAACATCGGAAGATCTTCCACACCCTTCAAATTGTTTCAATTATTTTTTCACCACCCCTCTCAGAAATTTCCAACTCCCTAACATGCCCCTCTACAAAGCTGACGGCAATTTCAAGGAGCATTTATCTTTCCCCCATCTCCTTAGAAGCACACCTCTTCTACTGTCTGCTTCTCCATATTCTTCCGCCCCACCTCTGCCTGAATTCCCGAAGCTGGTCGCTCTGGATTTCCAATCGCCTTCCCGTCCTTAGCTCCAAACCCTCCTCCTCTAACCATGTCTCGTTTCGCTGATTGTTCGTCGTAACACTGAGCTTCCGTGCAAGCCCAAATTCATCGGGCGTTTCTTCGAATTCAACATCCGAGCGGTTACCGTCAACCGCCAAACCTCCCATGGCGTTTCGACTTCTGCTCGGCCTGTTAACCTTCTCCGAGCCGCCAATCAGCGAGGCGGAATGGTGGTTCTACTTAGGTCTCTCCGCGTTTCTCGTTGTGTTCGCGGGCCTAATGTCGGGACTGACTCTCGGCCTCATGTCGCTGAGCCCCGTGGATTTAGAGGTGCTCGTTCAGAGCGGCACGGAGGACGAGCAGCGGCAGGCGGCGGCGATTATCCCCGTTGTGGAGAAACAGCACGAGCTGCTGGTGACGCTTCTGCTCTGCAACGCCGTGGCCATGGAGGTGAGCTTTTAGAGGCATGTGGTGAGTTTTCTCACGTCAAAATATGATGACACTCCTTCCTAGTGGGGAGACAGCACGAGCTGCTGGTCACGCTTCTGCTCTGCAATGCCATCGCCTCGCCATGCAGGTGAGCATCGAAAGAGTTGTGTTGAGTTGGCTCACGGCATGGCAGGATGTGATATCAGCCCTTACCTACCAGTGGAGAGATTCGACCATCTGAGTGCTTTCCTGACGGTTCCTTGTCTCCAGTGTGTCCGTGGTTTTGGTCTAATCTGTGGTCTCTGGGGTAGTCACTCACCCACTCACTCACTCACTGCCATATGTCTGTTGCTCCTCGCGTCATCACATCCTTTCACCACTGCATCATTCCCACCAACACAACACACCATGGCAGGCCCTGCCAGTGTTTCTCGACCGACTCGTCCCCCCAGCCGTGGCCATTGCTCTTTCTGTCTCCTTCGTGCTGCTCTTCGGTGAGGTGAGCGTGTAATGCACCTGTTTAGCAAGGTCGAAAGCACAATGCTACCGAATGTTTTTTTTTTCGACGCACAATGAGTGCCTGTGTGCCTGTGTGTCTCAGGTATTGAAGCCTTCTTTTTTCATTTCACCGCGCCAAAAACACACTCTCGCTCTATGCCGCCTTATATCCCCCGTCCACCAAAAACCCATCCTTCCCCTCAAGTGATCCCCCAAGCAGTGCGCTCGTGGTACAGCCTGGCAGTGGGAGCCAATCTCATTCCCTCCATGCGCGGCCTCATGCTGCTCTGCTGCTGTCGCCACACAATCTGCATCTGTGTGTCTGTGTGTTGGTCCATGCATGCGTGACAGGTGATTCCCCAAGCCGTGTGCTCGCGGTACGGGCTGGCAGTGGGCGCCAATCTCATTCCCCTCGTGCGCTGCCTCATGCTGCTCTGCTGGCCCATCTCCTTCCCCATCGCCAAGGTGCCTCCCCTCTCTCTCTCTCTCTCCCTCTCTTCACTCGCCTCCCTGCTGACAAGCTTCCCCATCGCCAAGGTGCCTTTGCATCCTCTCTCTCGTTCTCTCTTGCACTCTCGCCCTCTTGCTCAGAAGCTTCCTATCTCAGTCCGCTCCACTGCGCTGCTTAGCAGCTTCCTGTTTTCCCACTGCCAAGGTATTCCACTGTTGTGATGTACTATACCCCTCGCCGTGCCCCACCCTACCCCACACCCCTCATGCAACACACATCACCAACCCCTCATCCAAGCCCCACGCACCACGCCCTGGGTGCTGGACTCTCAGATGAGCTGTGCCTCACACCACACACACACACCACCATCCCTCACCCCCCCGTCCCCCCGCCTCCAGGTGCTGGACTATCTGCTGGGGCATGACGACCCGCTCTTCAGGCGCCAGCAGCTCAAGGCGCTCGTCAGCATCCATGGCGCTGAGGTGCGGTGAGGTGCAGTGCGGTGCTTGCAAAGGCAGAGGTGGGGTGGGGTGCTTGCAGGGGCTGAGGCACACACGTTTGGGGCAGAGGCACACACGTTTGGGGCAGAGGCACACACGTTTGGGGCAGAGGCACACACGTTTGGGGCAGAGGCACACACGTTTGGGGCAGAGGCACACACGTTTGGGGCAGAGGCACACACGTTTGGGGCAGAGGCACACACGTTTGGGGCAGAGGCACACACGTTTGGGGCAGAGGCACACACGTTTGGGGCAGAGGCACACACGTTTGGGGCAGAGGCACACACGTTTGGGGCAGAGGCACACACGTTTGGGGCAGAGGCACACACGTTTGGGGCAGAGGCACACACGTTTGGGGCAGAGGCACACACGTTTGGGGCAGAGGCACACACGTTTGGGGCAGAGGCACACACGTTTGGGGCAGAGGCACACACGTTTGGGGCAGAGGCACACACGTTTGGGGCAGAGGCACACACGTTTGGGGCAGAGGCACACACGTTTGGGGCAGAGGCACGGGCATTCAGCATGCCTCCTGCCCAACCCATCCCTACCATGTTTCTTCCGCTTTTCCCATCCCTCGTGGCCCCTTCCCATCCAACCTCCCCTCCCCATCCCTCCTCCTCCTCCTCCCTCCTCCTCCTCCTCCCTCCTCCTCCTCCCTCCATGCATACAACCCCTCCAGTCCAGTCCCTTGTCTTTTATCTGATCTATCCTGCTTCCTTCCTCACAACGCCTGTCTGCCAGGTAACTCCTCTCTTTTCGCGTATTTTTCATTTATATTCATCTGATTCATAGAAATTTCTATTCACTTGCAAGCTCCCCGTTCATCTTCCCACAACCATCTCCCACCCACACCCCATTCAAACTCCAACACCCTGCCAAATCTCCCCTCCTTGTTGCGCCATGCCCCATGCCCCAATGGTAAATCCCCCATAACCCCATGGCAAATCCCCCATACCCCCATGGCAAATCTCCCATAGCCCCATGGCTAACCCCCGATAGCCCCATGGAAAATCTCCCACTCTCTATGGGAATCCCCCACCGGGCCACCCCCATGGCACCAGGCGGGCATGGGAGGGGAGTTGACGCGCAGTGAGACCACCATCATCAGCGGTGCCCTTGACCTCACACAGAAGGTGAGTTCCAGCCAGCCATTGATCTCACGCAATCAGGTGACTCCGAGCCGTTGATCCGACGCTCACAAGCCTATCATGACAGGCGGTCTTTTGCTCTTTCCCACTTCTTGTACCATTGACATTTCACTCCTCACTGTGCTATTTTTGAGGCGCCCCAAAACTGAGACGATTTTTGAGGCGTCTCAAAAATCACTTCACGTACCATTGAGCTTTCACTCCTCACTGTTCTTTCTATCCTTCACTGCTGCTTTCTATGCCATTTGGCTACACGTGGCTATTCAAACGCACTACTCTCGTAGACTCCGCCTTTGTCTTCCAGGCTGTCTAATAATTTCCCCCTGCTTCTGTTTCTGCTTGTGCAATGTGACTGCTGCTGCATGTGACTATAGACAGCGGAGGAGGCGATGACCCCCATAGAGTCAACGTTCTCTCTCAGCGTCAACTCGCGCCTTGACTGGTATGTATGGGCTCATTTAGTGTCATGGCTGGGACACAATGGGGCGTTTCTTGGTGCACATTGTGCGCACCACACCCGACTCTTCACATGTCTTAAAGGTGCCTTTCCGGCCTTCCACGTTTCCCCTGCCTTCCCACTCTCCCTATCCTCCTGCCTGCCAGGGACACAATGGGGCGCATCTTGGCGAGGGGCCACAGCCGTGTGCCGGTGTACCGGGGCCATCCCAGCAACATCATTGGCGTGCTGCTCACCAAAACCCTGCTCACCGTGCGCCCTGAGGATGAGACTCCTGTCAGCTCCATCTCCATCCGCCGCGTGCCGAGGTAGGTCGCTTTTGAGATGCCTTAGAAAGCGCGATGAGACCTCTCGGAACAAAATAATAATGATAATAATAATGATGATAATAATAATAATAATAATAATCACAATAATAATAATAATCACAATAATAATAATAACAATAATCATAATAGCAATAATAATAATGATCATCGTCAACAATAATAATAACAATAATTGTATAAAATAATAATTCTGAGACATCCCTCCCTCGGCCCCTCTCCCGCTCCCAGGATGGCAGCGAGTTTGCCGCTGTACAGTGTGCTGAACGAGTTTCAGAAGGGCAGCTCCCACATGGCTGTCGTTGTCAAGAAGAAAACACCACCCCCCCCCACCCACGCCTCCCTCGCTGCTGCTGCCGCTGCCGCCGCTGGCGGTGCTGCTCCTGCTGCTGTGGGTGGAGGTGGCCTGGGGGGGTTGCAAGCGGGGAGTGCGGGGGAGCAGGCAGACGTGCTGACAATCACCATGCCCACGAGCACCTCCGAGTCCTCCCACCACGCGCTCTTCAACGACCCCACCTACTGCGAGACGCACAGCCAGGGGGGCGACAGCCGCCGCAACTCAGAGGACTTGCATGAACATGGTTATGCCTATGGGGGTGGGTATGAGTATGGGAGTGGGAGTGGGTATGGGTATGGGAGTGGGATTGGGATTGGGTATGGGTGTGGACGGAGTCAGGGCAATCAGCAGCAGGAGCCCAGGACGCCTCCGCCTCAGGGGCAAACACAGGGCACTGTGTTCCGAGGAGCTTCCACTGGAGATTCACCCTTGCAACGCTCCCTCACTCCTCCTCCTGGTCATTACCATCAGCATCCGCATGACTATCAGCATCAGCAGCAGCGTTATCGCTTTGAGCGGCCCAGAACGCCCCCGCCTGTGCTGCTTGCGGCAGAAACAGCTGCTCTGGCGACGGGGGGTTCTTCCGCTGCTGCTGCCTTCGCCGCTGCTGCTGCCAGCGCGGGATTTGAGCACACACATGGGGTCGCTGGTGCTGCTGGCGGTGCTGGTGCTGCTGGCGGTGCTGGTGCTGGTGCTGGCGCAGGGGGGATGCACGGTCATGCTCCTGCTGTGGCAGAAGCAGGGTTGGGGCAAGCGCACATGGCGGCACATGCTCCCATCAACCATGTGACATGGCATGATCAGCACCCAGGGATGCCCCATGCAAGAAGGGAAGGGGCAGTAAGGGCAGCAGGAGGAGGAGCAGGGGGTGTAGCAGGAGGGGGGGCAGCGGTGGGAGTAGCAGGGGGAGCAGGGGAGGAGGAGGATGTAGACGTGGTGTATTCGACCAAGGAGAGGAAGGCGAGGGCGGGTAGGAGGGAGGGCCATGGGGCGAGTGGGAGGGCGGAGGGGCAGCGGAGGGAGCAGGAGCGGGAAGGAGCAGGAGGGGGGTGGAGGTGGGAGAGACGGGATGAGACGGAGGAAGTGGTGGGGATTATCACACTGGAAGATGTAATCGAGGAGCTATTGCAGGTGCGTTGGCTTCCTATAAGTGCAGTTGTGTTGGTTCCTCGCTTGCTGTCGTGTGCGATAAGAAGGCCTTTGAGGCCTTATCTACTGCTCGCTCCCCTGTACAACTCCTATCGTTGTGCTGCTATCAAAATTACAACACCTGGTATCCTCGTTTCTCCATTGTGTTCTCCTTCCCCCTTGGTGGTCGGACAGGAGGAGATAGTGGATGAGACCAATGAGTACATTGATTGCACTGACGCCTTCCCTCTCATCCTTCCTGCCACCTTCTGTTGCTTTCTCCCCCGTGCAACACCTATCCTTGCTTCTCCCCCTTGGTGGTCGGACAGGAGGAGATAGTGGATGAGACCGATGAGTACATAGACGTGCACCGACGGTACGGCTGCATGCTCTCTCACTCACTCTTGCCCTCACCTACTCAATTCAATCCCTCATGCACTCACTCTCTCACTCACTCACTCACACGCATGCACTCTGCCACTGCACAACATTTGTACGTTCCTGTCACTTACTCATGCTCATTCATGCCCTTTCCTACTGAAAATGCCTAGACCTCCACAGCTGATCATTTTTTCATGCTCATTTGGTGTTCTGCACTTCATCCCCACATCTCACCACATCTCACCACATGTCACCACATGTCACCGCATGTCACCACATGTCACCACATCTCACCACATGTCACCACGTCTTACCACATGGTGCAGCATCCGGGTGGCAGCCAAAGTGGGGCTCAACATTATGCCCAGACGAGTCCCTTCATCCTCCCGCATGCTTGTAAGCCTCTCAACTCACCCCCTCTCTGCCTACCCTGCATCATCTACCTTTTCCGAAGCATGCTGCGAGTCACCAGAACGTGCTGCAGTTGCCATCCTTCAAGTCCCCGTCTTACACCTCTCGGGCATCCTACATTCTGCTCCCGGCCGATTTTTGTCATATGCCCATTCCGCCCTGCCAATCCATTTCCCCCCCCGCTTTCTCCTCTCCCTTACCCATCCTCTACCCCCAACTTCCCCCAGGCCAACTCTTCACACAACCTGCAAGGCTTGGCCCGTCCAGATGCCCGCTCCAACCCACCAGATGTAGCCTCAGCATTCGCTGCTGCCGCAGCTGCTGACTTCTCAGGCCTCCCCCGCACACCCCCAGGAGGGGCCATGAGCGCCCCCACAGACTCAGGCATTACGCAGCCTTTGCTTGAGAGAACCTGACCTGACCAGTGACCACTGACCACCCAACCCAATTGTTGGGGGTGCCAAAATCCAGACCAAACCTGGGTCCTTTCCCTTTCCACCTGAAACTCCACGCCACGACCAGCCAAATCAACCCCTGGTTATTGTTGGAAAGAAAGTGTTACCATCTGAGACACGTAAGCATTGTGGCTGAGGCTGTGTGACATGCCTGTTTTAAAGAGGACGCTGAACGTGCCCTGCCCTCTCAGGGCAGACCGGCCATGCCATCATTTCAATTCCTTCCCGAAGCAACCCCCGCTCCCAAGAAGGTTGAACAAGCCAGGCTACACATGTACCATAATGCATTCGGTAACAAGGAACTCTCTTCATACAATCTAGCAAAGCTGATGCAACATTGGCACTCCACTCAGTCACATGCCTCGTATAATCACACCAGCCCTTAGGAACACCCTTCTAGCTCTCTCCGTCACTTTTCCCTTCTCCACCTTCAGCCACCGTAGCTTCGGGAAACTCCCAAGAATACCCCCAATACTCTCTGCAGTCACCTTGGGACATGCTACAACACTCAAACGCATGAGCTTTTCCAGTCTACTCCCCGAAAGCACCCGGTCGGAGAACTCGTCGTTGTAGTCCACAAGGAGATGCTCTAAACGAGGACAGGACTCCAAAATCACATGAAAATCACTCTCTTCGAGCCCCGAGCACGCGTGCAGGGACAGCCGCCTCAATTGCCTAAATGCGATGAGCGACGGTGAAGGCCAAGGGATGGTGGAGAGTAGGGAGACTCGAACATCTGGGGCAAAGACAAAGCAGTGGAGGCAGAGCGACTCCAGAGGCACAACACTTGCCTCCACAGAATGGAGTGGCAAAGGCAAAGCTCGAGGTGCAGTTGCCTGTGTGTAGCTAACAACGGGGTCCACGGGTGCTGGTGTGTTCACTACTGCGGGTGCATTCACTGGTGCTGCAGCGGTCCCCAAGCCTACGGTTGGATCTAGTCCGTCTCTCCGTCCTCCTCCATCTGCTCCTCCTTCCCCACCCGCCCCCTCTCCAACAGTTGCACCCCTCCCTTCTCTTCCACGCCGCTCCCCAACCGCCGGTCCAAACAGCGCAGAAAAGAAATCATTCATCGATTGTAGAGGCAGATCAAGCCTCCCTCCACTCAGCATACCAGCAATATCCCACACGGACCCCTTTCCATACTCCAATCGCAGCGACTTCAAACGTGTACACCCCTCAAGCGTGCCCCGGCGCAGCATTGGCATGCCACTAAGCGTCAGCGTTTCTAAAGCGCCGGCGGCGGATTTAAGTGCCGCTTCGATCTCCCTAGGGCTGAAGAGACGCATGTTGCCCCGCAGGGAGAGAGACGCGAGAGAGGAATTAGCAGCTGTCAGACAGGCCACAGCAGATGCGGGAACCAAGAGGCAGTCTTGTATGGTCAGGTGGGTGAGTGTGTGGAGGAAGCGCGAGAGAGTGTGCATTTCGGGGAAATCGATTTGTGAGCACGTGCAGAGAGCGAGGGAGGAGAGGAGGGGGAAAGCACCGAGCGATCCCAGGGAGGCTCTAACTGATGCTGATGTAAGGGTGAGAGATTGGAGGGCGGGGAGAGAGGAGGAGGAGGAGGAGAGGGAGGAGAGAAGCGGGTCAGTGAGGTGCCAGAGGGAGAGGGAGGTGAGGGAGGAGCAGCGCGAGAGAGAGGCGATTTGCACTGGAAGGCCGTCCAGGCGGTAGAGGGTGAGAGAGAGGAGCGAGGGGAAGGCGGAGAGCGGCGGGCACACTGCTTTTGCGGATACCAGGCGGAGCTCGAGCGACTTGAGCGCGCTGGTGGGGCTCTCGGGGAGAGCAAAGGGAAGGACGGGAGGAGGAGGGATAAGGATAAGTTCGGAAGATGAAGATGAGAAGAGAAAGAAATATTCGTGTCTGAAGCACATAAGAGTCGGAGGAGATGGAAGCCTCACGTGAGATTGCCTATGACAGGTGAAAGCACAGGACGAAGATTGCCTATTGTGAGATTCCAAGCTATGATCAAATCTAGCAAGTATGAAAACGACTACCAGCTATGACATGGAATCAGGGCACTCACGAGCACTGGGCGCTGAACGTCCTCCATCCGTCATCCGTCACCTCCTCGCATCCCACAAGGCTCAGCCTCTCCAGCTGCGAGCATCTAGATCCGACGGCCAGCAGCAGCTCATCGCCAACAGTCGATTTCCCCCGATCGTTGATCACGGAGAGATCTTCAAGACCCGAGCATCGCCGAAGCAGCGATTCGAGTATCTGGACGTGGGGGGTCCCCTGGCGGGCCTTGTAGGTCAAGGTGCGGCGAGAACGGTTTTCGAGTTCGCGAAATCGCGAACAGGCGAGCGCGACGTTTCGCCGATCGAAGGGATTCTCAAGCTGACGTACGATCGACGTCAGCACCTCGTCAGGGAGATCGAGGATGAGAGCAGCTCCGCGACGATTCATGGTTCCGACACAAGAAAACCCTATGCTGATTAAACGCGTCGCCAGACGCTAACTGAAAGCTAAGAAAACGGTGGCTTTACGGTGCCAAACTCGGCCTTCGAAATTCCAGCGGTAGATCTAAGAACGAGGCCTAATAAACAGACAGTCACATTGTGACAGAGTTGAGTGAAGTGGCGGGTATTCGGAGCTTCTATTCCACCATATGGTCATGAGAGGGACTAGCCTGGCATACCAGCAACAGACCCTCCACCCTTATGCGGTTCGGGGGGGGTTATGTCATTCTGGGGATTCGCGAAAAAAGAAACGTTTCGCAATAACTTTCGCGAGGCTTCGTTGAAAGCGAAGTCGAACAGAGTTACACTGGGCATGCACAACGAGGTCCTCACGATTGGAATATTCGCTACACTGGCAAAGTGCACAATTAGTCCACATGCAATCCAGAAAATAATTGTTGACAAACCTTCATAGCTACAATAAAAGAACACTTCAAGCATGGTCGACAAGAATAGCTAATCTTGATGGATACTGCCCAAGACTGCTGCGAAGGCCTTCGGCACACGAACCGTATCGGAACACCCGGGAGAAAAAAAGGATGCCAACAGGGCAAAAGGAGAAGCACAATACTCGGAGCGGCTGCTTGGCATCACAGCGGCAGCTCATCAAATCCGGGCTTGTGTAGGTCGGTTTTTGCTGCTGTAAGGGGCAGTGCCTCGGATCTGCACACCAAGCCCTGTATCCTTTCATATCACACTTCCATTCATGTCCTCTGCTGCCCTTCCCTCCGCGCTCCATTGAAATCCATCTCTACCGCACTCGTCTCCATCTCTACCCCACCACCAATTTCATGTGCTCCTCTCTTCCCCCCCCTTTCCAGCTCCGCACCAGTTGGTCCCAACGTCAGTTAGCTACAGCTGGACCGAAAGCGGTGGAAAGCAATCGGGGGGGCGAGAACAAAAAGCGCAGATGCGCACACACCCGCACACACACACACACACGCACAAGCAACATACACGCAGGCACACTCAGGTTGGTTGGCCTCCAGTAAGATAACCTGTGGGAGTGGTGCCAGACAAGCTGCGTCACTCTAACTCCCCATGGGAGCAACATAACAGGGTGCAGAATGCAGTGTGCTTGTCAAAACCACGTGCTGCTGCCGTGTGTGATGCTGGCGCTGCTGCTGGGCCTGGGCCCAAGCTGAGACTGCCCAGCTGCCCCTGTAGAGGCTGCTTCATTAGAAGACCGTTTCAGTAAAAGGATTGTTCACCTTAGATGGCTGGGAGGGCTCTTTTGCCGGCCTAGGAACTCGTAATTAATCTCAGCCAATTGGGAGAGGTTCTGAAAAAGGGATGAAAGGGAGACAGGGTGAGTGCAAGGGGGAAAGCAGGGGAGCAGTAGGGGGTGAGACTTGGACAAATTAGACAAATTATCAAGAGACTCAAATATTTCCCTAGGAATTTGATCTCAGCCGATTGAAAGAGGTTCTGAATCAAGGTGTTAAGAGGGAAGAGGGGGTGAGTGCAGGGAGGAAGAGAACGGAGGGGTGAGGGCAGCATCTACATCAGCATGAGCATGAGAATGAGCATCATGAGCATGAGCACGAGCATCATGAGCATGAGCATCATGAGCATGAACACGAGCATCATGAGCATGAGCACGAGCATCATGAGCATGAACACGAGCATCATGAGCATGAACACGAGCATCATGAGCATGAACATGAGCATCATGAGCATGAACACGAGCATCATGAGCATGAACACGAGCATCATGAGCATGAACACGAGCATCATGAGCATGAACACGAGCATCATGAGCATGAACACGAGCATCATGAGCATGAACACGAGCATCATGAGCATGAGCACGAGCATCATGAGCATGAACACGAGCATCATGAGCATGAACACGAGCATCATGAGCATGAACACGAGCACGGACCTTGAAGGAGAAATTGGTGAAGGCAGCAGCGACATTGTCCGAGAAGTTCCTCATGTCCCCGGGCTCATCCCCCTGCCACCCACCACCATGCAGCACAACACACACACACACACACACACACACATACGACACAGCATACACACAGCAAGCAGCGGCACACACACACAAACACACAGAGATGGTTGAATCTACGTTATACATTCACACCCCTCCATCCACAACCAATGGCCTGTGACAAAGCATTGCCTCCTCCCATGCCCCACCCCATCCCTCCACTTCCTCCCCACTCCCTATGCCTCGTCTTCATTCAGCCTGCCCCCCTGTTTAACTGCCTCTGCCCTCATCAAGACCTCCGCCTGCCAGCCCTCACCTGCTCACCTTGCCCTCACCTGCTCACCTTGCCCTCACCTGCTCACCTTGCCCTCACCTGCTCACCTTGCCCTCACCGGCTCACCTTGCCCTCACCTGCTCACCTTGCCCTCACCTGTTCACCTTGCCCTCACCTGTTCATCTTGCCCTCACCTGCTCACCTTGCCCTCACCTGCTCACCTTGCCCTCACCTGCTCACCTTGCCCTCACCTGCTCACCTTGCCCTCACCTGCTCACCTTGCCCTCACCTGCTCACCTTGCCCTCACCGGCTCACCTTGCCCTCACCTGCTCACCTTGCCCTCACCTGCTCACCTTGCCCTCACCTGCTCACCTTGCCCTCACCTGTTCACCTTGCCCTCACCTGTTCACCTTGCCCTCACCTGCTCACCTTGCCCTCACCTGCTCACCTTGCCCTCACCTGCTCACCTTGCCCTCACCTGCTCACCTTGCCCTCACCTGCTCACCTTGCCCTCACCTGCTCACCTTGCCCTCACCTGTTCACCTTGCCCTCACCTGTTCACCTTGCCCTCACCTGCTCACCTTGCCCTCACCTGCTCACCTTGCCCTCACCTGCTCACCTTGCCCTCACCTGTTCACCTTGCCCTCACCTGCTCACCTTGCCCTCACCTGCTCACCTTGCCCTCACCTGTTCACCTTGCCCTCACCTGCTCACCTTGCCCTCACCTGCTCACCTTGCCCTCACCTGCTCACCTTGCCCTCACCTGCTCACCTTGCCCTCACCTGCTCACCTTGCCCTCACCTGCTCACCTTGCCCTCACCGGCTCACCTTGCCCTCACCTGCTCACCTTGCCCTCACCTGCTCACCTTGCCCTCACCTGTTCACCTTGCCCTCACCTGCTCACCTTGCCCTCACCTGCTCACCTTGCCCTCACCTGTTCACCTTGCCCTCACCTGTTCACCTTGCCCTCACCTGTTCACCTTGCCCTCACCTGTTCACCTTGCCCTCACCTGCTCACCTTGCCCTCACCTGCTCACCTTGCCCTCACCTGTTCACCTTGCCCTCACCTGCTCACCTTGCCCTCACCTGCTCACCTTGCCCTCACCTGCTCACCTTGCCCTCACCGGCTCACCTTGCCCTCACCTGTTCACCTTGCCCTCACCTGCTCACCTTGCCCTCACCTGTTCACCTTGCCCTCACCTGCTCACCTTGCCCTCACCTGCTCACCTTGCCCTCACCTGTTCACCTTGCCCTCACCTGTTCACCTTGCCCTCACCTGTTCACCTTGCCCTCACCTGTTCACCTTGCCCTCACCTGCTCACCTTGCCCTCACCTGCTCGCCCCATAACTCTGACTTGCTGGCACTAGCACTCTCACCTGGTCGCCCTAGCTCACTCATCTGCTCCACCCCCCTCACACACCCTCATCGGCTCGCAGGCACTGCCCTTGCTGCCATGCTCAGTTGACCTTTGAGTCGACTCAAAAGCCATGCTCCCACTCACTGTCATCACCAGCTCCCCCCCTGCCTGCCCTCACCTGCTCGCCCTGGTAAAAGTCATCTGCAGACGTGCTGCTGCAGGCGTCGCTGCTGGCGCTCTCGCTCTCGCCCATGCCCATCGCCATGCCGCCTCCGTCCATGCCGCCCGGCTCCTGCTGCCACCCGCGCGTCAGAAAGTACCCCGTGTCATGCGGGCTGTCAGGACTTGGCACAAACGCCGCCTGCGATAAGGTAGGGAAGAGAAGACAGAATTTGATGAGCTTTCTTAATTTGGGGGGGGAGGGGGGGAATAAGCGGCAAGAAAGCTGGGGAGAGGAGATGGTTCACGTGCAGCAGGCTCCTGCTGCCGCCCGCGCGTCAGAAAGTACCCCGTGTAGTGCGGGCTGCCTGGGCTCGGCACAAACGCTGCCTGCAGCAAGTGGCGAGTGAGCGAAGCGGGGAGAGGGCACATAGCATGTGGCACCTGACACATGGCACATGGCACACGACAGACGGGAGATGGCATATAGCACACATGATCCCAACCATGCAACCCCATCCCCACCTGCTCCCCCCCAGCCCCACCTGCTCCTCCCCAGCCCCACCTGCTCCTCCCCAGCCCCACCTGCTCCCCCCCAGCCCCACCTGCTCCTCCCCAGCCCCACCTGCTCCTCCCCAGCCCCACCTGCTCCTCCCCAGCCCCACCTGCTCCTCCCCAGCCCCACCTGCTCCTCCCCATCCCCACCTGCTCCTCCCCAGCCCCACCTGCTCCTCCCCAGCCCCACCTGCTCCTCCCCAGCCCCACCTGCTCCTCCCCAGCCCCACCTGCTCCTCCCCAGCCCCACCTGCTCCTCCCCAGCCCCACCTGCTCCCCCCCAGCCCCACCTGCTCCCCCCCAGCCCCACCTGCTCCCCCCCAGCCCCACCTGCTCCCCCCCAGCCCCACCTGCTCCCCCCCAGCCCCACCTGCTCCCCCCAGCCCCACCTGCTCCCTCCCCAGCCCCACCTGCTCCCCCCAGCCCCACCTGCTCCCCCCAGCCCCACCTGCTCCTCCCCCCCAGCCCCACCTGCTCCCCCCCAGCCCCACCTGCTCCCCCCAGCCCCACCTGCTCCTCCCCAGCCCCACCTGCTCCTCCCCAGCCCCACCTGCTCCTCCCCAGCCCCACCTGCTCCTCCCCAGCCCCACCTGCTCCTCCCCAGCCCCACCTGCTCCCCCCAGCCCCACCTGCTCCCCCCCAGCCCCACCTGCTCCTCCCCAGCCCCACCTGCTCCTCCCCAGCCCCACCTGCTCCTCCCCAGCCCCACCTGCTCCTCCCCAGCCCCACCTGCTCCTCCCCAGCCCCACCTGCTCCTCCCCAGCCCCACCTGCTCCTCCCCAGCCCCACCTGCTCCTCCCCAGCCCCACCTGCTCCTCCCCAGCCCCACCTGCTCCTCCCCAGCCCCACCTGCTCCTCCCCAGCCCCACCTGCTCCCCCCCAGCCCCACCTGCTCCCCCCAGCCCCACCTGCTCCTCCCCAGCCCCACCTGCTCCTCCCCAGCCCCACCTGCTCCTCCCCAGCCCCACCTGCTCCTCCCCAGCCCCACCTGCTCCTCCCCAGCCCCACCTGCTCCCCCCAGCCCCACCTGCTCCCCCCCAGCCCCACCTGCTCCCCCCAGCCCCACCTGCTCCTCCCCAGCCCCACCTGCTCCTCCCCAGCCCCACCTGCTCCTCCCCAGCCCCACCTGCTCCTCCCCAGCCCCACCTGCTCCCCCCCAGCCCCACCTGCTCCCCCCCAGCCCCACCTGCTCCCCCCAGCCCCACCTGCTCCCCCCCAGCCCCACCTGCTCCCCCCCAGCCCCACCTGCTCCTCCCCAGCCCCACCTGCTCCTCCCCAGCCCCACCTGCTCCTCCCCAGCCCCACCTGCTCCTCCCCAGCCCCACCTGCTCCTCCCCAGCCCCACCTGCTCCCCCCAGCCCCACCTGCTCCCCCCCAGCCCCACCTGCTCCCCCCCAGCCCCACCTGCTCCTCCCCAGCCCCACCTGCTCCTCCCCAGCCCCACCTGCTCCTCCCCAGCCCCACCTGCTCCTCCCCAGCCCCACCTGCTCCTCCCCAGCCCCACCTGCTCCCTCCCCAGCCCCACCTGCTCCCCCCAGCCCCACCTGCTCCTCCCCAGCCCCACCCTCCTCCCCAGCCCCACCTGCTCCTCCCCAGCCCCACCTGCTCCCCCCAGCCCCCACCTGCTCCCCCCCAGCCCCACCTGCTCCCCCCCCCAGCCCCCCTGCTCCCCCCCAGCCCCACCTGCTCCTCCCCAGCCCCACCTGCTCCTCCCCAGCCCCACCTGCTCCTCCCCAGCCCCACCTGCTCCTCCCCAGCCCCACCTGCTCCCTCCCCAGCCCCACCTGCTCCCCCCCAGCCCCACCTGCTCCTCCCCAGCCCCACCTGCTCCTCCCCAGCCCCACCTGCTCCCTCCCCAGCCCCACCTGCTCCTCCCAGCCCCACCTGCTCCTCCCCAGCCCCACCTGCTCCTCCCCAGCCCCACCTGCTCCTCCCCAGCCCACCTGCTCCCCCCCAGCCCCACCTGCTCCCCCCAGCCCCACCTGCTCCTCCCCAGCCCCACCTGCTCCTCCCCAGCCCCACCTGCTCCTCCCCAGCCCCACCTGCTCCTCCCCAGCCCCACCTGCTCCTCCCCAGCCCCACCTGCTCCTCCCCAGCCCCACCTGCTCCCTCCCCAGCCCCACCTGCTCCTGCTCCCCAGCCCCACCTGCTCCCCCCCAGCCCCACCTGCTCCTCCCCCAGCCCCACCTGCTCCTCCCCCCAGCCCCACCTCCCAGCCCCACCCTCCCCGGCCCCACTGCTGCTCCTCCCCAGCCCCACCTGCTCCTCCCCAGCCCCACCTGCTCCTCCCCAGCCCCACCTGCTCCTCCCAGCCCCACCTGCTCCTCCCCAGCCCCACCTGCTCCTCCCAGCCCCACCTGCTCCTCCCCAGCCCCACCTGCTCCTCCCCAGCCCCACCTGCTCCTCCCCAGCCCCACCTGCTCCTCCCCAGCCCCACCTGCTCCTCCCCAGCCCCACCTGCTCCCCCCCAGCCCCACCTGCTCCTCCCCAGCCCCACCTGCTCCTCCCCAGCCCCACCTGCTCCTCCCCCCAGCCCCACCTGCTCCTCCCCAGCCCCACCTGCTCCTCCCCAGCCCCACCTGCTCCTCCTCCCCAGCCCACCTGCTCCTCCCCAGCCCCACCTCCTCCTCCCCAGCCCCACCTGCTCCTCCCCAGCCCCACCTGCTCCTCCCCAGCCCCACCTGCTCCTCCCCAGCCCCACCTGCTCCCCCCAGCCCCACCTGCTCCTCCCCAGCCCCACCTGCCTCCTCCCAGCCCCACCTGCTCCCCCCCAGCCCCCCTGCTCCCCCCCAGCCCCACCTGCTCCTCCCCCCAGCCCCACCTGCTCCCCCCCAGCCCCACCTGCTCCCCCCCAGCCCCACCTGCTCCTCCCCCCAGCCCCACCTGCTCCTCCCCAGCCCCACCTGCTCCTCCCCAGCCCCACCTGCTCCTCCCAGCCCCCACCTGCTCTCCCAGCCCCACCTGCTCCTCCCCAGCCCCACCTGCTCCTCCCAGCCCCACCTGCTCCTCCCCAGCCCCCACCTGCTCCTCCCCAGCCCCACCTGCTCCCCCTGCTCCCCCCCAGCCCCACTGCTCCCCCCCCCCCCAGCCCCACCTGCTCCCCCCCAGCCCCACCTGCTCCCCCCCAGCCCCACCTGCTCCCCCCCCAGCCCCACCTGCTCCCCCCCCCAGCCCCACCTGCTCCCCCAGCCCCACCTGCTCCCCCCCCAGCCCCACCTGCTCCCCCCCAGCCCACCTGCTCCCCCCCAGCCCCACCTGCTCCACCTGCTCTCCCCCCCAGCCCCACCTGCTCCCCCCCAGCCCCACCTGCTCCCCCCAGCCCCACCTGCTCCTCCCCAGCCCCACCTGCTCCTCCCCAGCCCCACCTGCTCCCCCCCAGCCCCACCTGCTCCCACCCCCCTCCCCCCCCAGCCCCACCCACCTGCTCCTCCCCAGCCCCACCTGCTCCTCCCCAGCCCCACCTGCTCCTCCCCAGCCCCACCTGCTCCTCCCCAGCCCCACCTGCTCCCCCCCGCCCCACCCTCCCCCCCAGCCCCACCTGCTCCCCCCAGCCCCACCTGCTCCTCCCCAGCCCCACCTGCTCCTCCCCAGCCCCACCTGCTCCTCCCCCAGCCCACCTGCTCCTCCCCCCAGCCCCACCTGCTCCCCCCCAGCCCCACCTGCTCCCCCCCAGCCCCACCTGCTCCCCCCCACCCCACCTGCTCCTCCCCAGCCCCACCTGCTCCTCCCCAGCCCCACCTGCTCCTCCCCCCCCAGCCCCACCTGCTCCTCCCCAGCCCCACCTGCTCCTCCCCAGCCCCACCTGCTCCCCCCCAGCCCCACCTGCTCCCCCCAGCCCCACCTGCTCCCCCTCCTCCAGCCCCACCTGCTCCTCCCCAGCCCCACCTGCTCCTCCCCCCCAGCCCCACCTGCTCCCCCCCCAGCCCCACCTGCTCCTCCCCAGCCCCACCTGCTCCTCCCCAGCCCCACCTGCTCCTCCCCAGCCCCACCTGCTCCTCCCCAGCCCCACCTGCTCCCCCCCAGCCCCACCTGCTCCCCCCCCCCAGCCCCACCTGCTCCTCCCCAGCCCCACCTGCTCCTCCCCAGCCCCACCTGCTCCCCCCCAGCCCCACCTGCTCCCCCCCCAGCCCCACCTGCTCCTCCCCCAGCCCCACCTGCTCCTCCCCAGCCCCACCTGCTCCTCCCCAGCCCCACCTGCTCCTGCCCAGCCCCACCTGCTCCTGCCCAGCCCCACCTGCTCCCCCCCAGCCCCACCTGCTCCCCCCCAGCCCCACCTGCTCCTCCCCAGCCCCACCTGCTCCTCCCCAGCCCCACCTGCTCCTCCCCAGCCCCACCTGCTCCTCCCCAGCCCCACCTGCTCCCCCCCAGCCCCACCTGCTCCCCCCCAGCCCCACCTGCTCCCCCCCAGCCCCACCTGCTCCCCCCCAGCCCCACCTGCTCCTGCGCGAGGGTCTCCCAGCGGATGCCGGCAAAAAAGGGGTGCGCCTTCACCTCCTCTGCTCCCCTCGCTCCCAGCCGCAGCGACGGCTCCGGATGCAGCAGCCTGGCAGGGGGGTGGAAGAGGGGGGAGGTTGATGTGAGAGAGAGAGACAGACAAAGGAAGGTAGGAGTGAGTCGATTCGAATGTTCAAGCATAATGAGCATGAACAAAGACGTACTCGCAGTGCCGTGCCAGAAGCCTGTGTGGAACAGTTAGTTTTCCTTGGAAAAAAAGGGGCCTCATAGGACCTCTCCCCAGGCACCTTTTGGTGTAGGATGTTTCTTGAGGCGCCAAAAAACGTCTAATGGCTAGAGGGAACTAGCTCCATTGTGGATGTGCTAGATCCCCTGTAACGCCTACTTCAGTCTTCAGTTGGCAAGGACGGATACACCACCAGGAAAGAAGCACGTACTTGTCAATATGGTCCCTCCATGGCCTCGTACGACATGTCCTCAGGCACCTCCAGCAACAATGTGTGTCTCGTGTTCTCTCTGGCTCTCTCCCTCGCTCGCTCTCTCTCTTCTCCCCTCTCACGAACACAGGCTTTAAGAAGCAAGCGCGCGTACTTATCAATGAGGTCCATGGCCTCGTACGACATCTCCTCAGGCACCTCCGGCCATGGGATGTCCCGGTTCAGAATGTTGTCAAAGATAATCTGCACGAATTGAGTTGGGAGGGATGGTTGGAGAGAGAGAGAGTATGAGCATGAGCATGTGTGTGTGTGCGTGAGCGTGTGTAGTGTGTGTGTGTGTGGGGGGGGGGGGAGGGGTGCAGGAGTTACCAAGAAACCACAAGAGCACAAAGCCAGCAGGCCACGACCCTCTTGCAGGTCACTAACCTCAGGGGAGGGCGCATTGAAAGGGGGAACACCACAGAGCAGCTCAAAGAGCATCACTCCCACAGCCCACCAATCCGCTGTGGCACCTGCAGCAACAAGGATGAACCAGGGAGGGAGGTGGAGCGAGCAAAGGTGCAGAACAGAGGGATAGAGATGAGCCGTGCAGCAGGAAGGGAAAGGGATAGAACGCAAGGCGTGTGTGCGTTTGCAAATAGCTCGTCACACGTCCCAAACCCACTGACTCACCCGACTCCCGTCATGCCTCATACCCATCACCACCCATCATGGCCCATCCCCACCCACCACAACCCATCCCCACCCACCAAAACCCATCCCCATACACCAAAACCCACCCCCACCCACCATGGCCTGTGCCGAGCAGAATCTCCGGAGCGAGATAGTCCGGAGTGCCCACCGTCTGCTCCTTCTTCTTCTCCACATCCGCCGACGCACTCCGCCCCGCGCCCTGTAACGACTCCACCTCAGCCTTCCACGCTGGCGACGCCGACCCTCCCCCCATTCCCCCCACACCTCCCCCCCCTCCCATACTCCCCGCCCCTCCGCCTCCCACCATCCCCACGCCGCCCGGAACCCCTGAATACGGCGACGTGCGGCCGGAAGAGGACGAAGGGTGGGACGACGCGCCGGACGGGGCATGCGGGAAGTCTGCCGCCTGATCCGCCGCCCAGAGAGGCGAAGTGGGGATGGAGGCAGAGACTGACGCGCCAGAGTCGATCGACCCTGACTTGGGGAAACCCATGGCGGCTGGCGGGTGGGAGGAAAGAGCAGCTGCAGCTGCAGCAGCTGCGGAGGCAGAGGCAGAGGCAGCAGCGGCGGCGGCGGCGGCCGTGACGTTGGGCGAGGGGGGCTCGGAGGGTCCCGTAGCCGCGAGAGGGCCGATGGCGAAGTCACCTGTACTGTTGAATAGACCCATCTGGGACAGCCCAAAGTCCGTTAGCTGTGGAAGAAAACAAGGTGCGGAGAAGACGGGGAAGAGGTGGGGAACGAACAAGGGGATAGGGACGAATGGGACGAGGATGGGAAGGAACCAGTGCTCGTGCACCAAAGAATGGAGGTTGAGAGAAGGGACGCACGTGTTGACGGGGGCAGCATAAGCAGCGAGCGGCAAGCATATGTGGCATAGGCATGGCGGCGTGCTCACCTTGATGTGGCCGTCGTATGCAATGAGGAGGTTGTCCGGCTTGAGGTCCCGGTGGATGATGCCACTGGCGTGCAGATGCTCCAACGCCAACACCTGACAGTGGTGGTGGGGCGAGGGAGAGGGGCAGGGCATGGTATGACGGATGGGATGAGATGGCGTGGCATGCGGGGTGAGAGGGCAGTGAGACGCCCCATAAGGGAACCAAAGCACACATACCAGGCAGCACAGGGCAGAGCAGGGCAGGGCGGGGCGGGGCAGGGCAGGGCAGGGCGGGGCAGGGCAGGGCGGGGCAGGGCAGGGTGGGGCGGGGCAGGGCGGGGCGGGGAAGGGCAGGGCAGGGCAGGGCAGGGAAGGGCACATGCGAGTTCGGCGATGTAGGCGCGGGCCATGACAGTACGTACCAGTTCAGCGATGTAGGCGCGGGCCATGGGCTCCTCGAGGCAGCCGAGGTTCTGCAGCAGCGAGAAGAGGTCGCCCCCGTTGAGATACTCCATGACCAGATAGAGGTTCTCACGGCATGTGAACGAGTAGAAACACCGTACCTGGAGGCAGGAGTGAGAGAGAGGATGAGTGAGTGAGTGAGTGAGTGAGTGAGTGAGCGAGTGAGTGAGAAACAGGGGGAAATGCAGCGAGGTCTCCATGACCAGGTAGAGGTTCTCCCGGCATGTGAACGAGTAGAAGCATCGCACCTGGAGGCAGGAGTGAGAGGAGGGGCAAGGAGATGGGGACCAATGGGTATGATGCGTGCATGGGGCACGGTAACGCACGGGGCATGGCAATGTGTGGTGGCAATACACAAACGGGTTGTGTGGTGGCAATACACAAACGGGTTGTGTGGTGGCAATACACAAACGGGTTTGCCGTGCTATATAGCTTTACAAGGGAAAGCAGCAAGGCATGCGTGCGTACGTACCACAAAGGGGCTGCGCACGGAGGCGAGGATGTTGCGCTCTGCCTGCACGCTCTCCACCGCGTTCTTGCGCACCATGTCCGCCTTGCGCAACACCTGGTGGGCATGCACACACACAGGAGCAGAGAGAGGCACAGGGGAGGGGCAGGAGCGGCACAGAGGTGGGACAGGGGAGTCTGTGATTAACCTCAAAAGAGAGCTTTTTCTCTGCCCGCACACTCTTCACTGCGTTCTTGCACACCATGTCCGCCTTGCGCGGCACCTGCCCTGCCACAGACGACACAAATGAAGAGCGCACGCAGAGCTTACGTTTCAATGCGCGTCTAGAAAACGCCTCATCTCAGCCTCCATTCCCTCTGCCAAATGCCCGCCCCGCCCGCTGACCCATGGAGAGCTGTGCCAGACAGCAAACACCCAGCCATTCACCAAGCCACTCAGCACCGTTCCACCCAGCCCTGCACCCAGCCCTGCACCCAGCCCTGCACCCAGCCCTGCACCCAGCCCTGCACCCAGCCCCTCACCCAGTCACTCAGAACCCAACCATTCACCCAGCCACTCAGCATCCGCCCACCCGGCCATGCACCCAGCCCTGCGCACATCCGGCCACTCTCGCACGCACCTTGATGGCAAAGAGGTCCCCCGTGGTCTTCTTCATGGCGAGGAAGACACGCCCATACGCGCCCTTGCTGATGAGCTTGATCAGCTCAAAGTCGTCTATCGTCGTGCGATCCCTCGCCAGATGCCCAACACCCACCCATGCACCCACAACAGTCCACTCTGCCACCCACGCGCACCTTGATGGCAAAGAGGTCCCCCGTGGTCTTCTTCTTGGCCAGGAACACGCGGCCATACGCGCCCTTGCTAATAGGCTTGATCAGCTCAAAGTCGTCTATTGTCGTGCGATCACGCCCCGCCGCCGATGCTGACGACGACGACGCAGCGACAGCACCGCCACCACCACCCCCGCCCCCACCACCAGCAACACTGCCGCCGGCGCCGATGCTGCTGCCGCCGCCGAGAGACGCGTTGGGTGGGGTGCTGCGGGCGCTGCGGGAGAGTTGCAGCACGTCCTCCCCGTCCTCATCCGCGTACTGCATCGCCTCGCCCCCATCTGGCCCACCATAGCCTCGCAGTGCACTGCCTGCTGCCGCGCCCATCTGGTGGTCCAGGATGTCCCTCAGACGATAGTACTTCTCCCTGCGCCCAGGGGAGCAGAGAGGGGATACGAGCGAGGGGGGGGAGATGGAGAAAGGAGAGAGAGGGAGGAGGCGTTTCCTTAGGCAGCTCGAAAAGCTTTCCCTGCTGCCGTGCCCATCTGGTGGTCCAGGATGTCTCTCGGGCGGTAGTACTTCTCCCTGCCACCAGGGAAGTTGCGCAGGAAAGGGTGAGGGGGTGAGGAGACACGTGATAAAAGAATTGTTTTGAGACATCTCAAAACAATTCTTTTATCAAGTTGCGCAGGAAAGGGAGTGGGGTGAGGGGGTGAGGAGACTGGAGCGCGGAGACGGAAAGCAATGACAAGACAAGCTCCACCTAGAACATCTCAAACCAGGCGACTGACTCAAATGCCACATCAAGCAAGCAAGCGCGCATGCACGCATGCACGCACAAGCGAGCACACTCACTGCAGCAGCTTGGTGATACGACGGCCGAACACATCGATGGTGAGGAAGCGTGCATCGTTGGTGCGCAGCAGGTCTGTGAGGTCCCTCATGTCCGTCAGCAGCAGCTCCTCGGGCTTCTCGTCCTCCAGTGAGACATCAGCAACGTCCTGTGCTATGTCCGCCAAGTCGTCCATCTGAGTGGTTCGGGGCGGTTGGTGAGGGTTGGGGACGATTGGAGGGGGTTGGGAATATTTGGAGGGTAAGCAGCCACAGAGTGGCAGGCGCAAAGGCACAGAGCACAAGAGAGAGACAAAGTCGACTCACACATCCCCCCAACCAGGGACTATCAATCAGGCCAACCAGGGACTCACCAGAGCGATCTCCTCCTGTGCCACCATGTGTATATGCTCCTCCATCAGCTCCCTCCCTCCTCCTGCCAAAGCACTCTTCAGCAGCGACGACCCAGGGCTCCCATACCCCCCATGGCTCTCCCCTCTCGTGCCCGCCGACCCTGCAGGCGACGTGGGCATGGGGGACGCCGTACCCGCGGATAGGAACCCGCTGGTAGAGGTAGCGCCGCTCATACTCGTCACTGCGCTCATGGAAGGCTCGTACTGGGATCCCTCCTCGCCTGCTGCCTGCAGATGCTGCTGCTGCTGCAGCTTGTGCTGCTGCTGCTGCTGCAGGTGGTGGCTCACGTACGACCAGTTGGACACGTTGCTGCTGCTGCTGCCCCCTGCGCCCTGATGCTCCTGAAGCATTGAATGCGCTGGGTGATCCTGGTGCTCTGGGTGATCTTCTGTGGGGCTTATGGGAACGCCAGGGTGCAACGACCCGTTCTCTCTGCTGCAGAGCTCTGCTGAGTCTTGCTCGCGCATCTGCTCCTCCTCTCTGCCATACCCATCCGTCCGCTCCCCTTCTCCTTCTCCTCCCCCCCCTGCTGCGCCGCCCTCATCCCCCTCGCGCATGTCTGCATGAGACACCATACTGCTGCCCAAGGGAGACAGGAACCTGCCACCACCCTGCTTCGCCCCTGCACCTCCCCCCACCCCCATCAACCCCACCTGCTGGGAATGCGAATCCAGCCCTGCGGGCACCACGGACGAGGCCGCCCCGCCAGCAGCAGACGACGAGTTGGACGGCACGCGTTGGAACGACATGGCGCTCAGCCGGGAGACCTGCTCGTTCGAGATGTGATCCAAGCCGTCCGCTAGCCGCCTCAGCCGATCGTCGATCGAAAACTGCGCCGAGTCGCACCGATTCGCGAGCGCGCACAGCCGCGAGTGCTCCTGTAACTGCGTAACATTCACCTCCTCTTCACAAATACGACAAATCACCACACACTCCTGTTCCCCTTCATTCGGCACCATCCCATCCATACCCTCCTCCTCCTCGTTCTCTCCCTTGCCCCAGTACCCGTACTTATACTGCACTCTTCGCCCCGACACAGACCTCATCATAGCCTTCTCATGCAAATCGTCAAAATCCTCTGCAAGGTTTCCCGAGGGCGAGGGCGGTTCTCTCGCCACCCCGTGCCTCCGACTCTCCATCCGCTCGTCCTCCCCGCTTGGAACCCGCACGTCCCACGCTCTGCTCCCGCGCCCCTCGCCTCGTCTGTGCGCCTTATCCGACTCCCCCTCCCGCCGAACGTCCCCCTGCCCCTGCCGCGCCCCTCCCTGCCCGCCCTTCCTCCCCTCCATTCCCTCACTCCCCTTAATCCCCTCCTGCGGAACAGCCATACTCCCGCCCGCCATGCTCGTGTCCCCCGCCTCGCCCCAGGCGCCCCCAGTACCTGCTGCCCCCGCGCCAGCTCCCGTGGATAGTGCTGCTACAACCCCAGGCTCCGCTCCTCCCGCTGCGCTTAACGCCGCACCTAGCGCCGCCGCTACCTCGGCGTCTCCCGCTGGGCCCATCTCCCGCACTGCTGTTACCGCCGGTGCTACCGCCGCCGCTGCTGGCGCCAGGGCGGGGGAAGAGTCGCTTGATCGGGAGAGGGAGGATTTGTCACGCGCGGATTGGCTGCGCATGGCGCGCTGAATCTCCTCCTCTTTGCGGATCTCCGCCACCCGCCCCCACAGCAGCCCCCGCGCGCTCGTGGACCCGTGCACCTCCGCGTCCGCTGCCGAAGCAGGCGGACCCGCCATGTGCGCCTGCTGTCCCCCAATGAGCATGTCCGCGCCCGGCGCGAGCATCTGCGCCTGCACCTGCGGCTGAGGTTGTTGCTGTAGCTCCTGTACGTGCTGCTGCGGCACCCCGGATTGCACCTGATCATCCTGCTGCAGCTGCTGCAGCTGCTGCGGCTGCTGCTGGAACAGGTGCTGCAGCCATCCCTGCTCCCCACTCGTGCTCGCCAGAGACACGTCCCCTTCCTCCCGTCCATCATCCGACAACCGTTTACTCTGCATGGGCGATGGGGACATGCCGCTGCCCTTCCTGCCCGCACCCTTGTCCCTCCCCTTCTCCGCCTTCTCCTTGCCCTTGTCCATTTTCTCCTTCCCTTTCTCCTTCTCTTTCCCCTTCTCCTTCTCCTTTCCCTTCTCCATCCTATCCTTCCTTGCCTCCTCCATCTCAGCCGCCTCCTCCTCCTTAACCGACGCCAATAGCTCCTCTAGTTTCCCACTAACCATCCTAACCAGACTCGTCACTCCGCCAATCAACCCCCCAGAAAGCTTCTTCTTCGACGAACTGAGCCCCGAACCTGATCCCGAGCCTAATCCCAAGCTCGAGCCCAGGCCCGACGAGCTAGAAGGCGCGAGCTGGCTGGAAGAGCTCGAACCCAAACCTGATACCGAACCTAATCCCGAACCGCCATCAGCACCCGATCCTGAGCCAAGCCCGGACCCAAAACCTGCTCCGAGCCCAAATCCGAACCCACTACTCGCGCTCCCACTCGCACTCGCGCTAGCGCTATCCTCTTGGTTGAAATCCCCGCCGGGCACGTAAGTACCGTCGTCTAGAGCCCCTCTCATCTCCGCCACCGCGGCACTCCAGTCGTCCATCATATTCGACTTGCTCTTGCTCCGCTGCTTCCCCTCGTCCTTGCGCGCGCCCAACCCCAGCCCCGCGCCCCCCTTCTGCTCGGCCTTGGGGTCGCGCACCCGCCAGTCCGCCGGCGCGGGACACGAGTCCCACCGGATGATCGGCCGCTGCGGCGGCTGCGCCTGCTGCTGCTGATGCTGCTGCTGCTGCTGCTGCCGCTGCAGCCGCGGCTTCTCCGCCAACTGCTCAGCCGCCTGCTCCGCGGGGAGCTCCGCGGAGTGGCCTGCGGGGAGCTCTGCGGGACGTTCCAGCGGCTTCGATGCCGTATACGAAGAGAAGTGAGTAGCCGCCATGGAAGCTTGCGATCGCAGCGTCGACGGCAAGCCAGGCGGGCGGTTACGAACCATCGGCGTCGCCAACACCTCCGCACCCCTATACGGACCCCCGTACACTCCCCCGTACGGCATCTCCGCCTCAGCTTCCTTCTGCGACTGCAGCAGGCGCGTGCAGCGCGTGAGAATGAAGAGCATTTTCATGTGCAGCTGTTTTAGGGTTCCCATGGGTAACTGCTGCCGCGCCATGTTCAAATCATGCACAATGTCTTCGCACGCCGATCCGAACTCATCTGCACGCATCCGTAGGCATTTTTCGGCTAGGTCTTTTAGATAGAGTGCCCCTTGCTCCCATCTTGACGATTCCGGCGACATGAGAAACGACGTGAAAGTTGACGGGTAGGCGTTAGTGGGAGAGACAGGCGACTTGGGAGGCGTTCTGGGCGGCGCGGCGCCCGGGAGGTTTAGCCGCTTGGCGATGTCGCTAATGAACACGCGAAGCTCATCGTCGACTTTTTTCTTCGCGTATTCGAGTGCTCGTTCGAGATTGCTCATAGACCCGTCCTGCCGCACCGAGAAATGCGGGAAAAAAACGGACGGCGCAACAAGGGAGGAAGCAGTCGGAACAACGCGGGAGGAAAGGATAACGGAGAAACGTATGGAGCAAAGCCGGAGCCAAACACACGGAGCGACACACGATGCGCACATCCACGGCCGGTTAAGGGGGCCTGGAGGTGTGTAGATGGAAAGAGCAAGGACAGGCAAAGCACCAAGCATAGGAGCAAGCAACCTCGCACAATCGTCAACCAGAGAACAAACAGAACAGCAAAGCCCTCTTACGCTGACGTCGAGGTGCGACACGCGAATGCTGGGCCGCTGCGACGACATCGACAGGGGGTGCGCCTTGCCCGGCGTCATGTGCTTATGCCCGCCAGTCGTCCGGTTGAGCGAGCTAATGCTTTCAAGCATGCTGAAATCCATGCTCAGCGGCATGCCCGACATCACCTGTGATGGTTTGTTTATTTTAAGAAAAGGAAACGGGAATAAATGCACAAAATGGAAAACGGCTGAGCGGCGGTAAGGAAGTGGAGGGGGTGCAGACAGGTAATAAGAGACCCTAGTCGACGCCTGCGAAAGTAACGAACGACAGCGTCCACGGATTCGACGAGCGTGCAAGCCAGGGGAAAGGCAAACACGTTTTTGAAAGGAACAGGCGATACTAGACGAGAATTTCATAAAATACAGACGGAGGAGGATGATAACGGGGATGAGAACGAGGTTAGGAACGCACATCGGGGAGGCCTGCGGAGAGAGGATGCATCTGGGAGAGGCCGTTGTGACCCATTCTTAGCGATTCTGCCCTCGCACCGGGATCGGCGATGGACATTCCGTTGCTCTCGCGCGAATGAGGCAATCCGCTACCCTCCCTCGACTTATCCAGTCGCAAGGCCTCAAAGCTGGCTTCTAGACTAGGGTTAAGCTCCCGAGCTCTGTCTGGTCTCAGTAACGGACTGACGTCCCTCTCCCTCTCGCGGTTCCTACTCGTCCCTCGCGGCGTCGACAGCATGTCATGGTAAGGGTTCGGCATTTCGTGCTTTGACGGCCGCTGAGGATTCAGCGACCCCGTTCTCTCCAGCATCGCTCCTACGCTCTTGGAAACTATCCTGCTGATTTTATTCTACAGCTAGCAATAGCGAGGAAATGCATTGAAAGAACATCCCAGAAGCTGTGTAGCTTCCCTCCCGTGCCATGACCGTCTCCAGCTACCAACGGACCGTCCGCGATCACACGGTCCCAAGTGGGTCTCGAAATCTCGTTTTAGCTGTTGACGCAATCCCACCACTGTTCCCAACAATCACACTCAAAACCTGTTGGAAGCAGCCAGAACCTGAGCGGCTGTTGGAGCCATGGAATGGAGTGAAACCCTAGAATGGAATGAGCGAAGAGAAGGGTCCGTCTGTCGCAAGGAAGGTATGGGGAACCAGGCGGGATGATGGGGTGGGGGTGGTGGGGGGAATGGGTGAGGCGAGTTCAAGCTGGGGGAGGAGGTGGGAGCGAGTGAAGGGATTGTAACAAACCTAGGGAACTACTTGCGGCAAAGTCCGGCTGCGATCAAGCGTGGAAGGGAAGCTGCGGTACACACTGATGTCATCCTTCGCTTGGCCGGTAGCAAGCTGCGTGCGACTTAGTCTGGTCCGGGCAGTTTCGGTTGTGGGGCTGCTGTGTCCTTGGATATTGTCGCTTTAGGCTTGGGAGCTGCAGCTGCGTGTCGCACACCATCGCTTGACCGATGAGGCATGCGCATCGCACTGTCATCGCAACGCAACGCGCTGTCGCTCTACCAGTCGCAGCGTCATCATCGAGGAAATGATTTGTGCAACATGGGCACGTGTGGAGTGGAAGAATCTGTGTCCATCTGGAAGGCAAAGATGACTTTCTCCGTCAGCGGTGAGACGCGATTCCCAAGAACAGCACTCAAAAACTCGCTCAAAGCGTGCTCCATGATTGACAACTTACAAATGAATATTTCTAGAAGTTGTTTGTAATGTAGAAATTGGCAGAGTCAGACCGCACTACGTTTTGAAGTACAAAGCGTGGGTTGTAAGTCATTTTCCTCCACCTACATCTCTCATTTTCAAACAGTTTAGCCAACTTTCCCGCCCACCCACCCCTCAGAACCGGGACAACCGTAGTGAGCTGTTTGCATATTAGTATGCTAGAATTGCTTCGATTTCAATTCTACTAAACCCTTGAAATGAGATGATGTCATTGCTACATGGAAAAAAGGCAAGCTCTCTAAATACACTACTTACAAAAAACTACATCACATAGTGATAATCACTATCAAAGTCCGATAGTGTTATTAATCCATGGTTTCATCCTCGTCATCATACATCCTCCTCTCTGGTGGAGTGGCATCCACATATTCGTCTTCGTCGCCGACCCCTTCACATTGGTCCTCACCCAAAAGCCCTCCAACACGCCCCCGTAACCTGTCCTCCGTTTCATCATCCTCCGTATTTTCGATCCAACGGTCTGGATCTCTTTGAAGCGGAGGTGCCTCTGCGCGAGAGATGTCTTGCCCTAACGGCCACAGAAAGAGTTTGGGAAAGTAAAGCACAGATGCAAGGATGAGAGGTCAGGTGAGGCAGGTGAATCATGAAACTTCATACCTCAATCGCTGAAACCAGGGAGAGTTTAGAAACACAACGGGCGAAAGACATGTCTTACGTTGATGCAGTGCTTGCCTTCCAGGTGTGGATGCCTCAGTGGGCATGAACCGCCCAGCAGACACATCAGCAGCACCGCCAGTCACCATGCCATTCCCATCCACACTACCCCGGTGTTGCTTCCACCAGCAACACCACCGCCACCGCCACCACCACCACCGCCGCCGCCACTGCCACTGCCACCTCGTGATGCCGCTGCCAGCCGACCAATGGGAAGCTCCTCGGTGGCGTCCTCGCTGTCTGGAACCTGATTGGCTGCCTGCTGTTGCTGGTATTGATCATGCTGTTGCTGCCGTTGATCTTGCTGCTCAAGGCCCGGAAGTGGTTGTTGCTGCGCCCTGGGCCATGTGCTGCTCCCTCTTCTCCCACCGCCACTCCCCTCTCCTCCTCCCGGACCTGCTGGATCCGCACCAGCTCTGTGTGCTGTGCCTTTTGCCCCTGCCATGAACCCACACAGGGAGGAGTGGGGAGAGCATTGAGTGCTCCTGGCTTCTTGCGTAATGCATGGGTGGAAATGCACGGCGATTGGAAAAATCCTGGAGCAGTTTTATGAGTGTACGGGAAAAGCACGTGCACTAGCAGCATATACCCAGAAGACCATAGGCAAGATATGTTGATCGTACTGTTTGGCAAACATCAGTGATCTTGCCTCACAAGCCCTGTCGTGCCTGTGGGGCCAGGTACAGCTGAAGGTCGGGCATACCTGAGAGGTCCGGCTGTACCATACCTGAGAGGTCCGGCTGTACCGTACCTGAGAGGTCTGACCATCGTTTTCCATGCGCCCAGCCTGCCTCCAGCCTTGCTCCTGCACCTGGATCCTTCAGCGGAACCTTCTCAGCACCTTCTCCAGCCCTCATCTCATCCGCTCCCAATTCCTCGCCTTCACCCAGCCCTCCTCCTTCTGGATCTTCTCTGCAATCCGAGCCTACTGGATAGGCTTGGTGGGGAACTGCCCCCGAGCCTGCATGACAGGAGCGCTGGGAGCCTGAAAGTGCAACTGTAGGAGTCCCAGCTCCGGCAGTCGCTCGGGAAGCCGAGCCCTTGTGAGTAGGAGCGCCAGGATCGGCAGAGGCTTGGGGAGTAGCCGCTGCTTGGTGAGGCGTGCCGGGTTGGGCGGATGCTCGGTGAACGGAAGGGTCGGAAGGTGGGGGAGTGGGGAGCTGGGATTCGAGCATGGTGGCGATCACAAGCCGTGAGTCAAAGTCAGATGCGAGTGCTGCGTGCGCGTGTGCGTGGCGGGGGTTGCGAGTGGGGGTGGTGTGCGGGTTGGGAAATCTTGGCATGAGCATGAGAGGGCTGCAGGACACACAGTAATCCAGGGATGACAGCAGGGAGGGAGGGGTAGAGAACGGAAGGGAGGAGGGGGACGGGGGGGAGGAACGCAGGAGGAGTGCGTGACTAAAATCGGTCGAAACATGGAGCAGACGATGTGGAAGGGGGCGAACAGGGGATGGTTTGGAGCGGACGGGCTCACTAGCACTGCAGTGAATGACTGAGTGGTAACGCGCTAGTGGCAGTGTATTCACGGCTACACTTCAAGCATACAAGGGGTGGTGCCTCAGGAGCAGCACTCATGCTCCGGCTTGATGGAAGAGCATGACCACATCTGCTGCTGCTGGCTCAGTTGGCGTTGCTTTTGTTTTGTTTGTTTGTTTGTTTGTTTGTTTGTTTTTTTTTTTAAGGCAACACCATCAAGCGATACACAAGGGGGAGATGAGTCAGGAGGAGCAGCACTCACGCTCCTGCTTGATGGAAGAGCATGACCACGTCTGCTGCTGCCGACTCACAGAACTGCACAAACGCCTGGTGGCGTGAGAAAGGGGGCCATGGAAAAAAGAAGAGGAGCGGGTGGTGGGGGGCGGGGGAGGGTGGGTGTGAAGCAGGTGGGACGGCCATCCCCCATGTGGCAGCATGCATCAAAGTGCTCCATTTTCACCCACCCAACACACCACACCACACCACACCACACCACACCACACCACACCACACCACAGACCACACCACTCTCCCATCCCCCACACTGATCTCACCTTCACCTCCTTCACACTGAAAGTGACGTCCACAGCATCCCCCCTGTGGCAGTACGCCTCGAAATGCTCCCCAGGGTCCACCCACAGCTGCGTGTGCATCGCTGCCTCTGGAGACGCCTCCAGCCGCCCGTCTGCTGACGAGCCTGCAGGGGGAGCAGAGGAAAAAGCGGGGCAAGAGCAGAGGTGCAGGAGTCAGAAGAAGGGATGGAACAAGGGCTTTAAGGCTTGCCTTCGACTACAAAAGGCAAGGAGTGGAGGAGGAAAACTTGGCAGAGCCCATGGGGGTGTCACAGGACGCAAGCCAACATGTTCAGTCAGCCAGGCTATGTGAGGCCTGGCTTAGAACCAACTTCCCTGCTTCAAATGCCCCTTACTGCTCCAATGCTTTGACACCCCACGTGTGCAATATGCTTCACACGCGTCAGCATGAGTCGGCTCCACATGGCTCTCATCACCCATGCAAAAGGAATTTCAAATGTCATGTACCCCCACATGCGCCTATATTTCAACACACCTACCTGCATGGGTTGGCTCCACATAGCTTCTCATCTCAACCGCCTTCGCCTCACTCCCCCCTCCCCTCCCCGCCGCACCTCCCCCCGTGCCTGTTCCCGAGCCTGTCACGTCCTCAGGGTCGGCAGCAATGATGGTGATCTCAGAGAGGGTGGATTGAAAATGGTTGAGCAGCTGCAGCAGGGCCTTGGGGCGGGCGACGAGTGAGGAGGGGTACGTGGACGGGTCGATGGAGGCTGACAGCACCTCCCTGTCGTTCACACATGCAATGGTGTATGTCTTGCGCATGCCTGGCGGGATGGGGGGAGAGGAGGGGAAGGGCAGAAGGGGGAAGGGAGAAGGGGAAGGGCAGAAGGGGGAAGGGAGGAGGGGAAGGGCAGAAGGGGGAAGGGAGGAGGGGAAGGGCAGAAGGGGGAAGGGAGGAGGGGAATGGGAGAAGCGCGTTTGAGTTGCCCGGAAGGTCAGATGGACGGGGAAGGAGAGTGTAAGGGAGGAGGAGTGCGCTTTGAGTCAGACAATCGCAGAGAGAATCCCTATTATTGACGCAGCCGTTGCTGAGAATCACACGCAGGATCAGAAAGAAAATGCGCGATTCCCTGCCGTGAAATTGCGTAACGCGCCATTTTGGCAGTAAACCAGGAAGAGGCCTACCTTTCAGGGGCAAACCAGGCCACGCCAGCATGCCGGTTTGACTGTCGTGGCCGACGTTCTGCAGTTTGACAATCAAGCCATACCGTTCTTGGGCTAATGGTAATGGTGATGGGGTAAGGGCTATGGTGATGCGGTAGTCGTAGTGGTGATATGGTTATGGTAATGGTGATGGGGAAATGGCTATGGTGAAGGGTTAATGGTAATGGTATTTTAATGGGGTCATGGAAATGGCTATTGGGAAAGGGTAATGGTGATGGGGTAATGGTAATGGTGATGGGTTAATGGTAATGGTGATATGGTGGTACGCGCACCGTTGTGGCAGTCAATGATCCAGTGAATGTTGTCAGGCTCCTTGCCGTCCGCGGTGATGGTGAGGGTCTGCATGGCTGCTGGTGCCGTGCGGAACACTGCCAGCACTGACTGCTCGCCATGCATGGACATGCACATACATGCACATACATGCACATACATGCACATACATGCACATACATGCACATACATGCACATACATCCACATACATGCACATACATGCACATACATCCACATACATGCACATGCACGCATATGTTCACTCGCACATGAACTCATACGCACACAAGAATCCCCATATATGCATGCCATCTTCTCCCACCCCCATCACACACCCATCAACAGACACAAAGGATTTGCTGTATAGCAGGGCAGGGTTATGTGCATACACAGAGACGGGCAGTCAGGACAAAAGCAGCAATGGATAACTAAAAAAAAAAAAAAAAAAAAAAAAAAAAAAAAGGTCATTTGATAGCATCCAATGACACGTTGATTCAGAACAGATTGACTCACCTTGACCAACTTGACCTGCCTTGACCAACTTGACCAACTTGTCCTGACTTTGACCAACGTGACTAACTTGACCTGGCTTTACCTACCTTGACCTTCCTTGACCCACTTGACCAGCTTGATTCGCCTTGACCATATTGACTCCCATTGACCAGCTTGACTCACCTTGACCAAAGCCGAGCAGGAGCAGGTGGGTTGGGTGAGCTTGAAGGTTTGAAAGTAGTCTGTGGCAAAGTTGACCACCAGGTAGGCCGTCTTGGCCGTGTTGATGCCTCGCAGTGACAGCTGTGAGGAATGGATTAGGAAAACACAAGGATGAGGCTTTCGATTGAACTCAAATATTCAAGTTGACCACCAGGTAGGCCGTCTTGGCCGTGCTGATGCCTCGCAGTGACAGCTGTGTGGAATGGATTAGAAAACACAAGGATGAGGCTTTCGATTTAACTCAAATATTCAAGTCGACCACCAGGTAGGCCGTCTTGGCCGTGATGCCTCGCAGTGACAGCTGTGAGGAATGGATTAGGAAAACACAAGGATGAGGCTTCAGATTGGACTCAAATTTCAAGTTGACCACCAGGTAGGCCGTCTTGGCCGTGTTGATGCCTCGTAGAGACAACAGTGAGGAATGGATTAGGAAAACACAAGGATGAGGCTTTCGATTGGACTCAAATATTCAAGTTGACCACCAGGTAGGCCGTCTTGGCCGTGTTGATGCCTCGTAGAGACAACTGTGAGGAATGGATTAGGGCAGGCCGGAAGTGCTGAGTGGGTTGAGGCTGATCACCGTTGTTGGTGAATTTGGAATCGACTCAACATAGGCGTCTTGCATGTGTTGGTTCCTCGCGTCGACAATTGCGAGGATGAACAAGGGTTAGGTTCTGATACAAAACAAATAGTCAGGCTGAGAATCTGACAGTAAAGCTTCTCACAATAGTGGACAGATCACGGCAATTTGCGCTTAAATTAGCAACTGTATCTCACTTCCTTTTCCATTCATGATCAGGTTTAATTAAAACGTTAACAAACAGCAATGGCTTCCGTATTTTCACTCAATATCGACCCAGATCACCACTTTGCCATCAATAGCCACCTCCGTCCACATCGTACCTCCACAGGAGCTGCCAGGAAGGTGATATAGTCGCTGTGGGCCACCTTGGCCAGGCACTGAACTGCTCGGCACAACCCGCGGATCTGCTCGCCTGACAGCTGGCACTCCATGATTGGTTTGGTTTGGATTCCTAACGCGGATACGTAAGAAGCGTCTTCTTGTCACCGCGCGACTGGCCCTGAACGGTTAGAACTTCCTTGTAGGAGACAACGTATGATATTCTCGTCCGCTAGTTACAGCTCGCTACGAGTGTCTGCGTTAAGAACGACAGCGCAGGAAGAGACACGAGGATCGGGCGGAACCAGCTGCTGTTATCGTCGGAAGCTAAAAGTATACGCGATCGTTGAGTAACTTATTGGCTGCCTCGTGACAGCAAAGGTCTCCGCAGCAGCGATTGGCAAGCGAAACACGGATAATTCCTGTGATTCTACTGCACGCTGAAATGTCACCCTTTCTGAAGCATCATTAGAAGCTAAAGACGTTGCTAGCTGCTCACCCTCCCTCTCCGTCGCTAGCAACGAGTCAGCTCATCCATTCTATTGTCTGCTTGAAACTGCACTGGACGGTATCCCCTCGAGTGGAGTACCGTGACTGCGTGAGTATGACGATACTCGCTGATACTGGCCTGGCTATGCCAACCAAACCAGAAGCGCAACCAAACCCAAGCCCCAGGGGAGCGACATACTGTACCGCTTTCACATAAAAAAATCCGCTAGGGTGAGCTTCGTTTCCTAGGCCGAAAGCATGAATTGAATGTTAAAATTGGTGGTAAGGCTAAAAGGGTGGAACTCAATCACTTCATCAGATTTCTCCTAAGCTGCTCTTCACCAGGGGTTTTTTTATCAGAGTAAATTACTCTGTTTCTCTGAAAATCAGAGTGGTTTTTGATAGGGTACTCTGTACTTTCTGGGTAAAATTTTTGGGAGTTACTTTTTCTCTGATTTGTCAGAGTAATCTTGTAAGGGACTCTGATGCCTCAGTGTACTTTTTAGGAGATTACCGTTTCCTCTGTACGGGATACAGGCGAGCCAAGCGTACCCTCCCTGTTTGCTTCTGTCAGATTGTCAAAGTCACACGAATCTAAACCAAGCTTATATGTTCATTTGCAGTGTGTCTGCGGTTGTTTCGGAAGTAACACAACGGTCCGCACCTTTTGTGAGTACGCGGTGGTGCAGGGTTCAATACTTAGAGAGATCACCAAGAGTAGAGAAAATTGTTACACTGAAGGCACAGGGTTTTAATTTTCAGAAGTTCAGTTTTCTCTGACAAATCAGAGTAACGCTCAGGATCAACCCTGAATTTCAGAGTTTCCAAAAAAAAACCCTGAAAATCCGAGTAGTGAAAAACGAAAAAGAACCCCTGCTCTTCACATACACTCCTCTTCGACTTCCCTTCTGGGCTACATTATCGTGCCCACACGTCTGCTGCGGCGGCAACCACGCCCAAACACTCTTCTTATCGATCCAATAAATTTCTAACAATGATGGGCATGCAAGGTGGTCATTCCAGAAATCCTCATGTCCCCAGCCAACTGGAGGTGGCCAGTCTGCATAATGTTAAAACCCGAAGCCTGAATTACAAAAACTGAGTCAACGCTTGGTTCGGTAGGTCTGGGGTTCGGGCAATATGAGGTGCGGACGAATTGCGAAAGCAAAAAAGGTTAGCGAAACAAGATGCGACGCTCCCGTGAGTCAACGAGGGGATATCAGACATCGCAACCCAACAGTTCGCCCCCAATCTGCTAACAGCCCCAGAGAGCTGGAAAACTTGTGCGACAGAACAAGCTAACTACTCAGACACTAGCTTTTTAGGATCCAAGCATCGCGCACAACAGCCAGGCATATCAAGTGAACACAAATTAGTGACGATCGAATAGAAGGTGCACAGCGGATATGCAATCGAAGGGAATCGAAGGCGCTGACTGCGAGTGTGACGCACGTAGATTATGGTCGGCACGGGAGATATTAGCGCTTGCCCACCTCGCTTCCCCCGCCCGTCGCCTTTACTCTCCCCGCCCACCGCCTTCGCTGCGCCCGTCGCCTCGCCTCCTCCCCGCCCATCGCCTTTGCTTCCTCCGCCCGCCCTCGCTTCTCCCCTCCCGTCACCCTTGCTTCCCATGCCCGCCGCCCTCGCTTCCCGCGCCCGTCACGTACCGCCTCTTCCCTGCCTACCACCCTCGCCTTGCGGGTCGCCATCGCCGCCTCCCCGTCCGTCGCCCTCGGTTTCCCCCTCCCGTCGACCTCGCTTTCCCCCTCCCGTCGACCTCGCTTTCCCCCTCTCGTCGCCCTCGCTTTCCCCCTTCCGTCGACCTCGCTTTCCCCCTCCCGTCGACCTCGCTTCCCGTCGACGTCGCTCTCATTCCCACCGCCCACTCTTTGTCGAGCTTCCCCTCTTCTTCGCCCTCTCTTCCTTCCCCCGTCGCCCATGCCCATTCCCCTCCCTCGCGCCGTCGCCCTCGTTCCCCCCCCCCCCCCCCGGCGCCTTCGCTACCCTTCCTAATGCCCGTGTTTACCCCCTCCATTTCCCCACCCTCACTCTCACCCTCGTCCTCTTATGCGAAAAAAACTACTCGCATTTCACTCTTCCTTCCTTCCTCCCATCCTACCAGCCTCCGAGCCTAATTATCTCCCTTTTTACCCTCCTATTCCTCCCCTTCACCTTCCCATTCCTTCAAATCACCTTCTCACCCCTATTGTCCTTTCAATCGCTGCTGCTTCTTTTTTGCGGATGCCTCCTTCCCCTATCTCACTCTTTCCTCCCTCCCTCACTCTGTAACCCCCTGCTCACTCTCTTCCCCCCTCCTTGATCTCTTCCCCCCTCCTTGATCTCTTCCCCCCTCCTTGATCTCTTCCCCCCTCCTTGATCTCTTCCCCCCTCCTTGATCTCTTCCCCCCTCCTTGATCTCTTCCCCCCTCCTTGATCTCTTCCCCCCTCCTTGATCTCTTCCCCCCTCCTTGATCTCTTCCCCCCTCCTTGATCTCTTCCCCCCTCCTTGATCTCTTCCCCCCTCCTTGATCTCTTCCCCCCTCCTTGATCTCTTCCCCCCTCCTTGATCTCTTCCCCCCTCCTTGATCTCTTCCCCCCTCCTTGATCTCTTCCCCCCTCCCCAATCTGTTCCCCCCTCCCCAATCTGTTCCCCCCTCCCCAATCTGTTCCCCCCTCCCCAATCTGTTCCCCCCTCCTCAATCTGCTCCCCCCTTGCTCACTCTCTTCGCCCTTGCTCACTATGTTTCCCCCTGCTCACTCCCTTTCCCCCCCCCCCTCACTCTGTTTCCTCCTTGCTCTCTCTCCCCTCTCCTCCTCACTCTCTTCCCCCTTCCTCACTCTATTCCCCTCTGCTCACTCTCTTCCTCCTTGCTCTCTCTCTTCCTCCCTCCTCATTCCGTTTCCCCATTGCTCACTCTCTTTCCCCATTGCTCATTCTCTTCCCCGCTGCTCATTCTCGCATCCCCTGCTCACTCCCTTTCCCCATGCCCACCCTCTGTTCCCCTGCTCACTCCCTTTCCCCATGCCCACCCCCTTTCCCCTTGCTCTATCTCTTACCCCCTCCTCATTCCGTTTCCGTCTCTGCTCACTCCCTTTCATCATCCTCACCCTCTTCCCCTAATCACTCTCTTTCCCCCTGCTCACTGTCTCCCCTGCACTCTGTCTTTTCCTGCTTACGCGGTTTCCCCCCATGCAATGTACAGGTGCCCAGCACCAGGTGTGGGGAGGGAAGGAAAAGTGTTGGATATTTTTGTGCTGTGTGTGCAGACAAGACTGGGAAGATACATATTGTTGAGTAACTTTGTTCTTTTAGAACTAGATCGTTCGTTGCACTTTGTAGGTGGTAAATGGTCACAGTACTACATGGATCAAAACTGATTATTAATAATAAACATACAGCATGGGAATGGCTATGTGTCATACCTAGTGGTCATACCAAACGACTAACATTCCAGAACCAAATGCCAGGGGGGGGGGGGGGGGGTTACAGGGGTACAAACAAGGTTGTGTAAATCGGAAGCTCGGAGGGGGTTAGGAGGAGATTGAGTGAGGCGGAGATAAGGCGAGGAGGCGGAGATTTAGGTTGTACATGCACGGCCCAGGCGTGATGCCGCCCGGCAGCTGCCATGTGGCTGAGAAGGAGCCTCCCACTGAGGGAAACCCTGGACGGGGGGCAGAGAGGAGGGGAGTGTGCGAAGGAGGTAAGAAAAATATTTGGAGTAACGGCGGAAGGGAAAGAGGCATTGCGCATGGTAGTGCGGTAGGGAGGTGATGGGGAAGAACCTTTCGGCGAGGAGGAAGATGGGAAGAAGCAGGGAGGAGAGCGGACGGGGTGGAGTGGAGGATGAGGATGAGAAGTAGGAAGGCAGGGAGATCGTGGCGAGGTGTGACGATGCCACGGGGTGCAATGGGACGGAATGGCTATGGCAGGTGGGTAGGCGACGTATGGGGTGAGGCGGAGATGGGTGAGGGGAGGGGGACACAGGGCGGGTTTCCTTATCATTCACAGCAACAGCAGTAGGGATGGGGAGATGCGGGATGGGGAGGAGGAGAGGGATGGGGAGATGAGGGATGGGGAGGTGTGGGATGGGGAGGTGAGGGATGGGGAGGTGAGGGATGGGGAGGTGAGGGATGGGGAGGTGTGGGATGGGGCGGTGAGGGATGGGGAGGTGAGGAGTGGGGAGGTGAGGGATGGGGAGGTGAGGGGTGGGGAGGTGAGGGATGGGGAGGTGAGGGATGGGGAGGTGAGGGGTGGGGAGGTGAGGGATGGGGAGGTGTGGGATGGGGCGGTGAGGGATGGGGAGGTGAGGGATGGGGAGGTGAGGAGTGGGGAGGTGAGGGATGGGGAGGTGAGGGGTGGGGAGGTGAGGGATGGGGAGGTGTGGGATGGGGAGGTGTGGGATGGGGCGGTGAGGGATGGGGAGGTGAGGGATGGGGAGGTGTGGGATGGGGCGGTGAGGGATGGGGAGGTGAGGGATGGGGAGGTGAGGGATGGGGAGGTGTGGGATGGGGCGGTGAGGGATGGGGAGGTGAGGGATGGGGAGGTGAGGAGTGGGGAGGTGAGGGATGGGGAGGTGAGGGGTGGGGAGGTGAGGGATGGGGAGGTTGTGGGATGGGGAGGTGTGGGATGGGGCGGTGAGGGATGGGGAGGTGAGGGATGGGGAGGTGTGGGATGGGGCGGTGAGGGATGGGGAGGTGAGGGATGGGGAGGTGAGGGATGGGGAGGTGTGGGATGGGGCGGTGAGGGATGGGGAGGTGAGGGATGGGGAGGTGAGGAGTGGGGAGGTGAGGGATGGGGAGGTGAGGGGTGGGGAGGTGAGGGATGGGGAGGTTGTGGGATGGGGAGGTGTGGGATGGGGCGGTGAGGGATGGGGAGGTGAGGGATGGGGAGGTGTGGGATGGGGCGGTGAGGGATGGGGAGGTGAGGGATGGGGAGGTGAGGGGTGGCGCTGCACCTGGAAATAAACCGCTGTCTTGTCGTACGCTGCATGCGCTGACACTAACTCTAGCCTGAGGGGAGAAAGGGTGGAGACGAGAAGGGAGAAAGGGTGGGGATGAGAAGGGAGAAAGGGTGGGGATGAGAAGGGAGAAAGGGTGGAGGTTGGGTCGTTGCGTGTGTGACGACAGGGGAGTGAGCGTGGGCGGCGGAAGGGGCACGCGCTTTCGCGACGGGAGAGAGTGAGCGTGGGCGACGAGAGGGAGTGGGCGTGGGCGACGGAGGGGACCGTCGCGGCGGGAGGGAGTGAGCGTGGGGGGCGAAAGGGGAGTCGTCGAGCGTGACAGGAGGAAGTGCGCGTGGACGGCGGAAGGAGATTGAAAGGGAGTGTGCGGCGCGGGCGGCAGCGTGCGACGAGAGGGGAGTGGCCATGTGCGACGAGCGGGGGTGAGCGTGTGCGACGGAAGGATTGCGTTAAGGCGATGGAAAGGGAGTGAGCGTGGGCGACGGGAAGGGAGAAAGCGCGGGCGGTGGGAACGGAGTGCGCGTGGGCGACGGAAGGGAGAGCGTGTGGGCGGCGGGGACGGAGTGCGCGTGGGCGAGGGAAAGGAGTGCGCGTGGGCGGCGGGAACGGAGTGCGCGTGGGCGCCGGAAGGGAGTGCGCGTGGGCGGCGGCAACGGAGTGCGCGTGGGCGACGGAAGGGAGTGTGCGTGCTCGGTCTCGGGGAGTGCGCGTGGGAGACGGGAAGGAATTTGTAATCCACGACGGAGGAGACGGGAGGGGAGGGAGCGTGCTCGTTTGAGCGAGGAAGCGTGAGCGATGGAGGGGAGTGCGTGTGTGGGATGGAAGGGGACCAAGTGTTCTCGTCGGGGAAAAGAAGCGAATGCGACGAAGTAGTTGGATAAAATCTTAATACCGCGCACAAAGAGGACGCCGCGGCTATGAACAGGGGCGACATGATGCGGTGGGCGATGGGGAGGTGCAACCAGGGCGACGATGGGCACATGTGCATCCATGGGCACGGCTAGCTAAGTCGAGTGAAAACGTGACCTAGAATCGCGGAAAAATATATCTCCGGATTGGACGGAGTGGAGTAATAGTCCTAACGAGTAAGGCGGAAATAAGAGGCCTGGGGTTGGAATGGGGTTGGAGCCTAGCTGTTCTAAGCTGTGGCTGCAGCTCTAGCTGATCAGACTACGTAGTTTCGAACGACCTGAATTACATATTTCCAGTTTGGTGTGCACACCTCCGACCTCTGGCGAGAGTGGTTACGCAGGAACCGAGCGACACTCCCCTGAGCTGCCTGCGACTTCATCACGTTTTGCAGGTGAACAACTGGTAACCACCTCCCAACTTTTTTTGTAATTCAGGCTGCGGGTGAGGATGGTGCGAGTATCTATGGCCGGTCTGCATATTTCATCTGTGCACCAGCTGGTTCTACAAATTTCGTATTAATATTGTATACGAGACCAACGTGACAGTTGAGGGACCTGCCAATTCTAATTGAAGGTTACATATAAGCTTTACGCCTTGAGGCACTCGTATGCAAGCTCCTTCTCCTCAACAAGCTCTGCTGCTGTGGCCTCCATCTTCGCCTTCGAGTTGGCATCAATTGATAGCCCTGTGGGGATCATCAGGACGGGATTACGCACATGAAAGAGCACAAGGATTCTCAGAAACAGCAGCACGGAAGTAAAGTAAGGACTGGGGACTGAAAGTGGGAATCAAGAAGCCTAGCACTGGTAACAGGTTGCAGGCTGTCCGTGCAGTGAAGAAATATTACCTTGCACAATGGTCCACTCGCCATCCTTGCAGGTGACAGGGAAGGAATAGATGATGTCCTTAGGAACTCCATACGAGCCGTCAGAGATGACTCCCATGGACACCCAAGTACCCTGAAGAACGGAACAAACAGGCATAATTTTGAGCGAAGGAGCAAGGGGTCAATTGACAGCAGCTAATACAGCAAGGATGGAACAGCAAATAGAAACATATCTTGCAAGTAACCATTACCTCGGGTGTGCCCTTCACCCAGTTCCGGATGTGGTCGCAGGCAGACGAGGCAGCGGAGAGAGCACTGGACAGTTTGCGGGCCGCAATGATGGCAGCACCGCGTTGCTGAACGGTCTTGATGAAATCGCCATCAAGCCTGCACGAATTCGAGTGAACTAACGAATAAATCCGGTGCCTTTTTCTCCCGACAAAGTGGTATGTAAAATTTAAGGTGGTGGTCATTAGTGTGCGTGCGGCCTTTAAGCTAGCCAAATATCATAATTGACGTACCAAGCGTCGTCCTTGACAAGCTCGCGCACGGGCTTCTCGCCCTCGGGAGTGACGACGACGGCGTGGTTCACATCGGGGTACTGGGTAGACGAGTGGTTACCCCAGATAATGGTGTTCTTCACGTTCGCCACCGGCACGCCCAGGCGCTCCGAGATCTGGCCGAGCGCGCGGTTGTGGTCCAGGCGGGTGAGGCAGGTGATGTTCTTGGCGGGGAACTTGGGCGCGAACTCCTTCAGGATGAGCGCGTTGGTGTTGGCGGGGTTAGCAACGACCACCACCTGACGGGATCATGTGGGAAGGGTTACGTGTAACGGAGATGTGAGAATAAGATGAGCCAACACTGAGAACTTACAAGCCAGCTGGACGTCGACGAAACATAAATCCGGTGTAATGCTGTTGAGTGCTATCCAGCTCTACAGTAATATCCGTGTTGAAGAAGCAAAAAACAGGGATCAAAGACGAGGATTCCATATTGAAGCCACCAGCTGTTGGTGAGCATCAGCAGTAAGTTTCTGATTTTATAATATCAGCTGCTCGAGAAGGTACACACCTTGCAGTCCTTGTCAGCGAACTTCTCCAAAGCGGAGGCCTGATCGCGGTAGATGGAGACGTTCTTGGACATGACGTCCTTGCGCTCCATGCCGGCCTTGCGGGGGAAGCCTCCCACCATGATGGCCACCTGGACACCCTTGCATGCCTCCTCAACATTCGACGTCGCGACAACCCCTGAGGACACGAAACACAAGACAAAAGCGGGATTCCACAAGTGCGATCAACACGCTTGAGACGTGATATGGATCTACATTTTCTTCATGTCAAATAGCACGTGCTAAGTAAGCGACGTTTCCGAGGTAGATAAGCTTACCGTGAATGAGGGGGAAAGCGGCGTCAATGAGCTCCATGCGGACGCCATTGAGGGAGCTCTCGGCAAGGGGGATATCAAGAAGGTGAAGGATGACAGGCTGGTCAGGGCCGAGGAGAATGCCGCGAGCGATCATAGGCACCAAGGCATATCCGATTTGGCCTGCACATGATAACAACGCGCATAGTGGTTCCAAGATCAGAGATCGGGACTCATGCTGGTGTCGGATAACGATTCTTATGTTTAACAAGGTTCTACTGACCGGCGGCACCGGTGACAAGCACGCGGACGGGCTCGGGGGCCATGGCTTCAAGTTTCGGAAGCTGAAGGGCTGGTCGGAGATTGGTATAGAAGGCTTCTTGAGTCACAACAAGAAGCAGAAAAGATAATCACAAGAAAACGAAAAGAGATTCAGCAAGCTAAATTTGTTGAGGTGGTGCTTTTGTGCCTGTTCAGCGCAGAGATGTGGGATGGGGGGAGGGAGGTTGAGGGGACAGACGGATCGGACATTGGGGTGGAAAACATTTTGGTTCGCATAACACATAGCTGGCTGTGACAGCGGGAATCGAGATGGCATCGTACAGTGGACATAGCCCAGGGTAGAGGGGACATGGCCATCTGCCACTGGTCGCATGGCCTTTCTGCTGCCTCGCTGGATTCCACCTACTGACGCAGCATTCCCCCTCCCCTAAAGTCTTGAAAAGATCCCCTCGGTTTGCGGCGCCACGCCACTTCATTGTCACGCAAATTGAGACTGAGCTTCGTCAGCTCGAGCACGCGGGAGATTTCGGTTCGGGCTGTATGAAATCTGATTTGGAAACGAGGCAGCCACGTGGTTGGGGGCTTCCGAGGCATGTTAGGTGGCTCGGAAAAAAGTGGCGGCAGGCGTGGCGAGGGTGACTAGGTCCCAAGAACTCCAGCGCACATCCTCGACAAGAATAGTGCCAGCCATGTGTAAACTCAAATTAGAACTCAAAGAGAAGCTTACTTACATGCATTATTTCTAAAAGCATGTCACCTACCGTTCACCTTCTTCCTCCCTACTTTGGTCTCCACCCGTATTCCCTTCTCTCACAGCCTGCCTCACCCTTCCCCATCCTTTTTTATCGTGTCCATCCCCATCCCCAACAGACCGACGTGCACCAAACGATGGCTGCCTCCAGCTCAGACTCCTAAACGCAAACCCTTTTCCACCAGCCCCAGTTTGCCCATGGCCCTCGCTGCCTCCAGATGGGAACTCTCCTACACCGTCACCTGCCCCCCTTGCCCTGGCACCCTCTCCCTCATCAGACATCAGTGCTTCTATCAGGTCCTGCCACCGCTTCTGCACTTGCGCTGACGATTCATGCGCCTGCAGCGGCTTCCCACCACTGCCACCAGCACCGCCATTGCTGCCAGCGGCAGTTTTACCAGCCTCGCCACTCTCCGGCTGCACGTTATGAGCGTCTCCTTTAAGAGTTATTTCCGAATACAATTTCTCCACCTGCATCCCCTCCTCCTCCTCCCTATCATCCTCCTCCTCCTCCCCTTCCTCTTCCTCCTTGTAGTCTTCTGCGAGCACAGCAGGGTCCTTGGCATTGGGTATTCCCAGAGAGAGGCAACGCTCGAGGGACTTGAGATGTTGCAGCTGGCGCTGCTGCTGCAGCAGCGAAGGCTGATGACGCTGCGACTTGCGCCGCGACTCGTGCTGCATCTGGTCCTGCAGGGACGGCTGCTTCTCCTGCAAGTCACCCGCTGCTGATGCCGCTGCTGCTCCGGCTGACGCTGTTCCCCCATCCCGTTCCATCACCTCCTCTGCTGGTGCTGTCATCACGACTGGTTGTTGCTTGTCGCCTTGCTTCAACCCCTCAACTGTTTCCGCCTTGCCTTCTCCGTCGGCATCAGGCGCTTCCATCGTCTGGCACGGGTGAACATTGGGGTTGGGGTTCAAATTCGGGAGGAGTTAAGTTTGGCGCTCGGAATTGGGTTGGGTTTGGGTTTGAGTTGGAGTTTGGGATTGGGGCAAGAAGAGGACTCATTGTGTCACCAAGTGCTATCACCAAACAAGGTCCCATAACAGGATGACTCAGTACAAGAGAGAAACGAATCTGTCCAGAGCAAGGCAAGCATGCAGAAGGGACTGATGCTGAAAGGCATCTAGCTTTACCACTTGATACACTACACTGCATTACTCATTGCAACCACCTGCATGACTCGATACAGTCACACCGGCACAACTCCCCACAGTCACCTGCAGGAACTGGTGCAGCTTGGCAGCGCCTTTTGTCCAGTCCCTAGCGTTCCCATCCCTTCCCCCACATCTCACCCCTCTCCCCCCTCTATGTCTCTGTCACCCATCGCTGCCACATGCTGCGCCACCGGCACAACTCCCCCATAGTCACCTGCATGACTCTCTACAGTCACAGCAGCACAACTCCCCCATAGTCACCTGCATGACTCTCTACAGTCACAGCAGCACAACTCCCCTATAGTCTCCTGCATGACTCGCTACAGTCACAGCAGCACAACTCCCCTATAGTCACCTGCAGGAACTGGTGCAGCTTGGCAGCAATGAGCGGCAGAGTGTGGTCGTGCATGGCAGTGCGGGACATGTCAGAAGACTACAATCGCCTGTATGACCGGGTGCATGTGGCATCACACCTGCAGGAACTGGTGCAGCTTGGCAGCAATGAGCGGCAGAGTGTGGTCGCGCATGGCAGTGCGGGACATGTCAGAAGACTACAATCGCCTGTATGACCGGGTGCATGTGGCATCACACCTGCAGGAACTGGTGCAGCTTGGCAGCAATGAGCGGCAGAGTGTGGTCGCGCATGGCGGTGCGCGACAGCACCACATGCTCAAACCGCCCCTCCACTGGAATGGCCGTCAGCGCCACCGGAGGAAGGTCCTCACAGCTGCCATGTGTTATGTGCCGTGTGGCATGTGAGAAGTGCCATGTGGCATGTGAGAAGTGCCGTGTGGCATATAAGAAGTGACATGTGTCATTTGGCAAGTGCCATGTGCCATGCATGAAGGATGCGGGGATGGGGTAAGAGGTAGATGGAAGCACAAGGGTAAGTTGTGAATGGTAACAGGATTACTTGCCGGGGAATATGGGAGGGGGTTGAAACGACTAAGAGCTCAGATGGGGTGGGCGAAAAGCAGGGCACAGGCCCACCTGCAGGGGCGTGTGTAGAGCATGTGGTAGAGGCGGCCGGGGGCATAGAGCCTTCTGGGATCCGCCAGTCTCCTCTGCTCCGACACACATGTGTCATGGCAGCATGAATACTGCAATACACAAGGCAGACTGTGGGGAGGGAGGGATAACGAGAATTCGGAAATGGGAAGGAGGGAGAGATGATTAGGGGGAAATGGGAGCGCGACAAGGGGTGAGACGAGCTTCAATATGCCATCATGCAGCATGAGTGCTGCTTTTGAGGCGCCTCAAATGTTTGAAGCGACTGAAAAATATGCCATGATGCAGCAAGAGCACTGCTGCAGCCAGGACATGGGCTGTGAGGGGAGGAAGGGAGGAGGGGATTATGGGAAGCGTGTGTGTTGTATAGGAAGGTGAGGAGCGTTGGGAGGAGAGAGAGGAAGGGGAGGAGGGGGAGAACATGAATGTGCTCATAGAAATGCTCTCCCCCTCCTAGAAATGGGAGAGGAAGAGGAGGAGGGGGAGAGCATGAGTGTGCATGGGTTGATTCATAGAAATGGGAGAAAATCAATGAATGGCGGTTGAGGTTGAGGGGTTATCACCAGAAGGTGAGTCCGAAGACGAGAGCGAGCGGGTTTGCCACACGGGGAAGAAAGTCATCCTGGCGTGAGTGAGTGCGCACACGTACATGCATGAACCAACACATATGCATGCACGGATGCACACATGCATGCATACACACAGAGAAGAGAGGAGACGAGGAGTTGATGCGAGGGCCGTGCCGTGCATACAGAGAGCAGGATACAGGCACAGCTGTCAGAGAGCAGGATACTGTCACAGCTGTCAGAGAGGGTTCACAGTGCGCGAGAGGGCTCACAATGGGGGAGCATACAGCGGGGGAGCACACAGCGGGGGAGCATACAGCAGGGGAGCACACAGCAGGGGAGCACACAGCAGGGGAGCGCACAGTATGAGCGTGAGGCAATACGACAGCACCATATGCTCCCAGCGCCAGCACGCACTCCCTTACTCCTCCCCCCGTCACACCGTCACGCTTGCCCCAAGAGCAAGCCCAGCATGCTCCCTCGTGCAGCACCACACCACCCACGTGCAGCACCACACCACCCACCTGCAGCACCACACCACCCACGTGCAGCACCACACCACCCACCTGCAGCACCACACCACCCACTTGCAGCACCACCCGCGACTCCACCCACCAGCAGCCCAGCATGCACGCACCTGCAGCACAACAGACGCGATGATATCCGCATGGCGCACGGCCAGGTTGAGCGACGCACATCGCGGCGGCGAGAACCCCACGCAGCGGATCCTCCCTCTCCGCACGCGGCCCAGCTCGCGCAGGTTGTTGGCCATCACCATGGCTGCCAGCGCCAGCACGCCCGCGCCTATGGAGTGCCCGGTGAGTGTGAGCGTGTGCGAGGGATGCCGGCGCAGAAGGCGCTTTAGGTGGTCCATTTCGAGGTCCAGAAACGCGCCTGCTGCTGCGAGTAAACCACAGTGCACGTAGCCCCCGTCAAACATCTGCCAGGAAACGGGGGAGAGGGGCGAGGGCGAGGGAGAAAGGGGGAAGGGGGGAAGGGGAGAAGGGGGGAAGGGGGAATGGGGGGGAAAGAGAACGGAGGAAGGGGAAGAGGGGGGTGGGGGGGATTGGGAATGGGGAGATGGGGTAGGCAATGGGATGGGAGTGCCCGGTGAGTGTGAGCGTGTGCGAGGGATGCCGGCGCAGAAGGCGCTTTAGGTGGTCCATTTCGAGGTCCAGAAACGTGCCTGCTGCTGCGAGCAGCCCGCTGTGCACGTAGCCCCCATCCAACATCTGGAGGGTAGGGGGAGAGAGGGCATGGGGAGGGGGAAGAGGGGAAAAAAGGGACGTGGATTGGGGGAAAGGGGGAACGGGGGAAGGGGGAGAGGGGGATGGGGGAGACGGGGAAGGAGGAGACGTGGTGGGCGAGGGGAGTGGCCAGTGAGCGTGAGAAGCAAAGCTTAGAAGAAGGTAGCGGGAAAGCGGGGAAGCGGGGGGGATCGGGTGGGCGGGCGCGCGGACCTGCTTGCCCTTGCGGTTGTTCCTGAGGATCTCATAGTCCGACGGCTGCATGAGGTTCATGCCGCGCATCGCCACTGTGATGTCTTGATTCGCGTCATCCAGATACACCAGGTACGACGGGCACTGCCCGTCCGTGTCCCGCTGCTCCACCTTCCGCAGCACGCGCGCCTCTATCACCTCCCGCTTCCCCTTCGCCGGACCGTCCTTCCCGTTGGATTCCGACCCAGCCTCCGATTTCGACCGAGCCTCTGCATTAGGCTCGGAACCAGGTCTGGAACCAGGCTGGGGCTCAAGGTCCTTCTCCTTCGCCGTTTGTGCGTGCGTGGCATCGGGGTCGCATTGTTTGGATGGTTTCCCTGCAGCGGCGGCGTCGGTGTGCGGGGAGATGTTTCCGTTATCGTCGGAAACAGATTCGAGCAGCTGCAGGCACTTAGGTAAGTCCGGTTCGTAGGACGCGAGAATGAGCGCCGCGAGGCGCGGAAAGTCCGCCATTTCGTCCCGGGACGCGGCGGGCCAGTCGCGGCTGGAGTCCGCGCCTTTGCGGAGGAGGCGGTGAACGGCCCACCCGCAGCACGCGCATCCCCACATCGCGATGCAGCACGGGAGCACCATGGCTGCTGCTGTGGCGTTGACGAGGATCGGCGAGTGTGTCGAGAGTGTGGCTTGGTAATGCGAGCACGTGAAGGTGAGTTTGGATTCAGGCGTCTCAAAACGAACCTGTTTTCACCGAATGGGTGCGTTGGTACTGGTTTTTTTTTTAGTCACACCCCAGCAGCGCGAAGCAGTAACAGGGTATCATTCTGTCACGTACGGAAAGGTATAGGAAAGCAACTCACGCCTCCAAAGAATCGTTATGACAAGATTGCGGAATATCCATGCCTCACATTGGCATGCTCAGCGACTTTACATAATCGCGCTATTTTTAGTCGCTAAACCGTAATGCTGTCCAAGGAACTCACCACTACCAACAGCCGAAGGAGCAAAAGGAACGCGAGCCGAGACGAGACTCCAAGTATATGCTCCACTATATGCCCCACCAACCTCGAGAGACAAAATTTCAGGTTCACATTTGGGAGCACCCGTTTGTATGCACTCCCGTTGTCGTCCACACATATCAGCAGAGGCGATCCTCCCAAGAAAATCCTGGCGCTGCGCGGCAGTCTCAAGGAGGACGTGCAGGTTAGGACGGATTGTGCCCCTCTCCAACCTTGAAGTCCCCAACCTCGGTAGGCTCGAGTTGCCAGGCTCAACTTTGTGGAACGAATACACACGATGCCCGTTTGACTAACCCAGGTGATTCTTGCATTTCGCTAAGCTTTCGTCAATTCGCACTTAGCAAAAAGGGCTTTTAAAAGATTTTGTAACTCGCTGTTGACCGTTTGACATGGGTCTCTTCTGTCAAACTTCGGTTTTTGTGGTTCGTGTTGCTCGAGGTGCTTGTAAGTGGGGTGCAACTGACTGGTACCCTAATACACGGGTGCAGAGTTTCCATCGCGGGCAGGTCAAATTTGCGTGCAGGGGTTGGGCATCTTGTGTATAGAAAATTGAGACAAGTACACTCAAAGTTCATAAGCAGCCACATTTCAGAAATCACATATACATGTACTGGCCCTCTTTCACTGCATTCTCAGCACCTCTCCGTTCTTCCTCCTCTTCCTTCTCTCGCTCCTTGCGCCTCTCGTAAACATGGTCGTCGGTTGGCATCTCGTACCGACACAAAGGACACGAGTTGTGCTCGTCCTGTTCGAGGCACACAGAAAAAACCAAGACGGATGGTGAACAAGTACTAAACACACAAGGAAAACTCAAGTGCAGAATGTGATGTGAATGCAATGCTTTCCAAAGAACGCTGCACACTACACAACAGCATTACGCAAACTCGAGCTTTTTGACTCACCAGCCATGGTTGCAGGCAGTCCACATGAAACCGATGGCTGCATGGCATCTCCCTCAGCTTGTCACCAACCTCCCACTTCTCCCTGCACACACTGCACTCGTCCACACTCCCCTCCCCTTCCTCCCTCTTCCCCTCCCAATCCACCCCCTCCCCTCCCAAACCAACACTACCCCCTTTCTCAGTCTTCCCACCACTGCTGCTGCTGCTGACAGTACTACCACTAACGCCACTACCCGCCACCACCCCTTCTCGCATCCCACCTGCCGCTAAAGGCACAACCCCAGCCTGACTGTACACAAGCACAGGCAGCTGCTTCACCGCTCTCTTAGAAGCAGGCGGTGCAGAGGGCGGCTGAGACGCCTGAATGCTCGCTTCTAGGGCCTCTGCCAGGCCAGGAGTCAACAGGTCATCAGCTCCACCTCTTGCTATCGCATCCCGCAGCAGATCCTCCAAAGCCGTTCCGCTCGCCAAGAGTGCTGCAACGGCCTGATCAGGGGTTCGTCCATCTTCTGGTTCTCTGTTTTCCAGCTAGGGGTTGCTGTCATTGCTGTCAGCAGCAAGGGCATTCAGGTCCCTGTGTGTGCACGCACGAGTGCATGGACAAGGATCAGAAAACGCACTAAAGGAGAGGACATGTTACAGAGCCTTCCAAAAAGGGGAGGGGGGAACAGCCAGTGAAGAAATTGTAACTTTCAGAACACACCCCACAGCAAACGGTCGACAAAAACAAGCCGGCCGACCAGCAATCAAGAGGCCGCATGCTCAATCCCTCCCTCACCTCTGCTGCTGCGCCGCGGCCAGGGTTGCCAGCAGCGTCTGAGCCACCAGCCAATCAGGCCGCGGCGGCTCCGCTGCTGCCGTCAGCTGACCCTCAAACTGAAAAGACGGAGACGCAGCAGCAAGCAGACCCCCCCCACCTCCTCTCAGTTCCCTTGCCCTCCTTGCTCCCTGCTCCCCTTCCCCATTCCCTGATCCCCCGTCTGCTCTCCCCCTTCCATCCCCTCCCTGTGCCAAACCTTCTCCCCCGGCTTCTCCCACTTCCCCGCCTTCCCCCAGGAACTCCTGCGCCGACTTGATGTGCTGCTGGACGCGGTTGCGCTCCGCTCCCTCCTCCAGCACGGCGCAGGCCGCGCGGAAAAGGACAAGACCCGCCACCCAGAAACCACGTGTTGTGTAACGGGTCTTCAGCAGGGTAGCTGCACGATGGACGGCTGATATCATCTGAAGAGGCAATGGTGGAACGTCAGGAATGTTAAGCCAACAGTACTATGAGAAATAATACGCAGCAGTGATATAAGCACTGAGCTAAACGTCTCACAGCATGGGCCAAATTGCACCCTGATTGCACCCTGATGTAATACGATTGTTCTGCGATTCTATACCACTAACGCAATTCTGATCCGCCAGGGACGATCTGTGCAGAATTGAACTACTGAAACGTGCGACGGCGATCTCACCTTCTGCTGCTCGCCCAGAGAGGAGGAGGGGTACTGCGAGGCAACTAGAGCTGTCAGGTCCTTCACCGCTTTCTCAAACGAACTCTTCTTTGCCATAAGCTTCGTTAGGTCATTCGCTGTAATCGCATCGGGACCAAGAGACGTCTGCCGGCTGCTTTGGCTACCACTCGCCACGCAAGCGGACGCCATGACTGTCAAAGATAGGAAATCCTACGGATAGCTTGTGATCAAATGTGCTTTGTATAGGTTCGTCTGCAGTCGGAAACACGCAACAACTGGGAGTGGGTAATTCAAGTTTGGTGAGGCGACTTGGGGTGGTGAGAACCTTGCTGACGTCAGCGACAGGTACTTCTGGGAAACCAGTTAGGGCTAGAAGCTGTCCAACGACTTTCCTGCTTACAAACAGAGCAGGATAATAGAAACATTTACCGTAACAGAGAAAATGTGGTGAGGTGAGAGCTATAAAGGAGGACATCATAAGACGGGAGTGCCAAAAAGGGAGTGGGCACAGAAGTGTGCTGCCAGAGGATGACACATGAGAAATGCCAGAAAGGGAATGGGCAAAGCATGAATCCCACGAAACCTCCTCAAATTTATCCAACTCTCAGAATATTCACACAAGAATATTCATCAAGTAGGGTACATCTGTTCATGGAGCGTCCCACCCAACCCCCAGATCAGTTTCCTCCCACTCCAACCAAACAGGTTCAGGGCCCCCCATCATTGACACCGCACAAAAGAATAATGCATTTTTTTCTGTTCAACGTGTATTTACACGCCACGCTACTGGAGGCCGGATAGTGGAAACATGTAAAGACATTGAGAGATGCACCATATTGCACCCATTGAGACCCTGCTGCTACGATCAGAGAATGATCGCTAACCAGGATCTACTCGGGAAGGTTCGTACACAGGAGAAATTGGTTGGTGGGCCCGTGATCTCAATAGCAGAGTGAATATAAATGCTTGAGATGATTAAAACATGCAAATACAGCGAGTATAAATATGAGTACAGGGAAGACGAAACGACCTAGCTAGTCATGTACTCTAAGGGGTACATTCCCTTGTTCAAATACATTCAACCGTGCGGCGCGTACGGTTTCGTAACTGTTCCCGCCAAGAACATCCTGCCTGCAGCTGTCCGATGCAGTCTGCCTCCGACGGTCCAGATGCGTCCCAACTGTCTGACACTTCGAGTCAAACTCCAACTGTCTGACGGTTCGCTTTCTTGCTTCGATACTGCGTGCTTCTCTTTGCTGCGGTGAGGAGTGCTCAGTAACAATTACATGTTACTATTCGTAACACCCCCCTTCGCTCCTGGCCGTAGCTTGATTTGACCTGTTTGACCACGCCGCTGAGTTCGGAGCAGTGCTGATACTGCTGGTGTGGCAGTTGCTTCGTCAGGAAGTCTGCTGCCATGTCACCGGTCGGGCAATAGGTCAAGTTGACCTTGCCTTTGTCCACTTCGTCCTTCACGAAGAAATATCGCAGCGCAATGTGCTTGGTGCGATTGACGAGACCGGGTTTGTTCGCGATGCAAATCGCGCTCTGGTTGTCGCAGTGAAGTCGAAAGGTTGGCGAAGTTGGAATTTTCGCCTCCTGCTGGAGTTCCTCTAGGTAGAGACCTTCGCGAACTGCTGCGGTTGCTGCGATGAATTCTGCTTCGGCTGACGACAGGGCAACCAGCTCCTGTTTCTGTGAGTTCCAGGAGATTGGCCCCGTTGGTTCGAGTCGGAACAGGAAGCCGGTCCTGGACCGTCGATTGTTGGGATCTGCTGCATGATCGGCATCTAAATAGCCGACGAGATTGAAGGATGGAGTTGGTGCAGTTGAGTAGCACAGCCCGATCTTGGGCGTTGAAACGAAAAATTGCAAAGCGCGCTGCAGGTCCAGGTGATTTTCAGCCGTTGGTTTCCGTGAGTGCTGGGCGAGCTGACTTGCGATGTAGGAGAGGTCTGGCCTGCAGGTGACAGAGGCGAAGAGAAGGCATCCCAGCTGCTGCTGGTAAGTCTGAATTCCAGCAGGGGACAGGGCTTTGTTGTCAGGTTTGTGGTTCGGTCCGGGGGTTCGATAGGGAGTCGAGAGGGGTGCGGGTGAAATCTTGAACCGCTTCCCTAACTCCTCTGCGTACTTAGCTGCTGACAGATGAATGGCTTCAGGCGCATAGGAGATGTTGAGGCCTAGGAACTGCTTCACCTCGTAGTTGCACGTGATGTCGACGCGCCCCGCCAAGGCCTTCTCGAACTGTTCGAGCAGCTCGTTGTTTGAGCCCGTGTAGAGCAAATCGTCGACGTAGACCGTGAGGAGGATGTATTCCCCGCGGAAGTCGCGGCGGTACATCCCTAGGTCGTGGGGCATCTGCTTGAACCCGATTTCAAGCAAGATGTTGTGCAAGTACTGCTGCCACAGTCTTGGAGCCTGCTTGATGCCGTACAGTGACTTGCGCAGCTGGCATACCCGCGAGTCACTTTCCCCATAGGTGTGTGGCTGCTCCACGTAAATCACAGCGTCCACTAACGCGTATAGGAACGCGTTTTTGACATCGATCTGGCGGAGTGGCAGGTGCCTTGCAGCTGCGATAGCGAGTAAGATGCGGACGGAGGTGTGGCGACTGACGGGGGCGAATGTCTGGTCGAAATCGATCCCATGCCTCTGGTCATAGCCGCAAACCACCCATCGTGCCTTGAAGCGCTCAATCGTTCCGTCAGCTGCGGTCTTCACGCGAAAGACCCACTTCCCTGAAAGGATTCTTGCACCTTTGATTGCTGCGCGGTCGACGAGCACCCAGGTGTCGCGTGACTCTAGTGCCTTGATTTCCGCATCCATTGCCTCACGCCATTCTTTGCTGTGTGGTCCAGAGAGGGCTTCGCGCGGGTTTCGGGGCTCGATGACGCGCGGCGCTTTCGAGGTTGCTGTGTGAAGTCCGAGCAGTTGTAGTCCTGAGACGGTGCTGTCGTGGCGACGCTGCGGGATGACTTCCTGCACGTCATCGTCGTCGCTCTCAGGTTCAGGTGGTGCTGATGGTGTTGTGCCTCCGCCGCTTCCGCCCGTTCCGCCCATTCCTCCTCCTGAGGAATCATCATCGTCGTCGCTGCTGCGCCGATCTTCCCAAGTGAATTCGGTCCTGGTGTCCTGCTCTAGGAGTGCTGCAGCGGCTTCGTCTTCGGGCGTTGCGTAACTGTGGCCGTTGTTCGCGTAAACGCGATCTGCATTCCTCTGCTCGTCGTCGCGAAACTGGTCGAGGAAGAGACGCTCGTAAAAAATTACGTCGCGAGCGTGGGCGGTTTTCTAACTCAGAAGGTCCAACACGATCCACGCCTTGTGTTCGTGGCTAATGCCGAGGTGAATTCCCCAGTGCGCGCGACTGGTGAATTTGCCGATGGTTGATGTCGGCGGTCGGTACTGCACCATGCACCCCCAGACGCGCAGCATCGATGTGTTCCCCTTTGTCCCAGTCCACTTGACGTGCGGGGACAGGTTGCCGGTAATTGCGGTGGTCAAAAGCAGGTTGTGCACCCGCACGGCGTGGTGCATCGCGTAAGTCCAGTAGATCGGCGGCAGCTTTGATTGCTTCATCAGCGCGCGCACCTTCGTCATCAGCGTGCGGTTCGTCCGCTCAGCTACGCCCTGTTGCTGGTGTGCGTAGGGGAGGGAGATGTGATGCTCGATCCCCTTTTGCGTCAGGAATGTCTGCATCTGATTGCTCCTGAATTCTGCCGCGCCGTCGGACTGCCAGATCTTGAGCTTCTTTCCAGATTGCCGCTCCGCATGTGCTAGCCAGAGGCGGAACACCTCGTAGGCTCTGTCGCGCGTCTCCACGTTCACGACCCATACATAGCGTGTTCCTGCGTCGATGAAGGTAAGCGTGTAGAGTTCGTCTTCGATTCCGCAATGCCCCACGTTCAGGATATCGCTGTACACCTTGTGCAGTTTGGGGTATCGGTTGGTTCCAGGTTCAAGCAGCGGGAACGGTTGGTGGCTCAGCGCAGCTTCGGGGCAGACGGTGCAGTTGCGCGGATGTGTCGCACCACTCACTTCGGAGCCATCAGGGCGTAGGAGTGCGCCAAGAGCGAAGACGCCAGCGTCGATGCAGTTTTTGAGCGTCGCGCGGGAAGGGTGTCCGAGGCGCTGGTGCCAGTGTGCATCATCAGCGCGAAAGCCGGAGGTGCGCATATAGCGCGCGCGCGCTTCCTCGAGGTCTTCGTCAGGTACAGGAGCAGGTTCTGCTGCTACTTCTTCTGCTTCTTCTTCTGCCGCGGAGGTCAGCATCAACGCCAAGAACTCTCTGTCGCGAATTTCAGAGAGCGGGATGTTGGTCCCAGGGATTGTTCCAGGGACAAGGGTAGGTTGGCGTGGTTCAGGGGCAGGTCCGTAGATAGTGCGACGCGGGGTTGACGGCTCGTTGCCCCAGGTAATGGTGTCCCATGGGTCGCGATGCGGGGGAATGTCTGCAGGAGGTGGTGCGAGGGGAATGCGGCGCGGGGGACGACCGAGAGGAACGACTGCAGGTGCTGCTTCGGTCTCCGCGGCTTCTTCCTCTCCCCCCCTTCGTTCTTCGCGGGAAGTGCCCCAGCCGCTGTTGTCGGCGCCAGATGCGGCGCCCCATCCGGCGGTTGCGGTTGCCCAGGTTCCGCCTGTGTTGCCCCAGTCGCCAGCCTCAGTTGTTCCTTGTTCGCCGACGCTTCCCCACCACCCTTCATTGGTGGTGCTTTCTTCGGCTTCGGCGCCCCATGCGGCACAAGCGAACGTTCCGCGTGCCTCGGTGAGGCTTTGTTGGCGAAGCTCCTCTGCTTCACGGCGCGCCAGCTCTTCCTCCTGATCCACGGTGAGCTTCGCCGTGGGGTCGCGCCAATGCGGGTAGATCTGTAGAAAATCCTCGCGAGTGTAGGGGCGTGCCAAGCCACGCGCATCGAAGGTGCCGACACCAATTCCACGAAGCATCCCTCGAAGATGTTGAGACGGGGGACCTGTGAGGGGGTGCTCGGGCGTGCCGAACACGCCATGTGTGGTGACTTCGAGTTCGAGTTGCGACATCCCTTCATCGGGGGGCGCATTGCGCTCTGCTTCCGCGATGGCGGCGAGTCCGCGGCCTGCGATTGCGCTCGTCGAGGTCGTCGGCGTGTGACAGTCCCTGCAGATTCCAGCTGGATCGGGATTGTGAAGTGCCGTTTCGCGTGGTTGGGGATGATGCGGCACCCACGGCCTGCCGTCAGGGTGCTTCCAGTCCCTGCGGTGGATGTGTTCGAATCGCAGTGGCACGAGGTCAATTAGCTCGTGCGAGTCGCCGCTGCAGTCGGGAATGTCGAAATCCAGGATGTACACTCCATTTTCGGAGTGTGCTCGTCCGATCTGTCTGCGGGGGAAGTTGCGCGATTCGTAGTGCAGCAGAATGTCGCGCGTCGCGCGATCTGTGCTGAGTTCTACGCCGCAATCCATGAGCTGTGCGGCGGACAAGAGGTTGAAGCGCAGGTTCTGGACGATCAGCACATCGTTGAGTGTGATGTGCGTGCGGCTTCCGCGTGCTTTGAGCACAACGATGCCTTGCGCGTTTGCGCGCAGGCGCGTGTTGTTCGCCACCGTGACGTAAGTGACTGTAGGGGTGGGGACGGCGTTGGATATGTAACGCTCGGAGCCCACCATGTGCTGGCCGCAGCAGCTGTCCAGGTACCAGGTGTTGTAGCGCTTGTTGTTGTCACGTGCGAGCAGCGCCAGTCGCGGCGTGACGATGTGCGGGGTATCGAACTTCAGAAATTGCTCGCTCGAGAGCCAATCAAGTGGCGCCACCCGCATGTCCGGCACGTGCGGGGGACTCTCAAGCAGCGGGACTGGGAGATTCCAGTCCTGGTCGTCGTCGTCGATGAAGTCATGGCGCGGACTGAATGGGTTGTTGTTGGAGAACGCGCCAATGGGGTGCGGTGCTGGCTCAGGTGATGGTGAGCGCACGCGGCGACGACGGGACTCGCCTGTCATGGCCATGTTACTCATGACATTGCGTACTGTCGCAGTCGGTTGCGGCTGCTGCTGCTGATGCTGAACCACGGGGTTCAGGTTGCGCGTGGGAGGGGGCTGATAGCCCTGGGCTGGACGCACGTCGCCTCGTACGTCTTGTCGGCCGGACCAGTTGCTCGGATTGGTCTGGCGAGGGCGCGATCGGGACTTGCATCGATCTGCCAGATGCCCGAAGTTCCTGCAGATTTTGCAGTAGAGGCGCCTCGGACGTCGCTCTTCGTTGTTGTCGGCGTAGAAGGCGATCCGTTCTCTTTCTCGTCGTGGCGCTGGTCGCTGCTGGTCCATATCCTGTTGTTCGACGAGAAGGGCGGCGCAAAGGGCGGCCTCCGAGATGACCCCCTGCTGTCGGAGAAGCGCCTTGCAGGGCCGCCACTCTGGGCCGAGCCCTTGAAGCACGATGTTAACGAAGATTTCTTCAGATATCGTGCTTCCCAACTTCGCGATTTGATCGCGAAGGCTCCGACAGCGATTAAGGTAAGTGTTGACCTTCTCCCCTGAGGTCATCTTGGTTTCCAGGAGTTCCTGGAGCAGTCGGCTCGACGAGACAGAGTCCTTGGGCTGATACACTCCTGTCAGGTGTCGCCAGGCGTTGAGGGCTGGAGCGGCTGTCGTTTTGTACGAACGGATGTTCAGCTGCTCCGCCGGGGACATATTCCGCAGGAGCACCCCGTACGCCATCAGTGATTCGTTGTAATATCTCGCCTTGGCGTCGTCGGTGTCCTCGGCAGGCTCGGCGTAGCTCCCGTCGAAGTAGTGGAAGATTTGGGCGTTCTGCAGCAGGAGCTCCAATTCGAAGCTCCAGGTATAGAAGTATCTGCCGTCAAAGCTGGAACTTGTCTTTATTTTTTATATGCTCAGAAACTTTGATTGAGCTGAGAGAATTGCCTCTTCACTGGGACGGGGAGCCTTGGGGGTTGAGCCATTTGTGTCGGAGGAGAAGGTTTGCGGGACGGTGTTTTGCCCAGTTGGGCCCGGTTGGGTTGGTTGCGAGGATGTTCCCGCATCGCCGTTCCGCAATGTTTGGAGCCCTTGCTCCAGACTGGTGAGTCGCTGAAGAAGTTGTGCGAGGACTTCGGTGCCGATCGTAGTCGTTTCCTCGCTTGTCGCAGCCGGATTGGTGCGTGCTTCAGCCGTCAGATTAGTCTGACCACCAGATCCTCTGGCCATTCTCACACGCGAGCGTGTGCCGGTCGCCACTTTTCGAGTGTCGCAATTTTCGGGAGTGGTGTTGCGAAGGATTCCCGAGCCGCTCTCATACCATGCTACGATCAGAGAATGATCGCTAACCAGGATCTACTCGGGAAGGTTCGTACACAGGAAAAATTGGTTGGTGGGCCCGTGATCTCAATAGCAGAGTGAATGTAAATGCTTGAGATGATTGGAACATGCAAATACAGCGAGTATAAATATGAGTACAGGGAAGACGAAATGACCTAGCTAGTCATGTACTCTAAGGGGTACATTCCCTTATTCAAATACATTCAACCGTGCGGCGCGTACGGTTTCGTAACTGTTCCCGCCAAGAACATCCTGCCTGCAGCTGTCCGATGCCGTCTGCCTCCGACGGTCCAGATGCGTCCCAACTGTCTGACACTTCGAGTCAAACTCCAACTGTCTGACGGTTCGCTTTCTTGCTTCGATACTGCGTGCTTCTCTTTGCTGCGGTGAGGAGTGCTCAGTAACAATTACATGTTACTGTTCGTAACACCTGCTGGTAACCAATTGCACCAGATGTGCTTGTGTGAATCACCTCAGATTTCCACGAAGCAATATTATATGAAGCTATGCCTCTGAGGGTTGGGTGTATATTTCTTTCACCCTTGCTTTAACGGGTGCCTGGTCCAGTCCAAAGCTGGGGGCAACTCCCTCACCCAAGCAGTTGCTGAAATCCATGAAGCGCGGCCAATGACAAGCAGCCAGCAACAACGGCTCGCTGTAAAATGCATTGACGCTGCAATCTGTCTCACACGACACAGCTCCGCCACGCATTTCTCTTGTGCAGGTTGTGAGTGTCATTCTGCCCTCCACTTGATGGATTCCACCTCCGGCTTTTTAGCTTCTAAGACAGATGAGCCTGAACGAAACGTCAAAGCTACGTGCACGAGATTCCCACAGCACTCCGTGCTGCTGCTAGCGACGCCCGTCACTGCTCCGGGCGTCTCTCCCAACCAATGCAAGTTGGCTTTTCGATCGAAGACACCGCAGGCATATGCGGCGGAAGGACGAGAGAAATTCGCGAGTGGGGACGAGGGCCCAGACCGGGACGGGTCAAGGGAGTGACCCAACACACACAGTGGCAGGCACTGCCTGTGCAGCGAAGATGCTTCGTTGCGACGACTTTCTGGAAGACCTGAACAACGCGGCGGAAGCGTTACTGCTAGCGCTACCGCGCTTGGCTCATTCACGCTTGAGCCACCACCTGCACTAGTGCGTGCCAGCGGAGTGAAAGACCCTCTCAAGTTGACCACCGCAGTGCGGTCACTCACTCACTGCACACCCCGTCGTGCTCCTCTCGTCGACATCGTCGCTGCATACCTCTTCCGTACCGTTTCCGCTTCATGCGGCAGAGGATAATAGAACGCACGACCGTCACTCACAACCATGTCGGCACACCAAGCCAAGGTGCCTGCTGCCCTAATTATCCACCATGACAGGGCGTTCTCTGCGAGCGCGCGCTGCCACCCAACAGCAGCAGGTACTTCGTCCTTATTTCTAGCCGCGTCGTCCGTTCCACTGGAACGTAGTCGCAACGAATGCGCGTCGTTTGCGGAAGGAAGCGAGTGTCATTCCCAAGGCCACGAGCCACACGAGAGACACGAGCTGAACAAATCACAGTCGGCGGAGATCGCAGCCACGTCAGCGAGTCGCAGATTGCATGATCCAGTCAGCAGCACGCCTGATCTTGTCTGTGGCGGCATACTTAACCTAATTAACAGCACCCCTGTTGCCTGCATCGCTACTAAAAGCACGTTCAGCGTTCCGGCCGATAGCGCCAGCTGCGGCGAAGAGGCGACGCCGCCGTTCTGTATTGACTCTATAACCAACCCACTAACCGTTGAGGCGACAGTGACTTCATCTGATTCGATTCTTTCGACGAATCCGGCGGCAATCCCGACCGGCACGGCTCGTCCTGAAGCACATCTCTCCGCGTCACATGATTACAGCTTTCCACTAATCAGTCCCAGAGAGTATGACGAAGCCGTCCGGCGAGTGCTGACCAATCCCTTCCAACCGGACGACTCTATTCTTCCGAAACCGCGCTCTCCTCTCCTCCCGGAGCACCTGTCGCCGCGCCACCGTGACGCGGCCGTTCATCAGCCGCCGCTGATTGTGTCCCGACTCGGAGTCCACAACCCTGCCGCAAGCACCGCAGTTGCTCCCACGGCGCCTGATACTCCCACTGCCGCAAGCACTCCCGTTACTGCAGCCGCGGTGAACGAGACAAGCGCGGCCGCTGCGGCGGCGGCGTGTGCTGCGGGCAACGCCGCGGAACCCGATCCGGCGGGCTTTATTGCGGAACCTCCGCCGTCCGAAGGGAATAGTGGCGCGGAAGTTGCGGGGCGGCCTTCACTTCCGCCAGCGCAAGTTCGTGGCGCAGCTCCCCTTGCTGATTTCCCCCCAAGGATCTGGTGTAGACTGCGCATCCCCTTTTGAGCTTGCGGAACCTGCAGCGAGTGCGGAACGTGCAACAGTTGCGGAACCCGAAGCTGTTGCGCAACCCGAAGCTGTTGCGGAACCCGCAGTGGTTGCGGAACCCGCATTGCTCGCGGAACCCGCAGTGCTTGCGGAGCCTGCGCCGCGGAAGAACGCGCCGGGGATGCAGTTCCAGGTGGTGCCCCAACGAGCGCGCCCCCTGGCGTCAGCGGAGGCGCTGGGCGCAATGACGCGCGCGGAGCTGGTGGCGGAACTGCGCAGCCTGCAGGCGGACCACGAGAAGTACCGGCAGGAAGGTACGGTGTTGTTTCTGACTCATGGTAGGGGGGGGGATGGGCAGGAAAAGTCTCCTACTGTCTTCTGGACTGGATGCAGACCGCATAGTTTTCCTCTCTCCTGAAACCCATCCCCCCTCTCAAGTCTATTCACCCCACCCCACCTCGAGCCCAAATGTCCTCCATGATTCTATCTCCACCCCTGATCTCCTCCCAACTCTCTCCCATCTTTCCCCCAACTCTCCCCCTCTTTCCGCCGTTGTGGCAGTGGCATTCCAGAAGGATCTGCTGGCGTCCGTGGGGCAGTCCGTCATCTGTACAGACCTCGCAGGCACCATCACGTACTGGTGAGGCGATAGGCGTGAACAGGCAGGCAGGCAGGCAGGCAGTGCGGTGCGGGGGGGTCAGGTCAGGAGCGCGAGAGAATAGCGTCGGCACCATTGCTTGCTGCAGAGCGGTGATCCCCATCACATCTCTTACTGATCTGATCTGATCTCTATCCCGCCCACCCCCTTGCCCCTCTCCCTTCACTTAGCCCTTCACCTCGCCACACAGCCCTTCACCTCGCCACACAGCCCTTCACCTCGCCACACAGCCCTTCACCACTTCCCACCCCTCCTCCCCCGTCATCGCCCTCTTCAGGAACAAGGCAGCGGTGGAGGGAGGAGGAGGCGGTGGGGCGGAGCGTGATGGAAATCACCCCAGCAGACACCACTGTGCAGCAGGCGGGGGAGGTCTTCGCCGCTCTCACCCCCCTTCACCTCTCCCCTTCATCTCTCTCCTTCGACTCTCTCCCTACCCTTCTCCCCCAACGCTGAACGCTCCTCTCCTCATTCACCACTCCCTACTGCTTCCCCCTCCCCCCTTCCCAGGAACAAGGCGGCAGAAGCGATGTATGGGTGGAGGGAGGAGGAGGCGGTGGGGCGGAGTGTGATGGAGATCACACCCGCCAGGGAGATCTTTGCCGCTCTCAACCCCCCTGCACCTCTCCCCTTCCATCCCTCCCTCTTCTCCTATCTCACCTCCACCTGTTCCCTTAACCCTTACCCTCCCCATCCCACCCCCCCCCCCTCCCCCGTCCCCCTCTCATGAACAAGGCGGCGGAGACGATGTACGGGTGGAGGGAGGAGGAGGCGGTGGGGCGGAGCATAATTGAAGTCACCCCAGCAGGCAGACACCACGGTGCAGCAGGCAGGGGAGATCTTCGCCGCGCTCACCCCCCTTCCCCTCTCCCTTTTACCTCTACCCCTCACACCCCCTTCCCCTCTCCCCGTCACCTCTCTCCTTCGCCTCTCCCTTTCGCCTCCCCCCCTACCCAACTTTCCCCCTTCCCCAGGAACAAGGCAGCAGAAGCGATGTACGGGTGGAGGGAGGAGGAGGCGGTGGGGCGGAGCGTGATAGAGATCACCCCGGCAGACACCACGGTGCAGCAGGCGGGGGAGATCTTCGCCGCGCTCTCCCGCGGGGACGTGTGGCGCGGCGAGTTCCTCGTGCGGCGTCGAGACGGCTCGCCCTTCCACGCCATGGTGTGTGCGTAACGTTGCTTGAGGGGTGGGGACGGGGAGGTAAAATCTCCCTCTCATGCTCTGACTCCACGTCCTTCGCCACCCCTCTCACACGCAGGTCACCGACACCCCGATCCTCGACCCGGAAGGCAAGCTCGTGGGCGTGATCGGGGTCTCAGCAGACATCAGCGACTTAAAGCGCAAGGAAGGGGAAATCCGAGCTCTCAACGCGGCATTAGAGCAGAGAGTGGAGGAGCGGACGGAGCAGCTGATGCGGTCCAACGAGGCGCTCAAGTCGGAGATTGAGCAGCACCTTAGAGCCCAGGAGCACCTGCGGCGCTGCATCCGCGACCTGGAGGCGTCGCGCGATAAGATCTCGCAGCAGTCTGCGGCACTGGAGCAGCTGGTGGGGCAGCTGAGAGAGGCACGGGTGGAGGCGGAGTCGGCTAATAGACTCAAGAGCCGGTTCCTGGCGTCCATGAGCCATGAGATTCGCACGCCTATGAATGGGGTTCTTGGTGAGTGGGTGGGAGTAGGCTGCTGATGGTGTTGGTAGGTGGGAGTAGAATGCAATGCTGTGCAGTATTGCATTCTAGCTGCCATCCTCACACATTTGAAAGCCAGCTGTTGGCTTGGCTCCATCCGTTCTGTGCCATCCACACACAGTTGGCTCCATCCGTTCTGTGCCATCCACACACAGTTGGCTCCATCCGTTCTGTGCCACACGTGCTCCCTCCTCATCTCCTGACATCCCCAATCTCCCTTTCCCTCTCCCTCTGCTCCCCTGAGCCAGGCATGACGGCGTCTGCCGCCGTCAACGCCGCTGCAGGAGGAGCAGAGGCAGTTCATGGACACGATTCACAGCAGCCGGGAGACACTGCTGACCATCCGATTCAACACCCGCCTGTTGCCTCTGTCTTCGTTTCACTTCCATCCTCCCTCCCTTTCAATTCTTCTGAACCAGGCATGACGCGCCTGCTGTTATCAACGCCATTACAGGAGGAGCAGAGGCAGTTCGTGGACACGATTCGCAGCAGCGGGGATGCGCTGCTGACCATACTCAACGACATTCTCGACCTCTCCAAGATCGAGGCGGGGGAGCTCGAGCTAGAGCACCGCGACTTTGACCTCTGTCGCTGCCTCGAGGACGCCGTCTCGCTACTCGCTGTACGCTTGCCTGCCCCTTCCAAATTCTTTCACGCCTCTCTTCTCTTCCATGCCTCTTTTCTCGAGCACCGCGACTTTGACCTCTGCCGCTGCCTCGAGGGCGCCGTCTCGCTGCTTGCTGTATGCTCGCCTGCAGCTTTTTTGCATCTCTCACTCCTCTTATGTGCCTCGTACATGCTTCCTTCACGCCTCTCTGCTCGAGCTCGAGCACCGCAACTTTGACCTCTGCCACTGCCATGAGGACGCCGTCTCGCTGCTTGCCGTACGCTCATGTGCTTCTTCTGTGCCTCCTCCATGCCTCGTTCGTGCTTGTTCCATGCCTGGATTCTTCCATGCCTCTTCCATGGCTGGTTGTGTGCCTCCTAATATCTGCAAGTAATTTTTCCCTCATGAGCTGGCAGATGCAGAGTACTTATCTGCTCTGATTGCTCCTCTTCCCTCTGATTGCACATTCAGATCCGTGCCATGGAGAAAGGTGTGGCGGTGGTGAGCTTTGTGGAGCCCAATGTGCCCCGGGTGGTCAGAAGCGACTCCGCGAGATTGAGACAGGTACAGGGGAGCACAGCACACTGAGTCGTTTGCTGACCCCGCGTCTGCTTCATGACCATTGCCATAGATTCTGTTTTGTTTTAGAATTCTTAAAAAAAAAAAAAAAAAAAAAAAAAACATTGTCCGCTGTGAATTATTTACGCAGTCAATGCCATGCCATCTGGTTCATGTCCAGTGCTGTTCATTCCATGCCCTTTAATGTCATCAATCTCTTGTTCAGCTCTTCCCTCTTCTCCTTCTCCCAATCTTTATGTTCAGATTCTGGTGAACCTGATATCGAACGCCATCAAGTTCACAGACAAGGGTGAGGTAGAGGTCACCATCTCGGCCTCTCGACTGCCCGGCACCTCCCACCACCACATTCCAGAGCTCCTGAAAGAGGCGGCAACCCAACCGCCCCAGGGAGACAGGGGTGAAGAGTGCGAGGATTCACAAGAGGAGGCAAAGGAAGAAGGGCTAACCAGCAAGAGCAGGCTGAGAGAAATGAGTCCTGGGGATGGGGGGTCTGCGCACAGTGGGTTTGAGGTGTGGGGCAAGGCGGTGGGCAGGAGGAGGAGGTGGCGGGGGGAGGAGACTCAAGGCATGGAGAGGCATGCCGTGCACTGCATTGCAGTGAGTGTGCGGGATACCGGTATCGGCATCCCCAAGGAGCGAATGGAGCGCCTGTTCAAGCCCTTCAGCCAGGTGTGCCAATCCAGGCGAAATGAAGCCAATCCAACCACAGCCTGCCTGCTTTTCCCACGTCTCCCTCTCATCCCACGTCTCCCTCTCATCCCACTCTCTTCAAGTCCCTCACCCGCCTCTGTCCTCCGCCTGCTGGAGTGAGGCGGGCCGAGGACACAGTGACTCTGTCCTCGGCCGCTGTCCTCTGTCCTTCCTTTAATGACTCTCTCTCTCTCGTCTCTTTCTCTCTGTGTGCATGGCAGGTGGATGCGAGCATGACACGCAAGTACGGAGGCACAGGGCTGGGCCTGGCCATCTCACACCAGCTGGTGGGCATGCTGGGGGGGCGCATATGGGCGGAGAGCAACGGGCAGGGGCGCGGGTCCACCTTCAGGTTCTACATCACAGCTCCCGCTCTGCCCTTCGACCTCCACACGCCCATTGAGGCGCAGCAGAAGGCGCCTTCCCCTGCTGGTGCTGTTTCGCCTGGCATTCAAGGAGGTGAAGCTGTTCCTGCTACTGCTTTATCTGGCGTCCCTGCTCCTCCTCTGCCTATTGCTTCCGCTGCTGCTGCTCCTCCTCCTTCTCCGTCTCCTGCTCCACCTGCTGTTGCTGTCGCTGGCCTGTTACGAAAGCGCAAGAGGGAGGACGAGCTGTGTGCTGCAGCAGCCACTTCTTGCGTTGACAAGCGTCAGTTCAAGTGTGGCGATGCAGTTGCAGGAGGGGCGGCAGTTGTGAAAAGCTGGACGAAAACGGCCAGAATCGCAGCAGGAGCAGCAGCAACAACAGCGGCAGGTGGAAATGATTGTAATGCAGCAGCAGCATCGGAAGCAGCAGCAGGTGGGAATGATTGCGATGCAGCAGCAGCAGTAGCAGCAGCAGGAACCCTAGGACCAAGCCTAAACAGGAACATTGCAGCCACTGCCTGTTGCTGTAGTTCTTCCTGCCAGTGCTGCTGCTGCTGCTGCTGCTGCTGGAAAGATGGGGGTCAGGAGGCCTTGACTCGCGGAAGGAAGGCGCTGAGGATCACAGAGGACGCAAGCGGGAGCGCAGCAGATACAGGCGGTGATAGTCAGGATGGCATTGGTGAGAGACAGGACGGCATTGGTGTTACCTATACCCATTGTAGCAGCAACGGTCGCTGGGGTAGTGAAGAGGGCTGTGCTTCAAGAGTGGGTGGGATGGAAAGAGGAGGTGGAAAAGAAGCAGAGAGAGGAGGCGCAGGAGCAACAGGGAGAGGAAATGGGAGAGAGGATGTGGTGTTAGTGAGGGACAGGGAGGATGACAGATGCGGGGAGGGAGGGAGTGAGGGAGTGGGGGAGGGAGGGAGTGAGGTGGAGGCAGCAGTTGCTGGATGGGAGAGAGCGAGGAGGAGAGCAGAGGGGAGGAGCGCACTAGTGGTTCTGCCCCATGCAAGCACTCGACGAATGGTGTGCCGACACCTGGCATCCCTTGGGTTTAGAGTGGGTGAGGCGAGCAGCGGGGAGGAGGCGGAGAAGGTGATGGAAGAGGGTGTGGGGGTGCTGGAAGAGGGTGTGGGGGTGCTGGGAGAGGGTGTGGGGGTGCTGGGAGAGGGATGTGGGGAGGAGGGGAGACGTGGTGGCAGTCATGGGGATGGGGATGAGGGCCGCATGGAAAGGAAGGAGTGTGTGGTGTCATGGGATGAGTGTCGTCCATGCACGAGCCGTTCCAGCTCTGCCACGACCATGCAGGCGCAACACGACATGCAATGTCCGGCAGCAGGCACGTCAGCAGGCACGTCAGCAGGCATGGCAGCAGGCACGGCAGCAGGCATGGCAGCAGGCACGGCAGCAGGCACGTCAGCAGGCACGTCAGCAGGCACGTCAGCAGGCACAGCAGCAGGCACGGCAGCAGCAGCGACTACTTGGAGTGCATTTGACGTGTTTGTTGTGGATGCTGGGCTGCAGTGGTCTCCCGCTGCACCCGCACTGTCAGGCACTGCAGCTGCCCTGGGACCAGTAGGGGAAACAGAAGATAAAAGTGATGCAGCAGCAGCTTTAACTGCAGCTGCAGCAGCAGCTAAGGATGCTGAAGTCACCAGAGCATCACCAGAACGGTTCACAGTTGAGCCTGCGCCAGCACAGCCTGCGCCAGCACAGCCTGTGCCAGTAGCGCCTACAGGCGCACATGCCCTTCACAGCCCCACTAGCCCTGCCAGAGTGATTCTGCTTGTACCGTATGGCGGCAGCAGGCAAGACTCCCCTCCAATCCCAGGCTGCCACGTGGCTGTTCTCACCTACCCCGTTCGTCAAACCGCCCTCAACCGCCTTGTATGTGAGCTTCTCTCCCCTCCTCTCGTTTCTCTCTCTCCGCATCTTCCCTCCCGCCCGTCTCACTCCCCTCACCGACGTTTCACAATAGGTCTGGCTAGCGCTGTCAGTGTGAGCAGCAACGAATGTGGACAGAGTAACTGTGGTAACCCAATTCAATGTGGTAACCTGAATCAGTGTGGTGGTAATCACACTCGCTGTGGTAACCACACTCGCTGTGGTAACCACACTCGCTGTGGTAACCACACTCGCTGTGGTAACCTGGACAGTGGAGAAGGCAGCATGGGCTGTTGCTGCTCCAGTCTCGGAGATTCATTGCCGAACCTCTTGGCTGCTGGCTCTTCCAAACGTGTGGGTGTTTCGGAGCCTTGTGCCGAAGCTGTGTTAGCAGGCTGGGTTGCAACCAGAGCAGAGGGTGATGCAGTAGTGAGCAGCAGGGCGGGAGAGTTCGCAGCAGAAGCAGGCACGGGTGTAAAAGCACGAGCCGGAGCAGGGGAAGGAGCAGCGGTGGCGGCAGAGAAAGGAGCAGCAGCACTAGCAGGTGCAGCAGAAAGAGCAGCAGCAACGCCAAGTGTGCTAGCATCAGGAGCAGCAGAAAGAGCAGCAGCTGCTGCTTCACAAGGCCCATCCCCAGTTGCTGCAGTGGCAACAAGTGGACGAACGGCAGGAGCATGTGGTGGAGGGAGGAGGGTGCAGAGAGGACATGTGGGAGGACATGTGGGAGGACATGTGGGAGGACATGTGGGACGGGCAGCTGCGAGGACAGGCGTGGATGCAGCAGGGTTCCAGTCAGGGCTGGCACAGCAACACCCCCTCAAGATACTCCTTGCGTACGAGCCGAGCACAAGCACCCCCTCTTGTCCCACCCTTTTCCGTTTCCCCTCTTCTTACTCCACCACAGCACCATCACCACCTGAATATTCTCCTCACACGGGATCACTCCTCCTCACTTGCCACATCCCTCACTGTGATCCCCCAACTCCCTGTTCATCTCCCCAACCCCTCTCCCGCACTCACGTACACCCCTCTCTATCATGTCAGCCCCTCTGTTACTCATGTGCAGAATCCCTCTCACACCGCCATCCCCTTTCGTCCACTTCCTTCTCACAGTGAAGACAACCTGGTGAACCAGAAGGTGGCCACCAAGATGCTGGGGCGCATGGGATACACGTGCCACGTGGCGGTCAACGGGGCAGAGGTGCTGCAGGCGCTGCAGGAGTCGTCCTTTGACCTCATCTTCATGGACGTTCAGGTACCGCTCTGCACCGTTTCTTTTGACTTTTGAGTCGACTCACAAGTCATCCTGCTGCAAAAAAAGAGTCTGTGAAGTCAAATTCGTCTTCATGGTCATTCAGGTGCCGCACCTCGCTTTTTTCATGTGCCTCTTATTTCATATTCTTGTGTGTAGGGGGGAGGGGAGGTGTGGGAAATGGGATGGGAGGGCTCTGTTGTGTGTTTACTTCCAGGCCGATTTGAGTCATCTATTCTGAGGCTCGGGGCTCTTGTTCTATGCCTTTCACTCTGCAAGACTCGGCTCCCAAGACTCACTTTGGTTCCATTCCTTCCTCTTTCCCCTGACCATCTTCCCTTGACCATCTCCCCTTGTCCATCTCCCTTTGTGCATCTCCCTTTGCACAGATGCCTGTGATGGATGGTATAGAGGCGACACAGCGAATTACCCAGATGTGGCCGCCGAGTCAGAGGCCCAAGATATTTGCCATGACAGCCAATGTGCTCGAGACAGACCGCGCCATGTGCCTGCAGGCCGGCATGGATGGCTTCATCTCCAAGCCTGTGAGCGTGCACGAGCTGGTGCGCGCTGTTGAGTTCTCAAGCCCTTCTAAGAGGTGATTGTTTATACGATAGTGAGCTTTGCATACTGATGTTTAGTGTACATATGTGATTGTATAAATAATGTACCGTTGTTAAGGATTTTTTCGGCATTCCTTACTGCGTGCCCCTGGCCAACATCGAAAACCACCCTGCCCTGCAAGTGTACCTGAGGAGACGGGGTTGCCGCGATATACACGCACTCGCATAGCGGAGGGGGCTTCCAGAGGGGGGGGGGGGGGGGGGGGGGGGAGGGGAGTTTAAGGGCTTTTTTCGGCATTCCTTACTGCGTGCTTCAACACCGCGTACAGCAGCAGCCGTTGTTCGCCCGTTACTCCTAACGGGGCCTCGTCGCCAACATTCGCGCGCACTGTTTTACCTAACTATGCACCGCTGGGCCGGCCATGTCGGCCTACGCTTTGGGGCTAGCCCGAACCTCGATGCCAGCTTAGGGCGCGTGTCTTTTGGTGTAGACGTTCGGAAATTCGGTTGAACTTTTGATGGTAACCTTTTTCGCAAATTTCGTTAGATGCTTTGCATGGGCATCGTGTGTCCAAGGACAATGTCATGTCTGAAGCAGGACCGAATCCATGGTTGAACTTCTGGCACCAAACAGTCTCGCACGAAAATCCAATCGTGTGTCCTCTTGACCAAAGAGGGTGAAGAAGCGAAGTCTGCGACAGTCGCAACTGACGTCGTTAGCACGAGCGACTTGATCGACAGGGTTCCAGCTCCGCCAACTCACACGTGGCGGTGGACGCGGGGGTCAAACGTTGCGCCCTGTCTAAAGGCCAAACCGGGTAACCTACGACTGTGGGCCGCGACTCGGGAAAGTTGCAAAAGTTCAACTTCGATAGTCGAACATTTGTGTGTCTTGTGATTTTCAAGGGTGTTGGAACCGCGACTCGGGTTACAGATGTGGCTAGACTCGAGCCTAGGTCGACCTAGGTTCAGACGTATACAGTTAGGTAAAAATTTTAAAGTTAAACTTCTAAAAATGAAGATTGTGATTCGACGAAAAGAGGAGTTTGCTGTAAAGGAGACAAACTCCTTCCGGCAGGTCTCTCAGACCTGCCACCTAGTCTCATTTGCATTTTCAGATCTCCAACTTTGCTTCCCTCCCACCCAATCCCATTTCTTAGTTGCATAGAGTTTATGATATCTCATTGAATACATTTTGTTATTGCTCATTTGAGTGTGCTGTACAAATGGAATTTGTAATGCTATGACGACTGCACAGCACACTCCTCGGAGAGTCGTGTCACAATCAACCAAAAACTCGAGTTTTGCTTATGAAAACCAAAAGACACGCGCCCTTAGCACTAGCTAGCTCGCACGCACTGCGTTACCGTTTGCATGTTAGCAAGCACATAGGTATTCGCTCATGCTTTCGCTCTTACTTTGTACTCATTCGACAACCTAGTGCAATCCTCGTTATCTCGTTCCATTGCACCCGTAACACATTCCTATCAGAGCCACTTTCCTTTCAGACCGCGCATTTCCGCAACAAGAGAACTCAACTTTCCATTTTGCGCTCGAAGGGACTCACGCCCCTTAGCATCTAGGAGCCACTAACCCTCGTGTTCTCTCATAAACACATTCAGCCACGACTGCGCCTAGAGCTAAGACAAGCCGCCGCCCTTCGACATGGTCAAACATATCGACCTCGCGAACCTCATGCAAGAGCGCATGAACCAACTGCTGCAGCAGCTGCACGAAAGCACCGAAGAAATTACAGCGATGACGGCAGAAAGTATGTCACTGCAAAACGACGTCGCACGGGCGCAACAAGCACAATCGCAAACACAAGGCACACAAGCACCTGCAGCACATTAGGCATCACAGCACGGGAGTGTGGGACAACCCTCGAGCGCGGCTAGTGATGGCATCGCCCGCGATGCCGGAGACGACGATCATGTCACGATACACCCCGGAGCGACGAATGCGGCCAGGAGTCAACCACGCGTCGCAATAACGATGAGTCGGCACTTCCGTCACCGATGTCGCTCAAGCCGCAACGTCCGCCTTGCTTTGATCCGTGGTCTGATGGTCCAGGCGTGGTTATTCACGATGAATGTGCTCGACGACGCTAACCACGTCTCGTCGGACGCGGCAAAAATCCGAGTCTTAGTCGGTGAGTGTCAACGCAATCACAATGAAGTGCGCCGTAGCGGCAGGAGCTGACGTGTATGCGGTTGACATTCAGGACGCCGAGGCAGCAGACGAGCCGAGCGATTTGCAGAAACTGCTCGCCGACGTACCCGAAGGACCTGGCAGCGCTACTGAAGCAGTACAGCGGGATTTTTCTGGACGACCTACTGGAGGGACTGCCACCTCAGCGACTGTACGACCATAGGATAGAACTGAAACCGGGGGCATAGCCAACAGTGGAGCGACAGTTCAGTTTGACCCAACCCAAACTGGACGAACTGCGGAAGCAGCTCGATTACCTGCTCGAAAAACAATTCATTCGCCCGAGTTCGTCGCCCTTCGCAACGCCGATACTGTTCACACCGAAGAAAGACGGGAAACTTAGCATGTGCATAGATTACCGCGCACTGAACCGAGTTACCATCAAGTCCCGTTACCCCATCTCGCGAGCCGACGAACCGATCGACCAACTTCGCACAGCCCGGGTCTTCTTGAAAACCGACCTTCGAGGAGGTTACCACCAGATCCAAGTCAATCCGCCCGGTTGCCCGAAAACCGCCTTACGCACCCGCTACGGATCATTTTTTAATACACGGTAATGCCCTTCGGACTGACCAACGCCCCCGCCACCTTCCAAATGACCATGAACGAAGCCTTCCGCCCACTGTTAGATAAGTGTGTGATCATCTACTATGACGATATACTGATCTACAGCCCAGACAGAGCACAACACATGAGGGTGTCAACAAGAAGAGACTGGAATGATTGAACTAACAGAGAAAGCAGTACAAATAGCAAACCCTAGAATTGTGTACCCCATATAGGCTAACCCACTGTAGCCTAACAAACCCAACATATATAATGTTTGACACACCCCCATAGGCAAAGTGGGGGAGACCTAGGGGTCACAAGACCAGTCAAGGCAAAGCAAGGCAACAACAAGCTCAGGGTGGATCTCGAGGATTCCACACAAATTCCGAGCACAAGCTAGTGGTCACAAGACCAGTTCACATGCAGGTTTATAACAGAGCCAGAGATACAGTGATCACAACCTAGCAAGAGTAAACATGCAGGTATAGATATATATAGTGATCACAGTACAAGCAAAGTCAAGAGGTAAGCAAGTGAGGTCCAGTAGGCACAAGGCCTAGTAGAGTGCAGAAGCGCTGATGGTCACGAGGCTGAAGCGCCTTGGTGAACACATCAGCAGTGTTGGCCTCAGTGGCCACGTAGCGAATACAAAGCTGACCGCGCTGCTGCAGCTCTCGAGCAAGGAAGTACCGCAGGGCGATGTGCTTCGTTCTGTGCTCCAGTCTGTGCTCCTCACACAAGGCAATGGCAGCCTTGTTGTCGACGTACAGTACTGGAGGAGAACGAGGCAGCTCTCCGAGGTCAGTCAGCAGGTAGGTCAGCCAGCGTAGCTCCTGGGCAGCCATGGCTGTAGCGTAGATCTCAGCCTCGCAACTGGAGCCGAGAACAGAAGAAGAGCGTGTAGAGCGCCAAGAAACTGAGCCAGAGCCAAGGCTGAAGGTGTAACCCTGAGACGACCGCTGAGTGGCCTGGTCGTCTGCCCAAGAAGCGTCTGAGTGCCCTGTGAGCACAACTCGGTCTCGCCCTCCAAGCACAAGCCCCATGCCCGACGTACTGCACAAGTAGCGCAACACCCTCTTAGCGGCATCCATGTGCTCCTTCCTGTGACGGCCAGGAGCGACATAGCGTGCAAGGATGCTAAGAGGGTATGCAAGGTCAGGTCGAGTGCAGGTCATCAGGTATATGAGGCAGCCCACAAGCTCTGGATACGGGCCACTCGGCTCTACGGACTCATCCGAAGGCAGAGCTGAGAGCGAGTGACCGGTAGGCAGAGGAGTGGACTGAGGCGAGGAGTACGTGAAGCCAAAGCGCTGGAGAACCTGCTGCACCATGTGTGACTGAGTCAAGGTGATGGTGCGCCGTGCTCTGTCCCGGGTGATCCGCAAGCCAAGATAGCTTGTCAGCTCACCCAGGTCTGTGCACGTGTGTCTCCTCTGCAGCTCCGACGTCACGTAGGCGAGTCCTTTTGTGTCAGCAGTGGCAAAGACCAAGTCGTCGACGTACACGAGGATGTAGAACGGCGGCAGCGAAGTGTCGGTGCGCAGGAACAGCGACGGGTCAGCTGTAGAAGGCGCGAACCCAAGAGCCGCAAGTGTAGTCCTCAGTGTGTCGTGCCACTCACGCGGAGCCTGGCGGAGACCGTAGACCGGCCGCTGAAGCCTCCACTGGGTACCAGGAGGAAACGACCCAGTGAAGCCAGGTGGGCGGCGCAGCCAGATCTCCTCGTGCAGGCTGCCCTGCAAGAAAGCAGTGCTGAAGTCAAGTGAGTGAAGCTCGTAGTCGCGGTGAGCGGCTATGTGCAGCAGCACCCGAAGAGTGGTCATCTTCGGGGTGGGGGAGAAGGTCTGGAAGAAGTCAACTCCCTCTCGCTGACTGAAGCCTCGAGCCACGTAACGCGCCTTGAAGACAGGCGGAGAACCCGGCGGCCGCTTCACCCTGAAAATCCACATGCCACTGACGATGTTCGCCCCAGGAGGGGGAACCTCGTCGACGTAGGTGCGTGTGGACTTCCAGGAAGCCATCTCGGCGTCCATGGCCGTCTGCCACTGAGAGGAGTAGGGACCCGCCATCGCCTCAGCGTAAGTGCGTGGGGTCGGGATGTCTGGTGCATCCGGGTCTCCCTCAGGGGCAACTAGCAAGGACACGAGACGGGGCAAAGCAGCAGCAAGACACTGGAACTCCTCCTGTCTGTCCTCAAGGACGTCCGTGCCAAGAGCACACTCACCCCCGACGGACGGAGGACAGACAGACTCAGACTCAGACTCAGCAACAAGGCTAGC